GCCGCGCGTGACGAGACGAGAAGGCTGCAGCACTCGACACTAGCGGAACCCAATCGCCTCGAGCCGGCGTATCAAGCGTGTCCCCTGCGAGTCGCAGGATTATTGTTTTAGGACATGTGCAGAAGCTCATGCATGGAAAGCGAGCCAACCGCCGTTCTTGATTCGGGTGCGGATCTAGGGCAGACGGCCTATCGCTGTCGGCTCAACATCGATTGAGATCCCGAAAACGGGCGGGTAGGCGGATCCAGAACTACCTGGGCTGCTGGGAAAGGTGAGCATTGCTAAGGGCCAGTGGTCTGCTGTCCCAACGTTACCGACAGCCAGCAGCCACTGGATTCTTATCTGACACTGGTCAGGAAGCCGAGAGTGCCGCTGTAGGCGTTCTATTGTCTCGTGTCGTTGACACAAAGCCTCCGTTCGACCGTTGAGTATTGGCGCCCAGTGTCAGCTAATTGCTTGCATTGAACCGTCGGCTCACAACGGTAGGTCCGAAGCTGACGGCTGCGGCCTTTCGTCACTTTGGGTGAGCGGTTCCTGTGTGCTCGACTTGGCACCTGTCGTTGAGCCAGTCCGCGGTGTCCCCTGACAGCCTCCAAGAACCTCGTGTGCATGTTGGATCGATCCAGACTGCCTAGAATTTTTCTCGAAGGCTGGGCATCGGGATAACCAGGCCTTGGTGGTATCCCAATGTTCGCCCAGAGGAACAGAGGGGACGAAGCGCGCGAGACGCAGAAAATGCAGAGTGCATCATCTTCCAAGACGGCCGCATCAGTGCTATGCTATGTGCAGCCTGATTGAGGTCAACAGCCATCACGAAAAGCTTCTTCGGCGACTATCCGGATAGTCAGTCATCTGAAGAATGGCCTGCATCAGCGGTTGATCAGCAGACAGGTTGAGCATCCTGGACGATGAAAAGGCGGTATCATCAAGGAGCGTGTGAAGCGACATGGAAAATTATCGAGAACATTGTTGCGGTCGCGGTGCGCAGGTCTGGAATCCGGGATCCAGGTAGGGCTCGTCGGATGAGAGGTAAGGGTCATGGTTGATCGCTGCATTGAGTCCCCCGCGTGTGTAAAATTACAAACACCAGGTCTCGGCGGTGAGCAGCAGTGACCAACAGTAAGAGTCCCCAAGCCTGGAAGAGACCAAGTCTCGCAGCCTTGGGCGCTTGGCTGGCACTCGAAGGAGGCTCGCGTGGAGCATCCTCCCACAATTGCGTCGTCTGGGCTCACTTTGCCCAGAGAGACGGATCAAAGTCAATACAAAACCACGACAGCATCTGGTGCTCTCGCCATATCAGCTAACCAGAAGGGTGTGTGGGTGTATGTGTGTGAGTGAGGGAAAATGTGTGTGTGTCTGGCAGGCCAACGAATGGTATGGACAGCGTCCGAGCGGGCAGATACCGAGGCAGAGGCAATGATGTAATGGGGCGCCATACCAGTTCCATCATGATAGTAGCCAGATCTCCAAGTCCCATAGTCCCATCCCAAGTGCTGGGCCAGTGCCAAAGCGGCCATTCGCAGGATTTCTTTGTACGTACGCATACTTTGTAATGATCAAGACCAATTTAGAGTCGGAATCTGGAGACGAGATTCGACTGGGGACCGAAATGTGGAGAAGGGGAGGCTGACAGGGATCCAGCCAGGACCTCGTGAGCCTGCTGAGATGACGACAGAGCCCTGTTCCCCGTCCGCAGGCTGCCCTTGAACCCTGGATGCTTTCGTGGGGTTGCCGATTTCGATTTCGACCCCCCTCGAAACGGTGCGGATCGCCAAGCAATTCCGTGTACGGAGTGAGTGCTGTGGTGCTGTGTGCTGTGTGCTGTATGCTGCGTGGGAGGTACATGTACGTGAACGACATGTACCGTCTGACAGGATCGGACACTGAACTACCCTACCCAGAGGATAAGGAGCCGCTTCGCCTTGCTGTTTATGGCATGCGCACACAAGCACAAGCTTGACATGACTGGACTTTCGAGCCTTCGGCCTTTCGCCCTCACCTCAACCTCCGTTTTGCGGATGGCCGTCCAGCCCGCCGACCGTCTCCACCCAGCCCAGCTAGCTGCATCAATGGCTGCACTGCTGCTGAGATGGCTGGATGATCGTGGCAGGATCATCTCAATCTCTGGATGACCTCAACAAGACGCTTCGTCCAAGACGCTGGCTGCACAACAAAACCAAGATACTAAACTCTGGGCAAGTAGGCCCAAAGGCCCAGCTCTGTCTGGGCACGGGGCCTTGGCCGGCCGATGACAATGTTCGACAAGCCCAGAGAGGTCGAGAAGACGGACCGAACCAATATAATTGGCCAATGGACATCTCAGCAATACGACAGTAGACCACGGCTAGACCACGGATTGCCGACCCTCATTTGTGACCCTCGCTGGCGGTGCATCTGAGCACGAGCACGGGCATGATGACCAAACAACGCCTTGCTTTGAAATGCCCAGTAGGCAGACAATGCCCTGCCCGACCCTCAAAAGTGTTTCGCCGCCTCGAGGCAAATCCGCACGTGGGACGACGCGGTTTGCAAGAAAAATTCGACTGCATTGTGAAGCTTCTGGCTTCGAGCCGGTTTTGCCGTGCCCATCCAATGATTAGACAGGTGCCAGGGACCGGGGATTCGCTCTAATTGTCGGCGGTACGGGATTCGCAAGTCGAGGTACCCAGATGGCCTGTCAGGGCCTGTCTGTTTTGGAAACGCATGGTGCGCTTCCCAACCGTATCGCGCGGCAATAAGCAGCCGGATATTACACAGGACGGTGCAGCTAGCGAAAGCCTCAAAAATCGCTCATTTTTGGAATCCACACTGGTCAGGAGTGACACTGACAGGACAGTCATGAATGAGCTGTTCAACTCGAACGGGGGTCCTGGACTCCATTATTATTGTCGAATCGCACCGGGCAATGACAGCAAACCAGCTGGGCGCGAGTGGGAAATCAGCACCGCCGTGGCTGGCATTGCATGGGCATTGCCTTGCCAATTCCGGTCTGCTGGTGCGAGATAGGCGCCCGCCCCAGGCCAAGCCTCGCTGATCGACTTGAATCGATGCCCTCAGCCTGTCTGCCATCTGGCATGGCCTCCGCTATTGCGACAGCCTGCATCCGAAGGCCCGGGGGCCTCAGGCCTGGGGAGCCAGGGACCTGGGAAGGGAAGAGGGCGGAGGGCAGGCGGAGGGCTGGGAGGAACCTGCCAACAATTCAACCTTGGCTTGTCGCGACCCATCGTCATCCCCAGCGGTTCATTGATGTGCGAGTATTGCGCCAAAGCTCTCAAACTCCATGCCGCAATCTGTGGTCCCAGAGGGTTTAGGGCAGGACTTGGGGCGCTTTGCGATTGAGAACGCGGCATAGCGCAGTGCATATCTCTCGACTGTCGCACTAATATGCTCTAGCAGTAGTAGCCCATGATTGTGTATAGTACCGCCGATGATGGGTACCTTGCGGTGCTCATCTCATTAAAGACGGATTCCATCTACGGCTAGCTGGGTCCTTTGGCCCTTTGTGCTGGATCAGGGCAGAGCCCACGATACAGTATCTCCAGAATGGCCCACGAAGCCCCCTTGGCTGGGCTTATACCAAGGCTGGGCTGGTGGTACAATGGCTCGCATCCGCACCACACACAGTGCTGTGGACCAAGAATGTCCCACCTTGTCCACAACCTTTCCCCAGAACCTAACCGACCGATTGCTACCAGTCACTGATCTTCGCTGGCGCACTGACTGACTTGAGTGTCGAGCAGTCCTGGCAATGAGGATGCCCACATCCAATAATACCCTCAGTCCGAACCCCCGTCTGCCCGTCCCTTCTCCTGCATTTCTGGATGTCAAGTTGCATTGCATATTGGATTGGATTGGCCTCGCCTCGCTTCGCCTTGTAGACTAGACTACCCAGGCCATCCCGCTCTCGCACTCGTGCCTACATACCTAGTCTGCCTTCTTGAACGAAAGCCCTCCCATCTTTCTCGACAACTCTTCCATCTTCTTGCAAAACTACACCTCTTCCTATTTTGTTTAATCTGTGAGATCAAAGAGGAGCAACCACAAGCTTCTGTCCTCACACTTATTCTTTTATGATACCCCGACCCCGATCTCTACCCCGACCAATCTATAATATTCCCCGGCTCTTGGCTCTCGACGACTCGACATCTCGCCCTCTCCCACTGCGACGGTAGATCTCGCACCGTTTCAGGTACAACCCGAGACGCCACCTCGACCTACCGTATCGCTACCATATCGCGTTACTGTCTCGCTGGCTACACCAGGACGTCTGCACCAGGACGTACTTGCTTGGCAGCAAGTATCAATTTCTCGGCATTGGTCGTACCTGTCTCAAGAGTTCCATCGTCACATATAAGTCAGTGGGCCTACCGTCCACCTATCTGACATCTCAGTATTGAGAGCATCCTCCTCCCTCTCAACACCCACACCCAAGCCTTGTGAAGGAGCACCGCAAAGCCGAGCCGAACAAGACACAGACCAGCCCGCGAAAACGGCCGGCCAAAGCCATTTACTGCTGAGCCCCCTCGGCCCCTCCTCCATCGAGTCCCTTGCCCCCATCGGTTCCCGTCTTGGAGGGTGGTGAATTTACCTCGCCCGCGCCCGTGCGAGTGTCGACTGCGTAAATCACGCTCACGCCCACGCTCAGCTGCCTCTTCCACGAGTTGCAAGACTTCACTGTCTGTCAGCAACAGGAAACGTGGGGACTCACTCGGTATCTCCGGTTCTTACGGCCCAGTCGAATCCGGCCCAGTCGAGTCCAGCTTTCTCTGCCCACTCAACCTTCCAAGGTTGTTGCCCGGCCCTTCTTAGCCGCCTCTTGACGTCTTAGCCTCTCCCCAACCCAGTGAGGGGGTGAACCAGGTCTTGGGGATTTTACTGGGGCAAGCGGCACCACCTGTCGAAAACAAGGACAGCCTTCCAAACTCAATCTAGTCATTAACCGTACCGCCCGCCTTCCTTCCTGCTCCCCTCCCGTGTCGCCTTCAATGGCATCCTCGACCATGCTGGCACCTCCTGCATTGTCTCAACCCTCCGCCCCGATCTCTGCAGCTGCAGCTTCAGCTCCAATTCCAACTCCAGCCTCAGCAACCGCTGCAACCTCATCTTCAGGTAATTAATTTCACCATCCCTCCTTTGTCAATATGTCTCACCCCAGACTGCATAAAACGCTCGAGATAACTCAACTCCTACCATTATTCTAGAACCTGCACAAGACGACTGCAGCCTCTCGTCATCATCTCCACCTCAGTTCGCCACAAACCTCTCAAATCCTATATATGAGGAGAGCGATGAAGACTCCGAGAGTGTCGCACACAACGAGCCAGTCACGCCTGTGAGCGGCAGACAGTCTTCGGAATTCCGTACCCACCGCAGTCACGACAACCAGGGTCATCCCGACATCACTGACTCTTCATCTCTGATTCCCTTCCCTTCGATTGAATCTGACGGTGCGGCCATCCCGCAGCCCAAACTCGATCTACGCAAAGGACCTTTCGCCAACCACAACTTCGAGGCCACTATCAACACTCAGATTGCTGTTGACAGCCCAACCGCTCCTCAAAAATCACCGGCCAGTCCCAGGAAGAGCATATCCACCAGACCCATCTCGCCGCCTTCCACAGCGAGGACATCCGCCGACGAATCGCAGCCGGGCTCGTTGAAAGACTCGCGACGCAGCACCCGTGGCTCCACTCACAGTTTCAAACGCACAATGTCGAACCTCTTCAAGCGCAACGGCCCACAGGGCGACGAAGACCAGCCCGTGGTCGTCGTCGCACAGCAGGATCCGATAGAAGGCAATCGGAGGTGGTCGATGAATAGGTCCTCCGCCACCACTCCTGGCTCTAACACTCCGCCCTCGCCTGGCGCGCAGACGTATGATAGCAAGCAGCGCGGTAAGAACCTGCTGGCTCCGACGTCCGATGACTTCATGCGCAAGAAAAACCGCGCCTCGACAGGCCTCACGCTCCGCAACCGTGCGGTTAACTTTGCTACCGGCAATGGACGCAATGCGAAGAAGCAACCCAGTTTGAGGCGGGCCAGCAGTTTTGACGCTGGCAAGAAACGTGAACCAGAAAATGGTGAGCTCGGTCCTGCGGCAGTCTTCTATGCGAGACCAGAAGCTGGCGTTGGTGTCAAGGCTCGACGATTGAGCCTGAGTCTGCCCGACGAAGTCAATATCGATGTGGTCGACCTGCTGTCCGAGTTCGAGTACAAGCACAAGCATCCATTCGCTCGACAACTGACACGGACGTTGGGCAAGGGTGCTACAAGTACTGTCCGGATCATGTCGCGCAAGGGATTCCCAGATGAGTTGTACGCGGTCAAGTGCTTCCGGAGCAAGGACAAGGGAGACACGAAGGAGGAGTACGAAAAGAAGATCAAGTCCGAGTACAGCCTGGCCAAGAGCTTGCACCATCCCAACGTCGTTGAGACTGTGCGTCTGTGCATTGACCACGGGCGATGGAACCACGTTATGGAGTACTGTTCGGAGGGTGACCTCCACTCCTTGCTCACGAAGAAGTATCTTTTGAACGAGGATCGGGAAAAGGACCGACTCTGTCTGTTCAAGCAGCTGGTCCAGGGTCTCAACTACCTGCACAGCAACGGGATCGCCCACCGAGACATCAAGCCAGAGAATCTCCTGATGACCAGCGACAGCAAGCTGAAAATCACCGACTTTGGCGTGACAGAGGTGTTTTCTGGGATACATCCGGCCGCGAGGGAATCGGGCGGCGAGTGTGGCCGGCAGATGACCGGGGAAGTTCGAATGTGCAATCCTGGCATCTGCGGGAGTCAGCCATACATGGCCCCTGAGGTCCTGGCCAGGGATCGGCAGTATGACCCGCGCATGCTCGATGTTTGGAGTGCTGCTTGCGTGATGCTCAACATGATGACCTCGGCAAACTTGTGGGAGAAGGCCGTGTGGAACGCACCCGGAAGTCGGAGTTACAACCTTCTTGTGCAGGCGTTCGACAAGTGGAACGCCGAACATATCGATGGCAACGCAACGATCACCGAGAACGACTATCCTACATATGTGCCCTTTGACAAAGGAATCAACAGGCCAGCACTACGTCGGATCCTGCTGATGATGTTGAACCCGAACCCCGAGAAGCGGGCCACCATCACCGAGATTGCCAACATTCGATTTATGAAGAACATCCAGTGTTGCCAACCGGAGAGTTACGACGACCCTGACGTGGTAATCGATGCCACCAAGAGTGCATCGTTCAATCTCAAGACTACGAAGACGTTCTGCCACAACCACTTGCCACCCAAGTGGGAAAACAGCCACTCGCTGCCGCCGATGCCCGGCAAGGCTGGTTACTGATAACCGCAGCCAGAATTGCGAGCGCGGCCACGGAATATGGCGAGTTTCAGTTGCTTTCATAGCATGGCAGTTCGTCAAGGGGAACGAATTACATTGGGGTTTAATGGAACAGGCAGGGTAGAACTGGGTGACCAAAGCATTTGCAGTCATTGGCACAGGCGTTATTGATTCTTCTGGGCGGTGTGGTGGGGGGAATCGTGAGAATCGGTTGTGTGTTATACCATGTCACAAACAGAGGGAGAGTTGTTTCCTTTTTGGTTCAGATGGGCTAGACCCCGTATAATACAGCAAGGGTCCCATTGACTCCTTCCTTGATTTTACACAGCCTTGATACTGCTGGGAGCAAGAGCAAGAGCAAGAGCAAGAGCACGAGCACCGATGTGATTGTTGCTGGCGAAGAAGGAGCCAAAAGAAACCTCGTTAGTTGATTGGCAAAGGCCCACATGTACATAGCCAAATTCAGCCGTCTGCCCACGTCGACTTAGTTTTGTCTTAAAATCGGCAACAGTGCACACAGATCACTGCCTGACCCTCCCATCCCATCTGGGTCTCCCCGGAATGCAGCATCGTGACTTTCCATCTGCCATTCATCGACCCGCTAAACGCAGTTCGATGCCAAGCCTGGAGAGCAGTCCGCAGAAGCTTGAAATTAGGGTTTGCCTCCCTGTCCGACACCGCTTCAGGTTGCCTTCGCACACAGAGGTGAAGCAACCGGTCATGTGCACATGTCTGACAGCAATGTTGTGCTGCCTTCGTTTTGCGAAACCTCCCCTTGTTAGTGTTCGATCTTGTTTCCCTCTCTCTTCCCCCTGAAGCTCTAATCAAGGGTGAAGGGTCATCTGAAAATGCCACCCGAGGAGCGGTTCTTATTTGCCCCTATCTGTTCCAGCTAATGTTGTTCCCATCCTCTTCCAGACACCGACCGATAGATAGGCTTTTCACTATTTAGTCCTACACTTCTCCCCAGAGGTGACAAGAGGCCGCCAAGGAAACTCACAACCTGCCCCGGGCCTTTGTTCGACGATCGATGACCGCCCCTGGCAGGTCCCCCTCGACCTTGGCAGATGCAAGTCAGACATCCTGTGTGACCCCCACGAGCTGCCTCCAACAACCAGCCCAACAGGCCCCGGGGGTCCGCACGGAATCTTGATGTCCGGACTGGTATCTCTCCTGCTTCTCTACCTGTCCCCCGCCCTGGTGCGACCACACCAGAACGGGCGGGTTGACGAAAGCGGCGTTCTCCCTAACCTCCACATGACATGGTTGGGTTCCCCAGATTTTTCCTCCCCGGGTCTGGATCCTCCCGCTACTGGTTGCTTTTACTCCTGCGATCCTTCGCTTTGCGAAACTGGTGTCGTACAGCAGCTTTCTTCCATGCCCATGGAATGTTCGCCTGGAGAGAGCGCCTGCATCGGACTTGTGAGACTGTAGCTCTCGTGGGGTCAGCGATTTGCATGCCAGTCGGTCAGCCAGTCAGCCATTGTTCGTCACTCATTGAGGAAGCGGTCGGTTGCTGGGTGAGGGTTGAAACTCAAATTTGTCGAGGTCGGCTTCCCACTTGGACTTGCCGCTTGCCCTGTCATTTATCCTACCGTGCCAGCCAGGCATGGCAGGCTGGACGTCACCGATCTTGATGCTGCTATGCCGATGGCGCTGAGGCGGTCATCGGTCTCGGGTGACAGTAAGCCTCGCAGCCAGCTGGGACACTCCGATACGTGCGGACGTGAGGAAGAAAGCACCTCCTTCTCCAACTGTCGTCGCCTGCAGTCAGTCAGTTGCGTCTGGGCGGCCAGCCAGCAAGCCCATGGGCAGTTGTATAGTACGATGCAATGCAGACGCAGATGCAATGTGCGTGCGTCGAGGGGCAGCGATGGTCTGCCAACTCTCCGACGCTGCAAAGTTCGCTTCTCCTTATCTACGAGCAATAGGCATGCTTGGCTGTCTGTATGCAAAACACAGAGATTCCCGAGCTCGGACTAGTCGTCTGCGATGATGCTCTGGCCTCCCACCCTATGACATCGAACATTAACATGAGCATCGGCATTGAGCATCAGCATGGTCATGGACATGAATAAAGAACTCCGCAACCCCCGGAAGCCGACTGTCGGCCGACGACTTCCCCAATAGGGTCAACCCGTTTCCTTCCGGAAGTACTGACCGGTCGGTCGAGCGCACTCCTGTCGACTGCGGCCGGTGCCGCTGGCATCGGATCCCTGGCCTGCAGTCTTGCACCCGCGGGCCGCATCTGCCATCCAAGGATTGTCCCGCCTCCGGGACTCTTGACTTCAGCCCTTGGGCCCGGCCAAGAGAGTCAAGCCCCTCTGGGCGATGCAGGATATTGCAGCGCAGATCTTAGTATTTGGAAGCTTGAATCAGCTGCTGTACTCTCTCTCCAGAGAGTGCCTGATCGTTGCTGATCTATTTTCGTCGGGGATGCAGGACGCGTGTGCCCATCTTGGTATGTACCATGTCCTCGACGGGGATTCCGAGTAAGTCGTGATACATTATGCTAATCGATCACCAAGCGATGGCTACTGTCATAAACCATGAGATAGAACACCGGCTGCTTTGAGCAGGGGGCCAGAGCAGGGCACCGCCGAGCTCCATGCCGTCTCTGCGGCTGAGAATGATTCAGAGAGCAAGGCAACCAAGATGAGCCCTGAGGCCACCGATTCTTCCTAAGGCCGTTGCTCCGGAACGAATCGTGAGACAACTCGCTGACAGCTGCACCAGCTACAAAGTGTCAGTCTCACCCGCTGACTGACTAGTCTCACACAACCTCTTGGTAAACAACCTAGGAGAGGCTGTCAGGCTCACGAGGAGCGAATGCCGGTCAGTACTCGAAGGGCGACGCCATGTATCTCAAGTCGCCCTCCGTCGACTCACCGTTTCCGCAACGTCTCGTGCAACCCTCGACGGCTGAAAGCCTTGGCTGTACCGCCGATCAGAAACCAACTCCCCCTGCAGACGGGTACCTCAAGGAGAGGAAGACGAAGAGGGATTCGCCCGTCCGTCCTATTGTGTGCGCTCTGCCCAGCCTTGCACGGTCACGGGCGTCGCATCGGGGCGTCGCCGCACAGGTCCAGAACGCTGCTCTTTCTTCCCAGTTGGGCCGCAGCCTCGCACCGCCCTGCCAGCCGGGGTGGGATGGCACAAAAACCCAAATCAAATTTAAACAACTTAAACGCATACCAAGACGGGTAATGCGCAAGGACAGAAACAGAAACATACACACACGCCTCCCCCGATCAGATCGCCGCATCGTCATTTCCACCCCGGGGAAGCAGACGATTCGCCCTTCGGAATGCGAGGGGGGAGGCAGGGCGCGAGCAGCCTAGAAAGGGGTCATCACTCATTCATTCATTGATGGGCGAGCGGGCAACGCTGATCCTGCCTCTGCCCTCTCTCACACACTCACAGGCGCTGTACGCCCACGATGAAGCAATCGTCCTCAATGACATGCTGCGCGTACGTGTGCGTGTGCGTGTGTGCGCCTGTGAAACAAGAACCTCCTCGTCACGTACCTACATATATGGATCGCCGCCCTCCCTAGGCGACTTGGCGCCAATCGGCGGCTGTCGCATCGTTGAACCGCCAAGTCGCCTATAGAATGTGACAGCCACCCTTTTCCCTGGCCCCGGCCGGCCCCAACACGACACGACACGACACCGACACAACAACGCGATCCGACACAATCTGTGCTCGTTATTGCCCAGGAAAAGCAATCACTCTCTCCTTAAACAGCCCCTCCTTCTGACTCTACTACTCTGCCACCCGGCCTAGCTAATGTGACACGCCAGTCCCTTTCCCACCCCAAAAGGCCCGAGTGAGATGCAAGTGGCCAGCTTGGCGCGGACACCGGAGGACCGCAATCCCGCCGGCAGTTGAGAAACCGCTGTGCCTTACTGACCAGGAGCTGTCTTGTGCGTGCGTGCTATTTATGGCCGAGAACGAGAGAAAGAGCGGTATAGGGAGTCATCATCAAACCTAACTTGTATGCATGCGGCCCTGTCCGGTCCCCCTCCCAGAACGCCAACAGGCCAGGAAGAGGGTGTGAGGTGTGCGTGTCAAAGCTTGTCGGGCCTCAGCTCCCAAGCGTTTTCCTTCCAGCTGTCTTGGGGAGGGGAGGGCTCTGCGAATGACTTGCGTCCGATCTGTGCTGGGCGAACCCGAGAATACCTTGGACAAGAAATCTTGTTTGGACATGCCTTCTTGGCTTTGTCGGCTGCCGGCTAAATCTGGCGAGGCTTTGCGGACTTCGCTTTCGTACCGTGCAAAGTAAAACCTGCTTGAGCTAGCGCATAGAAATGTGCGCGCGTTGCTTATTGAGAAAAGGACCTTCTGCGGTCGTTGATTCTGATTGGGGGGTATGTATATATGTAATGCCTATTAGATGCGCCTCTGCCCGTGTGAAATTTCAAAGCAAACTCCTTATCGTGTTGACCGAGACCCTGTTGTGTCATTATCCTGTGCCGCCCCAAACGTTGTGCTGATGTTTGCTGTATGTACACGCTCGCGATGATGAGTAACTCCAATGCTCCTCTTGTTTCCACTACACTTTCCACCAGAACGCAGCCCACTCGTTCTAATGCGTGAGACCTTCGCTGGTGACATACTCTGGGGGAGGCTCGTCCTCTCCCGTGTTCTCCATCCAGGCCTCGTATTCGTCGTCGGTTGCGCTTTCGCCCTGCGTATTCGAGGTGCCGAAGGAAAGCTGACTCTCCTCGGAAGGCTTGGCGGGAGGCGTGCCGCTGCTGCCCTCCTCAGGTGACCCGTCATCCATCACGAAAGGGTCCAGATCTTCGTCCGCGTCCTCTACATATGGGTGCCGATATGCCTCTGCCTCATCAGGCAGCGGGCTCGTTGGCTCCGAGTCAGCGATCGGGGCCTCGACCACGAGCATGTCCTCGCCCTGCCCATGCATCTCCTCATCCGTGCGTCGCCGCCGCTTGGGGAGGGGAGGCGGTGGAACAGGCCGCCGCTTGGCATCTTGTCCTTTCGCATCAGCGGGAGGACGCTCAGGCAGCGGAGGGGCAGGCACCGGCTTTCTTCTGGGTACCGGTATTGCCGTCTTGGTCTTCTTGTCAGGCATCGGCAGAGGAATGCCAGGGGGAGGGAGCGGCCTGCCTCCACCCATCGGCTTGCTCAGGTCGAGTTGAGGCTCGCCTTCTGCTCCCTGTCCATTCTTCACCTGGTCATTGGCGTGGCGCTGCAGAGCGTTCAAGCCCCATCGTCGAGCCGCCCCTGCTGCGCTGGATACTGCCGCTAAACTGGTAGGTATCCGCTTGGCCGATTCCGTGTTGGAATTAGTAGTCGCAGTCGTGGAGGCAGAATCCGTGGTGTTCTCCCTTTTTAGGAAGAGCCCACGGGTCAGAGATCCTGTGTTGGTCTTGGAAGATTTGACAGAGGGCGTTGGGGAGCCGCCCGTCCCAGAGCTGCCATCGCCCGTGTTGCTGTGAGTAGATGATGCCGTACCCCTGCGAGGCAGCTTGGGTGTCTCGTCTTGCTCTGATTCCTTGTCCGTATGATCTTTGGATGACGCGTTAGATTGAGCAGAGGCGATCGATACGATCGAGTTTCTGTGTGGAGACGTGAGAGGCGAGCCTGAACCAGAAGCAGCTTTCGACCTGGATGAAAGTCTGGCCATGGCACTAGCTGCTGGACTTTCCCCGGGCGGTGACGACGGCTTGAAGACATCAGCATTCACCGTGTCCGTCGAGACAATTGGCGTTGGCTCCCCAACAAAAGAGCCAGACCTGACAGGGCGCTGTTTCGCATGCGTTTCCTTCTTGACGTCGACGCTCGTGGACGAAGCATCCACTTTCACGTGCTTTGGCTCGATGACGTCTATTGTAGGGGAGGATGGATTGGTCTGCGGGATTTTACTGCCCCTCCCGAGCTTGAGCCCAAATAGACTCGTCGATGGTGAAGTTTGAACGGGCTCGATCACAGGCATACTCTGGCTCTTCTCCATCGGTGGCAGCTCATAGTTGGGAGGGGTCCCAGTGTCCAAAGTCTCCACATCATCGACCTCTCCGATCTGCGCTGCCGCGGTCTCCGAGTCCAAAGATGGCTCCACGGCATCGTCTCCTTGAAATATACCACCTCTCCATCTCTTATGTTCGGTCTTGAAGAAAGGAGTGTCGTCCCAGAATGGCAGAACAAGTGTCTCCGCGACAACCTCTTTGATCCGAGCCTCGATCTGACGAAGAATAACAGTGTACGTGATCTGTCTAGAGCTCACAATTGGCTCAATGGTCATTTCCATCTTGGGCACCTGTGAGAAGGTAAACCACACCCGGTTGCTCGGAGGTGGCTTAATCTTGAAAATCAAATGCCCCTCCATCTTCCGCAGCGCGACAGACAAAACCAAATTAACCTCACGAGCCTTGAGACGCGTTCCAAGGTCAAGCCGAGCAACAGCAGCGACCTCGATTCGAAAATTACCGGTGTACTTCACATCGGCTTCCATGGAACACTCTCCTTCGACTGTGAGGTCTTTGTGGCGAAGGTTTGTGAAGTAAGGAGCGGACTCCCCGGGATCGATCTTGCGAATCTCGATACTGGATAAGAAGGCAGGGCGCTTGACCCGGCTGATCTTTTTGGTCAGCTTCTCCCGGATGAAAGCCTCAATGTCCGCAGTCTTGTAGAGCCCTAGAAAGAGTCTCCCAAGCATAGCATTGAGCCATCTGCTCTGTAGGTGCTCCTCGGATGAATGGAGCTTCTGAACCAGAGATATGACGTTCTTGACGTCAAAAGATAGAGGCGGTGCTGCTCGCTCTCCTGAAGGGAATGCCTGTTCCTGGTTTCGCAGCAAGGCGAAATAGAAGTCTTCCTTGGCGGAGCAGTTTTCCGAGAACAGGTAGAATGGCTTGGATATTTGGCTATCCGGCGTCAACTCTGCCGTTTCGTTTATCCGTCGTGAAAGACATATAGCATTCCTTTTGATAAAAAGCTCCCCTTCCGGTGTCACATCACCGCCGGAATAGATGCTGACGTCGTGGTGGGTAAGAGAAATAACATGTCGGACCTCGAGCTGTTCGTCGTCGTCGAATAACATGAGATGGCCATGTCTACAGGCAAGTAAGGTCAGCATGGGACGAGCTTGACGACCGGGAGGCAGGCTTTTACCTCAACACGACGTAGAAGACATTTCCCGCTTTCTTTGGCCGAAGACTAACACTTTTGCCATTGTCTAAGGGGCCTGGATTCTGCTTCCTATCAAATATGCTCCGGTACATAGTCTGGTACACGCTCTGACTGGGAGCTGCTACTGTCGTGGAGCCAACGGGTGTGGATCGTTCGATGGGCTTGGCATTTATTCCCATGGGCGTGTACTCTCGACACACGGCGAAGTAGCCAGCTGCAGTTTCGGTTTCATGGTGACCGGTGGCCTTGGCCTTCGCTTGTTCCTTCGATTCTTTCTGAGCAGCCTGCAGAGGCCCAAGATCGTCGCTCGGTTGGACGAGATCATCGGCTCCGGTGTCTCTGCTCGGATCGGCATCTTGTCGACGAGGTAGAGTGAAGTGGGCGTGGAGAAAGACCGTGAGGACAACGAGAGGGAGGAAAGTAACACCACCAAAGAGGTAGGTTAACAGGAAGGTTGCCCAGCCCCCCATTATTGTATCCGGGAGGAGAGGGTGGAAGCTGGCGAAGCTGCAGAAGCTCCAGGGCGGGCTCGGAAGGTCGGTCGAGGTGTTACGCTCTTCCTCGCTTCAGTATGCAGCATGAAATCATGAAGTGGAATGATTCTGGGCGACTGTTTCAGCGCGATCATTGCATCGCCTCGAGAGTAGAGTGATTCGGGTCAGACCAAAGCGCGAAGGGGGAAAGTTGGGAAAGATGACATCCAACGTGTCTGATTCCTATGATTAGCCGCGTTGGAGGTGTGTCTGGCAAGGTCCTTGCTGTACTGCTAATTTGGGAGCTAGCTCCCGAGGCTCCAGTCCCGCAGTGACGCAGCCTCCGCCCAGGATCATCAGATGAGCCTCAAGGCTTGAACATGCCACGCCGAGATTTCAGGGGCACTTTATACATACAAATGTTACTGACATATTTCTTATGCCTTCTACGTCTGAACGATTCCTTAGCCTTGATATCTTGAAGGTCAGATGCACTTTAATATTGTTCGACGTCTATGTTCGCTTGGGAAAGACTGCCCCTCATCTGTGGAAGCCTAGACCGGGTCAAGCGGCCTTGTGACACGATACACCATGCACACATATCCTCATATGAAAAACAGTCTGCAAGCCGGGTTGCTGGGTTCTTTGCCTCGAGGATCTCGAGACTTGAGTTGCATAAGTATGTGCCGATATAGTTGAATGAAAAGCACCTATGCTCTTGCAAATTGAAGCACTAAGGGAGACATGACGAGGATGCGCGTGATTAAATTATTGGACCAACAATAGATGGCATTCTCCGCATTCGAGTTTCCATACTTACGAGCATAAAACTGGGAGATGCATATCAAGCGGTATGAAATACTCTCAGGCTTCAACATGAGATATCACGGACATGGTCGAGAACACAGTCCCGAGGAGTGTAAAGCCCAAACGACCGTTTATGAAGGCATCAATTCAAGGGACATGGAGGAGTTAGCCAGAGAAGTGTCCATGCTGGAGTTCCCCGAAATTCTAATAGTGCAAACAACAGCCACCAAACTCAGTGAGGGGTTGGAGCAAGGCTAGAAGGAGGATGAGGCGATGTTCAGGAGCCGAGTCATAAAGAAACGAATAGACTGGCAATAATGAGGGGAGTTGGGTGATTACGAAGTTGGTTAGCAGACAGGCTTAGATGACGAGAGGCTGCAGGTACAACGCTTGGACTTGATCAATTTGCACCGGAACATCTGACGTCTGGGCGATAGTATTGTGTACAGACTGGGAGAGCCGCCCAGGACCATGGGTTTGATCTCATGCGCTGGTATACGCCAAATGAGAGGGTCCAAAAGGGTAGTCATTCGTGTTCATGGAAGCTGGCGATGGTGAACATAGTCCTCAAACGTTCTCTGAAAACATCCCAGTCCCATTCGACGGTCATTTATCAACCACAACGGAGGTGGTGAGCCTCTGGAACAAGGAACCGCATGAGACCGCCCAATTCCTCGTATCAGCCCTTGGAACATTCACAGCGCCCGGGAGATTTGCGCGTTGAGAATTTGTTGATTGTCGCTTTGCAAGCGGCTGGGAATCGTAATTCCTCTCAAGAGCATACACCACCACTCAAGACCAGACATCAAGCGCATCCGGTCATTTGCCCCCAGACATACATCCCCACGCCTGATCCTCTGTCACCTCTGTCACCAGAAAACATGGTCGAGAGCCTTGGATGTGTCGTTGGTTCATCTTTTTTAATTTCCCTAAAAGCATTGCCACTTTCCATACCGGACCATGCTAGAAATCTTTCCGTGCCGTATGTGAACCCCGTGCAAAGACAAAGCAAGCAATCGTAAACCACCGGAACCCCTTCGTAACTTCCCCAACCTAGATGGTGGTCTCGTAGGCGACAGGTGCCAGGGTCTCGGGTCGGCTCTCCTTGTACGAGATCGTCCGGGCCTCGCGGGGTGCAAGGGCTTGCCTCTTAACCTGAACGGTGGTACCCTCAGACTTGGCCTTGGCCTTCAGGGCGGCGTTCTCCTTCACTCGGCGCAGGAAGTCCTCTCGGGATCGCGACAGACGGACGTGCTCGATGCGGAGGTTGACACGCTTCTCGATGTATCGGTGCTTGACACGCTTGTAGATGATGACACCGACAGCGGACTTGGTGACGTTGTAGACGACACCGGTCTTGCCGTGGTAGACCTTGTGGGGCATACTGTGTTTGCAAATGTCAGGATTTCGTGATCCTGTCGAGTATCGTCGCGGCTCTTTCGTTGTAGGAAACTTACCCCTTCTGGACGGCACCGTTGGCCTTGATGTCCACAATATCACCGACCCTGGACCAGCTGTTAGATATCTTCGATTTCGACTTGTTCCAGAGCTCGATTCCCGCTTACTTGAACTGGTGCAGGTAGGTGGACAGGGCGATCATACCCTTCTTGCGGAAATCCCGCGAGAAGGCATACTATTTCGCAAACCATCAGCATTTCGACGTCCCACATCATAGCCCGTTTTCCTTAGGCATCGAATGATCCGGTGCAATACGTACGCGAGTGCCTGCACGAAGACCAGCGGCGTGACCCATCTTGATTGATTTGCTGGGTGATTAGTTGAGGAGGTTGTCGTGGTCGTCGGTTTTTGCTGGGGCTGTCACTGGAAATCGCTGATGGCAGCCGCGAAGGTCTCTTCTGGGTGTGGACTTGCCCTAGAATTTTCCGGCCTACTAAGGAAGGAGCAGCCCTAAAAGTCGGGCAAGTACGACCGACCGACAAGAAAGTGGGCACGTGACTGGGATTAAGTGGGACCACTCCACAGTCTTCCACTCCAACCATTACCACGAACTTTTTCTTTCTGATTCCCACGACAGCAGCGTTGAGATACACTCCGTAATCCGCAACACCAGCAACAATGGCGCCGCTCTCCTACTCCAAGACGGCCAAGGTGCCCAGAAGGTACAGTCAAATCAACAAGAATTTAATCAGCATCTTTGACACCTGCTAACTTTCGATTCAACAGACCCTTCGAAGCCGCTCGTCTGTCAGTATAGCCCGGCCACTGAGCAGCAGCTTGTCTCTGCCCATGTCGAAGGTGCACCCAAACTGACCATGATCACACAGCGACTCCGAGTTGAAGCTCGTCGGCGAGTATGGCCTGAAGAACAAGCGTGAGGTCTGGCGTGTCCAGCTCACCCTGTCCAAGATTCGTCGTGCTGCCCGGTATGCATTTCTCAGCTCCCACGATGCGCAGACACGTGCCCGCAGTCATCAAGCCTCTGAAGATCTAACAACCCCTGCAGTCAGCTGCTCACCCTCGACGAGAAGGACCCCAAGCGTCTCTTCGAAGGAAACGCCCTGATTCGCCGTCTCGTCCGTGTCGGTGTGCTCGACGAGTCCCGCATGAAGCTCGATTACGTGCTTGCCCTTAAGGTCGAGGATTTCCTTGAGCGTCGTCTGCAGACTTGTGTCTACAAGCTCGGTCTCGCCAAGTCCATCCACCACGCCCGTGTCCTCATCCGCCAGCGCCACATCCGTGTCGGCAAGCAGATCGTCAACGTGCCCTCTTTCATCGTCCGTCTCGACTCCCAGAAGCACATTGACTTCTCCCTGACCTCGCCATTCGGTGGTGGCCGCCCCGGCCGTGTCCGAAGAAAGAAGGCCAAGGCTGCCGAGGGTGGCAGCGGCGACGCCGAGGAGGAGGAGGAGGAGTAGATTATACCCACACTCTCCAGCCAGGGTCTCCCCCAACGAAATGAAAACAAAAATGCATTTGGGCTTGGGCAGCTAGGTTTGCTGGTCACGGAAAAGGAACGGAGTTTTGCGTCATCGATAACGGCATGCGATGCGACGCCATAGGTCAATGGAATAAATGAATGACAAGACACGTTTCTTCCCAGACACATCGTGATTCCGTCTACCGTACTTTTGTGTGAACACGACACATCTCGCGTCAGGACTCGATAGCAGCCCTGACTTTCTCGTGCTTATTTGTCCGCCAATCTGTATATGATCTATCAGGCCCGCCAAAGGCTGGCTCCCGGGCGGCTGGCTATCCACCAAGAGCAAGAGGCTGTACGAAAGATTGGCAAGAATATGGCATTGGTAGCTAGATGCTCTGCTTGGACTGGACTAAAGATTTCCAATCAAAGGCTGTGACGCATTGTATCATGCGTTTGAATTTCACGATGCTCTTCTGTGAGCTGCTAATGTACGAGTTCATCCTTGCCCAGGAACTTTGCCATCGGATCGTCAGCCGCTGTCCGCTTTCGCCGGTAATCTTCAAGCTCTTCCTCTGTGATGCCACTCGCCATCTCCTCCCTCGTCCGTTTAAGGTTCTGCTTCTCATTCTTCGCGTCATCTGTCCGACTCGATTCGGCGGCAGCAGCCTCCTGGTCCTCAGCATTGTCTTCAGCTGCTTCTTCGAGCAGATTTGCGCCGCTTCTCTGCTTTTCCGACGCCTCCCAGGCCTTCTTGCCGTCTTCACCCGTGCAGTAGCTGTTCTTGATAGTAGAGTGGCAGCATTCGTAGCCCCACTGGAAATTTGACCACCAGCTGCCCCATACCGATGTGTGGTTGCTTATGTAGACATCCTCCGGGTACTTTGACTTTGCAGACGCCTTGGCCCCCTTGACCAATCCGTGCTCGTCGTATTCAACAAAGTGCTCGTTCTCCGTGACGGTCATGTCTCTCAGCGCAGCTGGCATCGACTGTGTACTGTCACCGTACAGATCCTGGAGCTGCTTCTCCTTCTCCAGCTTCTTCCTCTCGGCCTCCTCCTTCTCTTTCTTACGGAAGAACTCTCCTGCCGTCGGATTCGCTTGCAAGTGCTGGCTTGTGTCTCCCTTCTTCTCTTGAGCCTCCCATGCGTACTTTGTCGCACGCTCAAACTCGGCCGCGTCGCCTGACCCACGCACGAAGCCCTCCTCCGCGAACAGCTCGGCAGCCTTGTCGGCAGTCGCTCCGGCGTCCACTAGCGTCCTGGTCTTGGGGTCGTATTTTGCCGACTCCAGGTCGAGGTTCAGCAGGTACTTGGCCGTGTCCTCCCGTATGCGCAGCTGCCTCGTCGAGGTAGGCTGGTGCTTGCTCATGTCGACGTCCTCGGCGTACTTGTCACCGGCATCGCCCTCCTCCTCCCCGTCCTCCCCAGCCTGCTTCTTCCGCATCTGTCGTTTGAGCTCCGCCATCTGGTCGTATTCCTCCACGATGTGCTTGTAGTCCTTCGCCTCGTAGCCGTTCCACCGGTCGCGCTTCGCATCCCAGCTCAGTTGCACCTCCTGCACCACATCGTCGGCTTGGATATTCTTCCCCGTGAACTTTGCGCCCTTTTTCCTTGGCCGTTCCAGGCACTCTTTGGCCTTGTGGCCCATGGCGCCGCAGTTCTCGCATGCGCCCTTGCGGAACTTGGTCGCGGCCTTGCCCTTCTTGCCTCGGTCGTACCATGTCGAGTCTTGCTCTTTCTTTTGCAGACGCTGATGCTCTAGGTAGTCGGTCTCTTCTCCCTCACCAGCATAAAACGGTCGCTTGGAGATGAAGTTTGGGATGTAGGCGTTCTCTTCCTTGTTCGGCGCAGTCGAGGCATCCCGCCGGGAGGGCGGCGGCGGTGGAGGCATGGCGGCGAATGATGATCTGGAGCGCTGAGAGTCGAGGGTATTTGGGGAACTAAGGAGTTGGGAGCGTACAGTCCAAAAGATCCGTAGGGGCGTGTGGAAAAGCCAGGTTCTACATGTGATTGTAGAAGTCTTCGAGGGATGTATGCGATCGCAGTCGCTTCAAGCGGGCTATTGGGATGACATCTCAGGGTCAGGGTCTGGCATTGTCTGCCTAGGTGGGCAATTCCCACGTGCAATTGGCGTTAGTTTGGCGTGGTACGGCAGGCTCCAGAGTCAGCTTATGCAGCCGCGACTCACTAACACGCTGAGGGAGCGCGTCTCTTAATCTCAGAGAAACATGCAATTCTTGAGGCTCAGCTCCAGAGTCTTCTACTTAATATTCCCTATGTCACATCCTCTTGAATACCAGCCGTTCCTCACTTGGCAATGAGACGATGAGCAGCCCTTACGTTGTTGACGCACTCCTTGTGAAGGCAACTACAGGGCGTCATGGATGTCTTGCCCTTCAAGGTTCGCCAGAACTGCATCGACTTTTACCAAGCGACTCCCACCAAATACGACCCCCAGCTTCGCAATGACATACGCCCGGACCAGCTGTCCAAGGAACCAAAAGTGCCCGTCATCCGTATTTTTGGGTCCACTCAGACTGGGCAAAAAGTCTGTGCCCACGTTCACGGTGCGTTCCCGTACCTGTACATCGAGTACACGGGCAGTCTTGCTCCTGAGGAGGTTGGCGCATACATCTACCGCCTACATCTGTCTATCGACCATGCTCTGGCTGTGAGCTACCGCAAGGACACCTACAGCAACCAGGCCAAATATGTCGCCCGCATCACGCTCACCAAGGGCGTGCCTTTCTATGGCTTTCATGTCGGATATCGCTTCTTTCTCAAGATTTACATGTTCAATCCTATCGTCATGACCAGGCTGGCCGACCTTCTGCAGCAAGGTGTTATAATGAAGCGGAAATTCCAGCCATACGAGGCGCATTTGCAGTATTTGCTGCAGTTTATGTGTGATTACAACCTTTTCGGCTGTGACTACCTCGAGAGTGCCAAAGTGAAATTCCGCTCCCCAGTGCCTCAGTACAGCGAAGAGGATGAGAGCTCTCTACACCTTTGGCACAGCCAGTCTGTCTCTACCGAAAACATTACCGAGGATTATACCTTGCCTCGTGTCAGCCACTGCTCGATCGAGGTCGACATATGTGTCCAAGACATAGCCAATCGGAAGAATGTGAAAGAACGGCGCCTTCACCATGAATTTATTGAGAAGGATCATCCTGTTCCTGCCAGCATGAAGTTGGTACACAGTATGGCTGGTCTGTGGCGAGACGAAACGAAGCGCCGGAAACGAAGAATGCACATCACGAACCCGGGCAGCAGTCCCTTTCCTCCCGAAGTTCTTGTGTCTATGTCAGCCGATCCTCGTGAGTCTCAGCCTCAGGGCTGGGTTCATGAAGAAGAGTATCTGGAGGACATCAAAGAACTTGTTGCCGAAGAGGCGGGGGCCAACAGTGGCACCAAACCATCATTCGATGGCTTCGTACAACTCATACCATTTGAGGAGACTGTGAACACAACGTTGCAATCTATCGAAGACCTTTTCCCTCAAAACCTGTTACCTTCTTTAGGCCGATCATCTCAACTCTCCAAACAGGACCCAAATTCGTCGGAGAACGTGGTAGTTGACGAAAAGGGCATCCTCGCAGCTCAAAAGGATGACGAGGATTTGTTTCCGGATGACTCAGATGAGGAGCTTTTTCAGGAGGTGACGCTGCCGCAGAAGGCTCCTCGACAGGCTGCAGAAACGAATGCGGAGAAACCTAAGCCTCAGAATGTGGTGCCCAAGACGACAATAAACAAACTATCCACTACCGGATCTTTTGTTAGACAGGTCGCCCACAGACACGTGTCTACAGCCATGGAGTCCGCTGTGCTTCAGACCACTGATGGCTTACCCAAAGGCGTTTGCTTCAGTGGTCAGAGAACCGGCCACCTGCCTGCACTTCCTCTCACGGAGGAATTAATCGAGGCGGCTGACAGAGATGGCCTCATCAGCAAGGATCCTGCGAGCCAACGAGGGCTGAAGAGTATGAGCCTCCCATTGAAGCGACCCAATGAGGCGACCTTGGAGTCATCGAGTTCAAAACGCCCAAAGGTCGACTATGCTATTGCACCAGCCCTTTCGGGAACGGCGACACTCGTCCATGGTGACGGGAAGGCCCTAGAGCGTCGCCCAAGTACAAACACACAGCGGCATGTGAAATTCCAATCCTCACAAACAGCAAAGCATACCAAGAATGGTGCTAAGTTCAAGAGAGAGGATAACCAGAGGCTTGGGTTTGCTGTCGTCAAGGACCCCAATGATCCAAGCACAAAGCTGCGCTTGAGCCAACACAGTAGCTCGCAGAAAAGTGATGATGGCTTTTCCAAGGCAGACAAGAAACTCGACAAGCTTTCCAGCTCAGCTGAAGAAACAACTCCGGTGACCTCTAGCAGTGAAAAGTCATATATGCTGCCGTCTTCTCCTTCGTCCATCAGACCCCATTTACCAATTTCTCCAAAAGCCCAGTCGCCTACAGCTTCTTCTGAACTAGGAGGATCTTGGATCAACGTTCTGAACTACCTGCCGCCATCAGCAGCAGACGTCGCTACAACCATGCAAGACAACAGCTTGCCGGATGTCATTTACCAAGACGCCTTCTACAGCCAGGAGAAAGACGTGCCGCCAAAAATGAGGGAGTATGCCGGCAGAGAATTTCGCCTTGAGGGAATTACTTTGCCTTTTCTGCCCGACTTCGACGCTACGGGTCAATCGCCGGCTACGTATGGTATCAAAATAGAAGGCAATCCGAATAATAAGAAACAGACTGAAATGGAGAACCAGAGAAAAAGCCGGCAGTGTTCATTGAGAAGCTGGGAGATGGCGGAACCACCACCGACTTTTCAAGAAGTCAGTGACTGGTGGGTTGCAAAGCAGAAGAGAAAATCAACTCCGCATTCGCCGAACAAAGAAGGTGCTTCTGTTGGAACGATTGCAACACAAAAGCCTTTCCTCTCGCAGATACTTGGAGCCACGCCAAAGAGCAAGCACGGCTTCAGGTACTCCCAAAAGAAAAGAACCACCAGTGTCCAACATGAGGCCCAGTACATGAGTACTATGAGCCTTGAGGTTCATGTTAATTCCAGGGGAAGACTCGTTCCAAATCCAGAAGAAGACGACATACAATGTATCTTCTGGGCCACCAAGTCGGACGAGAACTTGCAAGACAGCAGCCAACTGCCGGACAGCACCCTAGCTGGCATTATTGTGGTATCTGAGGATGGCGAGATTGCGCGACGCATACGACGTTATACAAAGTTAGAGGTCATAGAAGAGCCTTCAGAACTTGACGCCATGGTTCGAATGATTGAAATCGTTCGGACTCATGATCCTGACATTCTCGCAGGGTATGAGGTACACGGCAGCTCTTGGGGTTATCTTGTCGAGAGAGCCAGGCATAAGTATGATTACAATTTGTGCGATGAGTTCTCTCGCATGAAGACACAGTCTCATGGTCGATTCGGCAAAGAGGCTGATCGTTGGGGTTTCAATACCACGTCGACCATCCGCGTCACGGGCCGCCACATGATCAACATCTGGAGGGCAATGCGAGGGGAGTTAAATCTCCTCCAGTACACCATGGAGAATGTTGTCTGGCATCTGCTTCACAGACGCATCCCACATTACTCATGGCGAACACTCTCAGATTGGTATACCAACGGGCGTCAGAGGGACTTGGCCAAAGTCCTGCGGTATTACATCACTAGGACGAAAATGGACATCCAGATACTCGAAGAGAATGAGCTGATTCCCCGTACCAGCGAGCAAGCGCGGCTGCTGGGGGTCGACTTTTTCTCGGTCTTCTCTAGAGGTTCACAGTTCAAGGTCGAGTCTATCATGTTCCGTATCGCTAAGCCTGAGAACTTTGTCCTCGTTTCTCCGAGCAGGAAACAAGTCGGCGGCCAAAACGCATTGGAGTGTCTACCTCTGGTCATGGAGCCTCAAAGCGCCTTCTACAACAGTCCTTTGCTTGTTTTGGATTTCCAGAGCCTGTACCCAAGTGTCATGATTGCTTACAATCTATGCTACTCTACTTTTCTGGGACGGATCGTGAACTGGCGAGGCACGAGCAAGATGGGCTTCACCGACTACAAGCGCCAAGAGCGTCTGCTCGAGCTCCTACAAAATTACATCAACATCACTCCAAATGGCATGATGTTCACCAAGGTCGAGATACGGAAGTCTCTTTTGGCGAAGATGTTGACTGAAATCCTGGAGACCAGGGTCATGGTCAAAAGCGGCATGAAGCAAGACAGGGAAGACAAGACTCTGCAACAGCTCCTGAACAATAGACAGCTGGCCCTCAAGCTCCTGGCAAACGTTACGTATGGATATACCTCAGCATCATTCTCTGGACGCATGCCCTGTTCCGAGATAGCGGATAGCATCGTTCAGACTGGCCGCGAAACCCTCGAACGTGCCATTGCATACATCCACTCGGTTGAGAAATGGGGCGCCGAAGTCGTTTACGGCGACACAGACAGTCTCTTCATATACCTCAAGGGCCGAACCCGCTCACAGGCGTTCGACATAGGCAGTGAAATCGCCAAGGCCATCACCGACATGAATCCCCGCCCAATCAAACTCAAGTTCGAGAAGGTCTATCACCCTTGTGTTCTGCTGGCAAAGAAGCGCTACGTCGGCTACAAGTACGAAAGCCGAGATCAGGTCAAGCCCGACTTTGACGCCAAGGGTATTGAGACCGTCCGCCGCGACGGAACGCCGGCCGAGCAAAAGATCGAGGAGAAGGCGCTAAAGATACTATTTGAGACGGCGGACTTGAGCCAGATCAAGAGCTACTTCCAAAGCCAGTGCGACAAGATCATGCGCGGGCAGGTGTCCGTCCAGGACTTCTGCTTTGCCAAGGAGGTCCGCCTGGGGACGTACTCGGACAAGGGCCCACCGCCACCAGGCGCGCTCATCTCGACGAAGCGGATGCTCGAGGACGCCAGGGCCGAGCCGCAGTACGGCGAGCGCGTGCCGTACGTGGTGATCACGGGCGGGCCCGGCGCGCGGCTGATCGACCGGTGCGTGGCGCCCGAGGACCTGCTGAACAACGACCACGTCACGCTCGACGCCGAGTACTACATCACCAAGAACCTGATCCCGCCGCTGGAGCGCATCTTCAACCTGGTCGGGGCCAACGTGCGCCAGTGGTTCGACGAGATGCCCAAGGTGCAGCGGATCCGGCGCGTCGACGCCCAAGGTGTCGGGCCGGCTGGCGGCGGCGCCATCAGGAAGAAGCTTACGCTTGAGAGCTACCTCCACAGCGCGAGCTGTGTCGTCTGCGGGGCCAAGATCAAGGTCAACAACAACACCAGCGGCAGCGGCAAGGACGCCGCCCTCTGCGGGAGGTGCCGGCGCGACACTGCCGGCTCGCTGCTGCAGCTGCAGACGAGGCTGAACACGGAGGAGAGGAGGTACATGGAGGTCGTTAAGGTTTGCCAGAGCTGCGCGGGCCTGTCACCGCTGGACGACGTCCCCTGCGACAGCAAGGACTGCCCGGTGTTCTACACGCGGAGGAAGCAGGAGGCTAGGCTGAGGAGTGAGAGGGGTATTGTCGAGCCTGTTGTGAGGCGGCTCGCCGTCGGCGCAGGAGAGCTGGAGTGGTGAGGCTCGGGATTGATTGGAATGGGTGTTCGGCTTTGTTTTGTCTGGTGTTCATGGTTGGGCGGCAGGGGTAGGATAGACTGGGCGCTGTCATGGCTACTTGATACCTCGGGTGCATAGGGCAATCAATGCAGGAGAGGCATTCGGAAATGGCTGTAGGTATGGTATGGGCAGGGCGATATGGCGTGGCAGGGCAATTATAATCGGCATACAATGCGAGACAGGATACACAGTCTCTAGAAGACGAGGAGCAATTCCAGGATTTGCAATTTATAAAATCATCATTCAGTCACCTAGACAAGTGGTCTGCCTACCTCCGCTACGGTGATTACCGACGAGACTACCACCACCCATCCCTCCCATCTCCTCTCATCCTTTCTCCTGTCGCAATGCAAGATGACAAGACGATCAATTTCGAGCCTGTGATGTGATAGTATCAGAGAAACTCCATACCGTGTCCATCCCAGCAGCCCGTAAACCGATTGTAGCAAGAAAAGAGACTCAAGGAAAAAGTAGCACGTAAATGTAGCATGGGTAATCCTCGACAGCACTTGACTCCACAAACTCCCCCTTCCAGCTACCCATCTCCTGTGTGCGTACTGGTACAGCGAGGGACAACCCTGGTGTGGTTGCCCTCCGATCATAGTTTGCGATACAGACACTCGGGCAGCAAGCTAAAGCTCAGTGGGGAGAACCAGTGACGAGGTCAGGTTCATGAGGTATCGTGTAGAGTCTGGTGTGAGACCAGTCGATGACAAGTAGATGCCGAATGAGTTTTCCATGCCGAGACACGCAAAATGAAATTAGGCATCATCAAGTTCGTAAAGAGATTCTGAGACGTGACGCTCGTTGTGGTTGTTTGGATGTATTGCAAATGATAATAGCAATGTGTGCGGCGAGTTCTGAATCGGGGTCGATCTGGTATTTGCCGTGTATGTGGTTTGTCGAGAAAAAAGGAAATACAATCAGTGAGTGACAGGGTCACGATGCAGACTGGGAAATGACTAAAATCATGATCCAGATCTGATCGTCCCCAATGATGGGCCGGGTGTGCTCGCACGAGATGGATGCGAGTGGATACTCGCGTGGTCGTGACCGTGCTGAGACTGACGACTACCCTTCTTGCGTGTTAAAGTACCAACATCATGCCTCCCTATTCATTATCAGTCAGCGAGAACGATCCACGTGAACCTTATCTTTGGTTTGTCTCAACTTACCATCACAGCATGACCGGACGTTATCCAGCCTGTCGGCCTCTCTATCTTGCTTCTCGTACATCATCCTCAGTTCTTCCGCACTATCATGCGCCTCGTTGTTGTCGTAGAAGCTGCTTTGGTCCTGGGGACCGCTGCGGCTCTTCAATGTGCTGAGTGAATCCTGGGTAGACTTCCAGTACCCGCTGAGCCGGCCAGTGAAGGTCGGCCGCGAGATACTAGCCGAAGATGAATTCTTCTTGTGGTTCGGTGTCAGTGTAGGCACATCCAGATTCATAGCAGAGTGGCTGCGTGTTCCCTGTGAGGTGTACGATGAGATCGAAGGCGGCGGACGAGGCCTTGTGCCAGCTGCTGGGCGGCGACCATACTGTGGGTTGAACTCGTCGACGTCTTCCCTGGTGATGCCATTGACCATCTCCTCTGTGTCTGCGTGGCCTTCACTATTGGTTCGGAGGAGCAGGTAAGAGAGGGCGTTGAACCAAGTCTCATGCCGTTGACCTGTCGTACAGGTAAACTTGACACTCCGGCCTGGTGATATAATGACGAGACTCTTGCGGTGCAGTCCAGGGGGCATAGGGTTGTCGTCTGTGACAACACGCACCGCCTCGATGGGCACGCTCTTGGCTCGAAGCTCGGAACGGCCGGCATTGCTGGGATCCCGATCACTCCAGTACAAGGTACGGGTGTAAGGGTGGACCCAGAAGTACCGACGGTGTCTCTTCTCCGACATCTCGCCACGGCCTGCCTTGCGAGTGTACTTCCACAAGTATTCACCGATCATAGTCTGAGTGATAGCTTGAATCATCCGTGGATCTGTGTTCGGCCCAAAGCCGTGCGGGTCCATGCCCATTCCGCCGATGTTCTGGAAGCGTGCATCCACCTCGGAAGCAAAGCTCGAGACGGACGACTTCCGGCTTCTCGCGGTGAGCCGAGTTGGCGAGTGGACCTCCACAGTACCGTGTGCAGAGTCCATTCTATCCTGGCGAGGCGTCGGCGTGCCCTTGACACTTGCAGTGACGGACCTGGCTGACATCGGCGTCCTAGGTCTAGTCAACGGGTTCTTGTAGGCAGATGCCGGGAAGAGCGGGGGCCCCATGCTGCCGACCGCGCCTTGTCCGCTGTTAGCTGTGCCTGTTCGTGCGGCCTCGATAACCTCCTTATGGTTCGGCGGCAGTGGTGGCGCGTTCTTCAGCGAAGCACGAGTGCTGGATGCGCTGTCGGGTCTACGGGAGGCAGCATCCGCAGCAGATTCAGCGCCTGCGTCCATCGGTTTACTCTTAGGCCTGAGAGCATTGTTCAGGCTCTCATGTGATCGTTGCACGCGGACGGTACCTGGCGTGCCGATGCTGCTCGCGCTCACAACAGAATCGGACTTCTGGTGCCCAGCGTGTGTCTGTGGTCGGTTCTTAGCCTGGAGTATCTGATCAATTGCATCGGCTGTCAGAGAAGTCTGGGCACCGGAATCAGACATCTTGATGTTCTCCTTGCGGCCAGCCTGGGCGCTGGTGTTTGCGTTGGCCGAGATCTCCCGGAATGGACGTTGCGAATCTGGAGTCGCTGTGAGAGGAGTGTCTCTAGGTGATTGCCTGGTCTCATCCTCAGCGATGAAGGGCGTCTCGAGCTCTTGGCTCTTGCCTCGTCCGAAGAAAGACCCGAAGAAACCCTTTGATGGCGTCGACGGCCGCTCTTCTTCGTCCCGTGGGATGATGAAGGCATTCCTCTTCGGGCTTCTAGGCGAGAGGGGCTCGGTTTCCAATGATTGAATTGATGAGAAGTCAAGCGGAGCATGCGCAGGCTTTCTCGCGATGAGTTCCTTCTCGTTAGTTTGGACAGGTTGGACCGGCTCGACGTGCTCAGAGATGATGGAGGATACGGTCAGCGGTGGCGAGAGCACCTCAGGTTCTGATCTTGGCTCAATGTGCTCTGAAGCAATGGCCGAGACAGACAAGGCAGGTAGAGGCTCAGCGTTGGGTTCGACATTCTCTGCCACGATGGAGGACATCGAGAGTGGTGGTGGTAGCGGTTGAAGCTCCGCCCTTGGCTCTACGTGCTCTGAAGCTATCGTAGACATGGACAGTGAAGGAAGAGGAGTTGCAGGCTCTGCCTGCGGTTCAATGCCCTCGGCCACGAGGGTAGAGAACGCCAGATCCGCCGGAGGCGGCTTGGGAGCCTCCACATACTCCACGACACGTATTGTTCGTGGCTCTGGTTCGGGAACGGCCACAGGCTCAACTTCTGCGGAGGCAATCGAGGAGAATGCCAGCTCTGCAGGAGGTGGCTTCGGTGCGTCCACGTACTCTACAACACGAACTGTTCGTGGCTCAGGCTCGGGGACGGCCACAGGCTCGATGTCCGCAGTAGAAATTGATGAGAACGCCAGCTCCGCGGGAGGCGGCTTTGGCGCATCCACATATTCCACAACGCGCACAATTTGCGGCTCAGGCTCTGGCACCGCCACGGGCTCGACTTCTGCGGTGGAAATTGGGGAAAATGCCAACTCCGGAGGGGGTGGCTTCGGTGCTTCCACATACTCCACGACACGGACGATCTTTGGTTCACGCTCCGGCTCAGCGATAGGCTCAACATCTGCAGCGAGAATGGAGGAGAGTGCCAATGTCGGCATTGGCTCTTCTGGCTCGGCAACTGGTTCGACATCTGTGGCCAAAATTGACGAGAATGCCAGTGGAGGCAATGGCGTCTCTGGCTCAGCCAATGGTTCGACATGCTCCGCAACTACTGATGACATCGTCAAGGTAGGAGGAGCAGGAGGTGGAACTTCAGGCTCAGCAATCGGCTCCACATCCCAGGCGACCAGACCAGACATGCTCAGCGTGGGAGGTGCGACCTGAGGCTCAGGAATGGGTTCAACGTGCTCAGACACGACGTCGGAGAGAGCAAGTCTTGGAGGTAGAGCAGGCTCAGGCTCAGCTTCACGCTCTGCCAGGGGCTCAATTTCCTCGGCGTGTACGTTAGACATGGCCAGCCTCTGAGGTGGTGGAAGATGCGGTGTTGGCAAGGCGCCAATTGTGAGCGGTGATTTAGCAACCTGAGCGGATGTAACGTCCGTCTCAGAATTCTCAGCTGTGAGTGGAGTCGTAGTCGCTGAGACGGACTGCACGTCGACGGGCTCCGTCATCATACCGCTGTCAATCATAATGACCTTCGGCATGATAGGTACGGCTGGCACAGTAGAGGCCATTGACGCGGTCCGCCCTGTAGCAGTCGAGCTTGGTGTGACAGAACGAAGGCTTCTTTGGGCCGGTGTGTTCATAACTGAGTCTTCGTCGCTACCTTCCAGGTCATTAAGCTCGGCAAACAAGCTCTGTTGCGGCATGCCACTTGGGCCAGAAAAGCTGCCGTTGGGGTTGGTCGCCGGGCTACTTTGCAGAGAAGGTCCGTCACTCAATTGCCTTGAGCGCCGGGACATTGTGCTACGACTGGCACGCAGTCGCATGTGAGCTGGAGAATTGGGGGTCCTCGTGGGATCCATGTAGTCTCCCTCATCCTCGCTCGCAGATGTGGATGCAGTGCTCTCATACGAGTACTCTTGGTTGGCTGCGAGGATAGGTGCTCGCTTGAGAACACTGGCCCTGACTGTAGCCCTCTTCGAGGGGCTCTCAGTCTCGGTGTCAGAGTCAAAGAAGTCTTCTGCACCAGTCTGGAAGTCGTCGGTCTCAGTGCCACGCTCATGAGCTGTCTCGAAAGCGTCAGTAGTCTCGTGCGCCTCATTGGCCGTTTCAAACTCATCCGTCTCGGTGGACCGCAAAGGTATATCAGCCATTCGAGACGAGTGCCCCAGGGGTGGAGAGCCCTTCTGAGTCGCGACCTCCTCCCACTCGGGATCCTCCAGGTGCAAAATCTCGGCTTTGACAGCACGCGAAGTACCCAGCTTGTCGAGTTTCGCCGGCTTTTTGAATTCTCGGGACTTGGCCTCCCTGGCACGCCTGTGATGGGGTCGCTCAGCAGGGTCGCTGCGCATTTTTTCAATTTCATCCCTGGCATCTTGGAGCAGTCGCTTCAACTCAAGCTTCTCGGTCTTCTCTCGGTGGACGTTGGTGCGAAGGCTCTGGATCGTGCGCTGTGCGTGCTGGAGAGAGGTCTTCAAAGTTTCGCTCTCAAGCATCGAGTGTCTGGGGGTCGGCTTGATGGGTGAGGGAGGAGGAGAGTGCTCGGGGGTCATGTTACCACCGACGTTCTCCAGGTCATCCTCACTGCTTCCAGAGGGAGTGTTTCGTTGGCTGGTCCTTCCTCTCTCCAGTGAAATAGCCTTGGCAAGCTCCTGATTTTGGCTGGTCAACTCGTCGATCTTGCGCTGCATCGCTGCGCGCTCGCCTTCGGCTATCACGGCATTGCGCTTGGCCATACCAAGCTCAATATCGTGATGCTTGACAGCTGCCGCATGGTCATCGGCAAGCTTTGAATGTGCCGTCTTGATCTCGTCAAGCTCCCGCTGAGTTGAATTCTTGTCGGCCTGAAGGAGGTTGAGCGAGTTGGTCATCTTCTTCTCCCGGTCGGATGCTTCCTTTTGCGCGGCCATGAGCTCCTGGATTTGGGTCTCCAAATTCCAGTTCTCGTCCTTGTAACGCATTTCGCTCTCGTCCAAGTTCCTCATCCGCTGTTGGAAGCCCTCCATCTCCCTCTGCAGGCCTGATTTCTCAGACTTTACATCTTTGAGCTCCTCCTCCCTCTCCTGAAGGAGGGCCTGCAGGTTTCGGACCTGGGTGATGAGGGATGTACTGATCTCGGCGGCGAACTCTATATCGTGGATGCGATTGGCAGGCTGATTGCGCAATTTGCGATTTGGTACACTGAACTTGCTGGGTGATCCCGTAGCTAGGGTTTCGAACTTGTCGAACTTGGAAGGACTGGCGGACCTCTGAACAGAATATCATCAGCTGTGGTCATGTTTCCACCGGATCTGCACTGACTTACCCTGACTCCGCTCTTATCCGGAGTGAAAGGTATGGCCACGGCCGCCTCATTGCTGGGAATGCGCTGCTTGGGGAGAAAGGCCCTAGCACTCTCTCTCGCAACCTCGTTGAAGTCCTTCTCAATGCTCGTGAGTTTCTTCTTGAGATCCGGTGACAGCTCCTCCTCGGCCTCGAGCTGCTCCACCTCCTTCAGTCGATCTTCGAGCTCCTTGCGCTGTTGAACCAGGGCGGTGCCGAGCTTGCCGGCTTCTTCCATGCGCCTGTCGGTGTCGGCCAGATGAGCCTCGAGCGCCTGCTTTGCTGAGTTTGCTGAGGCGCCAGGGCCGAGCGCAAAGGAGTGCGAGTCGAATGCGGCATGTCGGTGGTGGGTAGGAGTGCCGGTGGAGAGGAAGGGATCGGGCTCTCCCTGGCCGACGACCAGGGAGGGCTTATCGGAAGCCATCGAGGTAGCCATTGTGTTCTAGCGACACAACAAGCGACACGATGCCTTCGAAAACCGAGTCGTTGTTAGACCATGGACAAAAGAGTGCGAACGAGAGCGTGGAGGTCTGTGAAGGTGGTCGAGGTGTTGAGAATTGCCCGAAGGGGAAATTGCCTTTCCCACTCTACGGGAGAGACCCCGCGCTTGGATCCAGTCCGCCCAGATGAAGCGAAAACACGTGAAATCTTGTTTAATTGGTGGCAGCCGAAGACATGAAACAGCCGCGAAGGGGCGGGCCGTGAATCGAAAATGAGTTGATGAAGAAACGGCGACGGTCAGCGAAAAGACACAAAAACTAGAATGAACGAGCGAGCCGCGTTGTTGTGTTGTGCTGTGCCTGGCCGCGGGTGTTGCGTGTTGTGTTGTTTTGTCGTGTTGACCTAGTCCGGTCCTAGGCTCTGGCTAAGCAGGCGGGCTTGCGTGATAAGCGAGCGAGCGAGAGGGGGGGTTGAGCTGGGCGTGCAGCTGCTTGCTTGTCTTATGTTGTGGTGTGGGTGGTGCAGTGCAGCACTCCTAGCAGTGCAAGTGGGATGGTTGCAGTCAACACGGCCCCTCAGTCCAGGTCGGTAGGTTCAGAATGCGGCAACCTGCAGGACGAAGATCGAAACGGAGTTTGGACGAGCCGGGATGGGCAGGGAAGCGACAACGAATTAGGGGGGGTGTGGCCAAAAGACCAACGGAACAAGGCAGGCGGACGACTTGTGGCGTTTAAGGCGGTACGGCACGGCACGGAATCGTATCCTAAAGTATTGCTGAACTTGACTCGAGTCGAATCGATTAGGAGAATTATATATCGGTCGGTCTTTGGGTTGCTACTGAAAAGCACCGCAGTACTGGTCGGTTAAGACGACTGTGGTGGATTGAACAGAGATAGCAAGGTTCGGTCGGTGGCAATCGCAGCTGGAGTGAGTGAGTGGACAGAGCGGGAGAACAGGGTCCCGGCTCTTGGTAAGAACAGCAACAAAGTGCAAGCAATAACTTAAAAAGAGTCAAGCAAAAGATAAAACAATTGTACAGTACAGCCGCAGCCCAGCCCAGCGTGGAAAACAAAGTCTGGCTGTAGCTACGTGTGTGAAGGGGAAGGGGAATGAAAAAGGGGAGGGGAGGTCGAAGGATAGGGTGAACGAAGAAGACGTCTGGCCTCGACTCTCTCTCTCTCTCTCTCCTCTCTCTCTCAAAACAGTGTCTCGGTGAGGGAAGGGGCGCGGGCGAAAAGCAAAAGAAGGAGAGCAGAGGGAGGGGGACGCGAACGAGCGAGCGATTGAGATTGAGGTCAAGGGAACAGACCTCATCGACCAGGGCCGGAAGCACAGGGTGGGGATCTAAACGAAATCGCCTGCTGAGCCTGTGATCCACATTTTCATATTCACATTCACCAGGGACATGGGCCATCACCGAGGGGAGCATTCGCGAGCACCGGGGTCGAGTTATTGCACAGTACTGCAGGGTGCCTGACTCCCATCAACACTCGCTCGCTCACTGCCACAACTCGACGCGAGATCAGCATTATCAACATCAGCACCCACGATGTAGGCTAAATATCATGTCAACACAAGCCAACCAAATAGCCAACCAAATTCGGGTGGGACGAGTGGGATGAGTAATTCGGTGCAGGGGACATCCAGTCTCGCCCGACCCCAGGAGCCAGCCCAACAAGACTAAAACATCGAAACACTGCTCCCAAGTCCCGCGCGATTGGATACCGACGAACGCAAACGTTGGCAGTTCGCTCTCCCGTGCTGCCGCTAGCGAACTGACAACCAACCCATCCCGACACACAGATACATGCCAATACACTACGTAGTAGATGTGACGTGCATGCGACACACAGAGGCCGGCCGAGCCTGGCGTGCCTGGCTCGCTTTGGTCCCCGCCCAAAGTCTGGTTCCGGCTGTCGGCCCACGTGCGAAACGTGCACTCTCATAACGCCTGGACGGCCATCTTCATCAAGGTGTGGAGCAGAGGCATGTCCGGCAGAAGTTGGCAGCGGGAGCTCGGTGCTGAGGCGAAACATGGGGGATAAGGCCCTATGCCGTGCGTCTGTGAGCATTGGATGGATCGAGGGGCCTGTTGTGCAGAAGCCCACTTTCCCCGTATTCACACATGTTCACGCGACACAGCTGTCTCTCCTTCTCCATAGCAACCAACGCTTTTCAGCTTCTTAGCCTAGACACGCACGACATGGTGATTCACAACACAAATCAGCCCAAACCTGCAGGTCTTCGTGCTACTGAGACGAGTGTCCTGAAGAAGCAAGTGCTCACAGTCGCGTCGATGTCCTGGCCGAAGAGTGAGTCAACTTTGGCTGATGTGAAGAGTGCATAAACAAAACATGCGCTCCTCATTTGAGCCGCTCAGGGGTCTCCCTTGCGCGTCCAGCTCAGGCATTGGCGTGAACTCACGCACCTAGCGCGATACCCAGGTACCAGCATCGGCACTAGTTGACTATGCAGGCACTTTTGAGGAAATCAAAACTTCTCCGTGAAGAAGAAAAATCAAGAAATTTTTGTTATGCGATGTCAAAAGGCCGTCAGACAAGAAACCTTAAGCTTAACCCCACAAACAGAGCCGTGTTGTCTCATTGAAGGAGGCGCCAGGTTCCTAACGTGCCCAGCATCTTTGTAGAGCACCCATCCCTGCAACGGAATCCATCCTATAACGGAATAGCCTGGATTTAGACTAGAATATAGACAACTATATGTACTCTCCTCGCGCATTCACGATGACCTCAACTACCGACAGCACGGTAACTATAATGAGGGCCCAACAGAGTACACGGCACACATTCTTTGAATGTGTCGGCTGAACTGCGTTCTAGCAATGGTAGGATGCTGCATTTAATCGCCTTCGAGACTTTTATTGTGCAAGTACCAGTAAAGCGCAGACTTCGATATCTTTCAGGGTACCAGCCCGTACGCCAAGTCCGACAACTGATTCCAAAACTCGAAGCCTTCATACTGCTCACCACTGTGCGTAACTACATCTTCCATCAGGGCCGTATCTGACGGAGGGACGCCCGGATCTGTTTTTGACAAATACCAGCGCTCAATGCCGCGATATGCTTCGGCATACTCAGCTAAAAGTGGCCGTCCGTGAATGACAATCGCGCAACGAGGACTGCCGAGGCAGCTGGCTGCGTCAAGAAGCTTGCTCAATTGGCGCAAAAATTCCGGAAGGTTGTACATCGTCCGCGCCGTCTCCAAGTCCCAGCCATGGTCCTCCACACAGAGGAGCCTCAAGGCCTTTATAATGGCCAAAGCAAGATGAAGGATGGAGACGAAGGTGAGGGAAGGGTAGGATTCAACCGGCACCAGGCGGAAAGCGTCGCAAAGTGCTTGCGTGCTCTCTAAGCAATCCCACATCGTGCGACATCTCAGGTGCGTAGGCTCAAACGTGTCGCCCTTGTCGCCATGCTTGAAGGGCTCGAATAAGCGGATGCGAATAGCGGCGCAATGGGATCGCAGAAGATCTAGACACAGGCCTCAGCGGTGACTCTCTGTGACCAGGGTGGGAGACTTACGATTCCACTTCAGGTGCTCCGGCAGCTGCTGCATGAATGTATCCAGCTCATTTCGAATAGAAGCCACGGCTATAGAGTGGAACTTTCGGAAGGGGCTGGTATTGGTGACCTCAATCGGCTCCCAAAAAACATCATTAACCTTGATCGCGATCTGCCGTATCCGTATCAGGTTCACCAGTAATAAGTCAGTAGGATATTCTTGATCCTGTATCAATTGCCTGCAGCACTGGTCCAAGTGCGTTGTATATTCGAATCTGGATCGCTTGCCAACAAGGCCGCACAGTCTAGCATAGGCGTGGTAAGCATTGTGACAGGCACGTGACAGAAGTGGCTGGAAACTCACGTAGAGATCACATAGTACACACCAAGAACTGATCGATGACCGTCGCTCGTTTGCTTGGGCTGAGGTGGGAGCTCATTCCTCAGTTGAGCTGCTTCGTCGACGATAGATCCGAAGGTGGGATTCACGGGCCGGCGGGTACTGTTGAGACCCAGATCGCCAACCAAGCCTACGGCTATCTGCAAAAGGCTTGTATCCTTAGCGGTCGCGAAGAAGTATATATCGTTCCTAGTAATTGTATGTGTCAGTTATTGAATATAAAAAGATGAAACTTTGTGTAGATTACGGCAAAGATTATTCTTACCAGGCAAGGAACACCTGGCCACGCCGTTGGTACCATTACATCCACCAGCAATACTCTTCAGCTTGGAATCTCTGAGAAGCTCGGGATCTTCTTTGAATATGCCTCTCTGATCATCGCGGCCCTCGTCGTGGCTCTCACGTGGAACTGGGAGTTGGCATTAGTTACATCCTCGGGATTTGTAGTTATCGTACTAGTCGTTGGCACTCTTCTTCCACTCACTGTCAAGGGTCAAGCGCGCCTAGCCAAGGCAGAGTCTCAAGCGGCAACTATTGCCAGCGAGGCCTTTGCAAGCATTCGAATGATCATGGCCTGCGGTGCGCAACAGCAGATTGTTGAGAAGTATGGTGGCTTTATTAAGGAGGCTAAAAAGCAAGCCCAAGCTATCAGCCCGCTCACATCACTTCAATTTGCCTTGACTGTAAGTGGTAAGCACAGAACGCAAATCTCGACATACTGACCTCCGCTCCGCAGTTCTTCGGTGTCTTTGGTACTGTCGCTCTTACATTCTGGTATGGCACTCTGATCTTTACAAAGAACAGATTGGATGATATCGGAGTTATTATCGTGTAAGAAGACTCATTCCCTCCGAGACTGTTTGGAAGCTCACGTGGTTGTAGTGTACTTCTCTCTCTAACTACCATTTTCTTTTCCTTAAATCGTATCTCAGCTCCTATGCAGGCTGTTGCAAAAGCCACCCTGGCAGCCTGCGAGTTCTTCTCCGTCATAGACACTCCTCTTCCTGAAAGAGGCTGGCTGAAGGGTCCTGAAGTTTCTGCTACAAAAGACATTTGCTTTGACAACGTGACTTTTGCCTATCCGAGTCGACCTGACATCAAGATCCTCGATCAGTTGGACTTGCGCATCGAGGCTGGCAAAATCACCGCCATTGTTGGCCTAATTGAGCGTTGGTACACCCTGAAACAGCCACATGCAATCGCCAAAGCGACACAGCAGGACAAGGATAAGAAAGGGAAAAAGGGTCAAAACGGCGATGACGACCACGTTGAGCTGAGCAGGATTGAATCACCAGAGATCGTAGTCCCAGTCAAACTACAAGGCGCTGTCACAACCTGCGGTCATTCATTGGACGACATCGATGTCAAATGGTGGCGATCACAGATTGGACTTGTTCAACAGGAGCCTTTCTTGTTTAATGATACAATCTACGAAAACGTCGCCCGAGGCTTGATCGGCTCTCCGTGGGAGGGAGAGTTTGAGGAGCGGAAGAGGCAACTCGTCAAGGAAGCCTGCCAAGAAGCATTTGCTGATGAGTTCATCGACAAGCTTCCTCTGGTATGTCTAGAGAACTACCGAGCTTGACCGTGGCTGACAACTTGTTCCAGGGATACGATACCAATGTCGGTGATGGAGGTGCCAGGCTCTCAGGCGGTCAACGCCAACGCATTGCCATTGCGCGATCCATCATCAAGAGGCCGTCCATTCTCATCCTCGACGAAGCTACCAGTGCGATTGACGTCCGTGGCGAGCGAATCGTACAGGCCGCCCTCGATAGAGCAGCTTCGGGCCGAACGACGATCACCATTGCCCACCGACTTTCAACCATCAAAAACGCAGATCGCATTGTGGTTCTCAATAGAGGCAAGATTGCCGAGTCGGGTACCCATGAGAGCCTCATGTCCATTAACGGCGGTGTCTATTCTGGGCTGGTCAATGCCCAAGCTCTTTCTCTCGGAGACTCTGCGCAAGAAGATCTGGAGAAAGGTTCCGCCACAGATGATGTTGACCTCCTGGTCCACGAAAAGACTCGAGCAGAATCAGAGTGTGGCGAAAATCTCGGTGAGAGCGTGGCAACTGAGAATGGAAAAGACCGCGGCTTCTTTGGAAGCTTTGGCCAGTTCTTCTATGAGTCCAAGACTTATTGGGGTGTCATAGGATTCTCCCTCATTACTTCCGCCGCGGCTGGTGCAGCGCAGCCATTATATGCCTGGATGTTTTCCAAATCCATCGACCTCTTCAAGTACCAAGAAGACCATTCTCGTCTCATGGATAAGGTGGACTTCCTGGCTGGTATGTGGACAGTCTTTGCGGCTTCGGCGGGTATCGCCTACTTCTTGACTTTTGTCTCGTCAGGCCGCGTGGCATCTTTAATCCGGGCAAAGTATCAGACGCAGTATTTCGAGTCATTCATATTTCAGCGAGCGGCGTACTTCGACGAGAATGGCAACTCTCATGGCACACTCGTCTCGCGGGTCAGGGATGACCCGCTGAAGCTTGAAGAGATGATGGGTACCAACATCGCCCAAGTCTGTGTCGCCGTTGGCAACGTTATAGGCGGCATTGTGATGGCTCTGGTTTATAGCTGGAAGCTCGCACTTGTCTCCCTCTGTGCCGTGATGCCAGTGTGCATCTTCTCAGGCTACATTCGCTTCCGGTATGAGCTTTTGTTTGAGAAGCTGAACGACGAGGTCTTTGCCGAGAGCTCCCACTTCGCCTCTGAAGCTCTCGGTGCGTTCCGCACTGTCGCATCTTTGGCTCTTGAGGACTCAATCTCGACTCGCTTTGAGCAGCTTTGCCACGGCCATGTCGTTGCCGCGTACAAGAAGGCTCGCTGGGTCAGCATTATCCTCGGTTTCTCTGACAGTGCGACTTTGGCTAGCCAGGCGCTCATTTTCTATTACGGTGGCCGACTACTTGTGCGGGAAGAGATTGGAGTTATGGCGTTTTTCGTATGCTTAATGGCAATGATGAATGCTGCCGAAGGATTCGGCCAAAGTCTGAGTTTCGGTCCAAATGCTGCCCAGGCAACCGCTGCGTCAAACCGCATCCTCGATGCCAGAGAATCCCGGTTGACGAAGCAACACGGAGAGGATGACATCCCTAACACAGAGGGCGGCATCAGAATCGAGCTTCGTCACGTTCGCCTGAGGTATCTGACCCAAGAGACACCAGTTCTTAAGGGACTGACCATGACTATCGAGAAAGGACAATTTGCAGCTCTAGTTGGCGCCTCAGGCTGCGGTAAGACTAGCATAATATCTTTGTTGGAGAGGTTCTATGAGCCTGAAAAGGGCCAGGTCTTGTGCAATGGGAAGGATATTTCAGATATCGACATTTACACCTACCGCAAGCACCTGTCCTTAGTGTCACAAGAGCCGAACCTCATCCAAGGTTAGCACTCTCACTGTCACAGGCTTCACGCAATTACTGACATCTACAGGCACAATCCGAGACAACATTCTACTTGGTCTTGATCCCGACACTATCACGGAGGATCAACTTCACGCCGCATGTCGTGATGCCTCAATTCACAACTTCGTGGCGTCCCTCCCCGACGGCTACAATACCGACATTGGCTCCCGCGGTGTTTCTCTCTCCGGCGGACAGAGACAGCGCATTTGCATTGCCCGCGCGCTGATTCGCAACCCCCGAATCCTCCTACTTGATGAGGCCACTAGCTCTCTTGATTCCGAGAGCGAGAGGCTCGTTCAGGCGGCTTTTGAACGTGCGGCCAAGGGCAGAACCATGATTGCGATTGCGCACCGGCTGGCCACCGTCCAAAATGCAGACGTTATTTTCGTCATGGGTGACGGTGGTCGACTACTTGAAAAGGGAAGTCACTCAGAGCTCCTTAGAAAGAGGGGGGTCTATTTTCAAATGGTACGTTTCAGATCAAAAAGGCTTGAGCCTTCTCGTAAAGGACATTCTGGGCTGACCAAATAATAGTGCCAAAGTCAGGCTCTTGACCAGTGAAGCTAAAGCCTGCGGTCTGATACTAAAATGCTATGGCTGCTCTTGGACTGGGCATAGTAAGCTGGTGGGGATGCGATTAATAAATCAAATCAGGACCAGCTGCCCGGGGTGATGAGTGAGCTTTAAGTTCTCATGACTGGCTGCCACGAAAGGTGGCCAGATGTTCTTATTCGAAGATCCAAAGGACAGCATCTAGCTTTTTTACAGGGGAAGCCGGCAAGTCATTGGCATCTGGTGTGGATGTGAGTTAATTTACGGATGGAGTCAATCCAGGTCGGAAATAGAATTAGAGGCCTAGGTCGAGGGATATCGCGAGAAGTATTTCAACTAGCATTATTGAAGCTACTCAATTTTCGTGGATGCGTCCCCGATACTGGGGTTAGTGCGGATTCCTGCTCTTCGGGTTGCGGCCAATACTTTTCACTGCCCCGAAACATTGCTATGAATCACTGTAGTATTGTCACCCGATTTCTAGCTTTCAAGTCCGTTTTCGGCCATGGCGATGTCTTCTAAAGCATATTACACAAGCGATGACTACGACAGCACGTTGATCGAAAGTGGATTGTGTTAAGCTCAGGCAAAAGCCAGCAGACTGATTGATTAGCAAAAGCGTGCGAGCGGTCAGGAGCTGCACATGTCATGGACGTACTCACTTTCTGCTATTAGTGTCTGGTTGCGAAATTTATTCAAAATAGTACAACCCGTACGAGACGCGGGAATGTTCGTAGATATGTCCGGTGGCCTTACCTCGACCTCTGACCAACGTTGGACAGATATGCCCTCTTGCCAATCCTTCTTCATTTGCTTTCGTGCATTTCCCTCTCTTTTAATTCATTCCGCAAACCATAGTTTGTTATACCGATACTCCAAAATTGTAGAGGCAATCTAATGCAAGTGCACCTATTTAGTACGGCCTTCTGCTAGGATGACCAGGGGACTCTATGCAATTCTGTGTGGAGCATTAGTCAGATCTGCACTACGGTCGGCTTGGCCCGTTGGTTGCCCAGGCCCCTGACGTCTTGCTCTGGTAGCGGTTTATCAGCCGCCGTGGCATCGGATTTGAAATGCATCCATCTTTCCGTCACCAGACTTTCTCGACGACATTCCACCCTGACACTGCAACATCCTCGTAGGTACCAGGAGCTGGAGATCATGGAAGAGAACAAGACCACACCGTCCGAGACACCTGCGGCGCCTGTCGCCGTCTTCAAGAAGCGAGGCGCAAAGGCCAAGGCAAACTTCAGAAAGAGGCCCGCAACGCCACCACCCGCAAACAGCGACAGCGACGACTCCGACTACTCCTCTGCAGAAGATGACCAAGGCAGGAAGGTCAAGCGCAGGAAGAAGAACACAGGCATAGTCACGGCTTCTTCGAAAGACAACCCAGCCGCGGACAAGGACGTGTCCGCCTCTGTCTTCAGCGCCGACCGCAGCGTGCCCATCAGCAACTCCAACGATGCCACAAAACAAAGCAACTGGTATGACGAAGATGCAAAAGATGCGCTGTCAGCGAAGAACCTCCTAGGCTCAACACGCGTCATGGCTGAGACGCAGGCGCCGGATGGCACCTACAAGGGATTGGCGAACCAGAGCTCCTTCATTCAGAAGAACCCCAATGCGCCCAAGAAGACTGTTGGCCCGATCAAAGCCCCAACGAATATCCGCACAATCACAGTCATGGACTACGCCCCTGACGTGTGCAAAGACTACAAGCAGACCGGCTTCTGCGGTTTCGGCGACAACTGCAAGTTCCTCCACAGCAGAGAGGACTACAAACAGTCATGGGCCCTGGACCGGGAGTGGGAAGACGTCACAAAGGGCAAGAAGCACCTTGGCGGGACGGTAGTGGCCAGCGCGGACCGGCAGAACAGGACGGCGGAGGATGAGGACGATGCAGAGGAGGCCCTGCTGGAGAACATTCCATTTGTGTGCCTCATATGCCGCGGCCCTTACAAGTCGCCCATCATCACGCGATGCGGTCACTACTTCTGCGAGCCTTGTGCGTTGAATCGGTACCGTCGAGACCCGAGCTGTGCGCAGTGCGGCGCGGGTACGAACGGGGTGTTCAACTCCGGGAAGCGATTACAGAAGCTATTGGATAAGAAGAGGGAACGCGCGGCAAGGAGAAGACAAGAGGCCATCGAGAGGGGCGAAGAAGTCAGTAGTGAAGAGGAGGGAGAAGGGGAGTAGAGAAGGACTGCCTGAGCGTGGCCATGACAGTTAGGAATATGGCTGCGTAGCACCAGCCTGGCTAGATGATAATCGAAAGTCACTCAGGGCCTCGTTCCCTGATAGAACTGCAGAGATGTACATAAAATCAAATATCGGAACCATCAAAGACGAAAGTCTAGCCATGATGTTGCGAGACCGAGACCGGAGAAATGTAAAAGAGTAGCCATTAAACGAAACTCTGAGACGGAGGTACCGACTCAAATCATGCCTAGATAGACTATAGAAAGGACCTGTCGGTCAACCTGGTGTCTTTGAGACACCTTTCCAAATCGAGAGCAACATATCCGGATTCGTATGCTTATGTGTTACGTGTTTCCCTTGCCTGATTTGGCTCTTTGGCAATACCAAGCTACTCATGCAAGCACAAAAGGCCGCCATTTCAAACATAGAGTCCCATCAAGGCTCGCCGGAAGCCACCTCAGGTATCCACCACAGGAAGTCAAGCTTACCCCACCTGAGCGAGGCAGCCAGCCCTGCAGCCCTGCTGAGACAAGACATCCATGCTTTAGAGGGGTGCAGCTGCCCCTCGTCCCATGTGATCTCACCTTTTTGTCCCCCGGACAGTTGCATCATCGGACCTCTTTCTCTTATCAAGCCTCTAGGCAGCCTGGGCTTTAGATGACCTGCAACCTACGATCATAAGCCCCTTCATCACCTCTACCTAGAATAACCACCATACCTCTTTAGCGGCGTATCTAAAGTAGGACACTTACTCCTGCACCACACAGCTCCTCTTCATATCCTCATATTCTTGAGCAAAGTTGAAACCATCAGACGAAACCCCCGCGCTGATCGCGCAAATCCCCACCATGAATATCGGCAACCCACTCTACTCCATCGTCAATAAGCTACGGGACACCTACACGCCCGTCAGCAACACCTCGACCTTCCGCAAGACCGGTCAGATAACGCCAGAAGAGTTCCTCGCGGCCGGCGACTACCTCGTCTTCAAGTTTCCAACCTGGTCATGGGCTGACGCAGATCCATCCTCGAAGCGCGTAAGCTACCTGCCCGCTGGGAAGCAGTTTTTGGTGACCCGCAACGTGCCCTGCCACAGGAGGCTGGATGCGGACTTCGCAGGCGACGCTGGGCACGAGGAGGCGCTCGTAAACGATGGCGACGACTTCCGGGGCCAGAAGGGCGGCGATGAGGACGGCTGGCTGAGGACGGGCGGCCTGTCGAGTAGCCAGCCCCTGAAGGTCAGAGAGATCAGGACAGTGGACGATGCAGGCAATGTCGGCGACGGGCAGGTCGTGGAAGATGACGATGACATTCCAGACATGGAGGACGAGGATGACGATGAGGCGATCATCCGGGATGTGGAGGGCGACGGCCTGAACAGGTACGTTTGTGGCACTGAGCTGCGACTGCGCTGACATATCTCCATGACACTCTGGCTGACTGATATCTTTTAACAGTGGCCGCCGAACATACACCCTCTACATCATGTACTCACCCTACTACCGCACACCACGGCTCTACATGTCCGGCTACCTGCCCAACAGCCAACCGCTCCCACCACACCTGATGATGGAGGACATCGTGGGCGACTACAAGGACAAGACAGTTACACTCGAGGACTTCCCCTTCTTTGCCAACAATATCAAAATGGCCTCGGTGCACCCCTGCAAGCACGCCTCAGTCATGAAGACGTTGCTGGACCGTGCGGACGCGGCACTCAAGATCCGGCGCGAAAAGTTGAAGGCCGGCACGGCCTCGGGCTCCGTGGACAAAGGCATGGAGGGCCTCGTCGACGAGATTAACAAGCTCGACGTGAGCGGCGCCGCGTCTGATGCTGCAGAGAGCAAGGGCAGCGGAGATGAGTGGGAGGAGGTCGGGCACGACACAGATGACGAGGTGGCCATCCGGGTTGACCAGTACTTGGTTGTTTTCCTCAAGGTATGTGCTGCTGCGTCAAAAGCAGCCCTGCAGGTGGTGGCCATACATACTGACACTGCCTACCTACAGTTCATCGCGAGTGTGACGCCAGGCATCGAGCACGATTTCACCATGGGTGTCTAGGCACAGGAACATGAGATTTAGTTTTTCTGTCCTTCTTCGGCGTTGGGAGACGGGATCTACGGCTGATTATCAGTAGCGGCCATGAGGTGCTTGAGGTGCAGTTTTACAGGATCGGCGTTGGTACCAAGAATGTATCTGGTCATTGGCAGCACGAGAGTTAGGTCCGGATTGGAATAGCTACCATGGATGTCTTTGTGCTCCAGACATCATCAATACGTGGCTATCATATGAGATGTGTGACCTGGGAGCAGCCCTCTAATGTGTGACATTCGCCGTCTCGTCTCTGAGTTACAGTTTAACCTCTCTACACCCTGTGGAGACGGCTTGGGCGTACATCTTGGGTTGAGCAATACCTCGCACGTTCAATGAGATACTCGTGAGGATAATGCATGACTGTATAGAGGATGGCTCTACAACCAATTTATGCGACAGCAACCACTGTAGAGGTTGGGCCAGTGGGTGGGTGGGTGGAAGGTTATCCTACAGTCAACTTATGCGACGGCGGCAACTACTGCAGAGGTTATACGAGTAGTGGATGGAAGGTTATCCTACAGTCAGTGTCCTACGGTACGTATCCCGATATTCAGGTACCGGTAGCTATAAGGTGCAGGTTAGACATGGCTGGTCAGTCTATTGCTTTGCTGCACCTCATTTCAAGTATTTCTGAATCACAGTGGATATACTTTCGCCGACCCAGCCTATGACCTCATATCCTCTAAGTAATAGCTATTTTCGATCCACGACACTGAGATGTTCATTGCTCGTTGCCATGTTCATCTCGGCTCACTTCTGTGATGCCGTGTAATCTCACCATTCAGGGGGCCGGTCAACCGCGGGCTAACTGTCACTGGGCCCCCGTGCGGACGTTGGAAATTACGTGCCCCCCAAGCCCGGACTTGCAGGAGCGTGTGGGGAAGTCGCGGGCAGAGAGCTTGTAGTGCATCGGCAGGCGGGAGCGGGCAGTGCGGTTAGAGCCCAACGTTAGAGGGAGCATTACACTCCAACCCTGGAATAAGCTACCAAGCTGACGACGTCTCATCGCCTCCATTATGCTTGGCGACACCTCATAGCTTCTTCTGTGTCGCAGGCAACGAGTTTCGATTCCTCTTTTACATCTCTTTCCCAATCTCTACCCTCTCGGGCGACCTACACCTGCCGTTTGCCCCTATTCGAGACGAGGCGACTCACAGCTTCCGGGCCGGCTGCTTGACGGAACTCACCACCACACCACCACACCGGCCACAACTTCGACAACTATCCTCAAGACTCTCACGATACGATTTCGATGGCTGCTATACGCAGCTTAGACCACACGAAGCAAGTTTACTCGATTCCAGGACCCTGGGAGCCACTCTATTGCACGTGGGACTGACCAGGCGCAGGTCGGAGACGGAGCTCGCCATCAACATCAAGAAGGCGACGAACCCGGACGAGACAGCACCCAAACGAAAGCATGTGCGCAGCTGCATCGTATACACATGGGACCACAAGTCCGGCCAGTCCTTCTGGGCCGGCTTGAAAGTGTGCGTCTACCCCCAAGCGTTACTATCTTCCACCGCCGGCAGTGCGAGACATACTACCGGCGGTTCTACATGGTACCTCTTACAAAAGGGAGCACGGATATACGACTACAACGAACGCGCGTCATGCGAAGTGCGCATATAGTAGACAAAGCTCTAGTGGTCCACCGTCTACATCAGAGCTTGATGCGCTGGCTGGAAACATCACGGGACAACCTCACGAGGACGTGGATTCTCCAAGTGGAACATGCGTCGCACGGAAAGAGCAGATGACAAAACTAATGGCGCCTGCGATTCAAAACCGCCTCGCGTGTCCGGGAAGGATCGCTAACATACTTGTGCAGACAGCCCATTCTCGCCGATGAGGTCCAAACCTTCAAAGCCCTGATTATGGTCCACAAGGTTATCCAAGAAGGCCACCCCAACGTAATCAGAGAAGCTTTGGCGAACCGAGGATGGATTGAAAGCCTTAATAGGGGAATGGCCGGAGAGGGCATGCGTGGATACGGCGCGCTGATTAAGGAATACGTCTACTTCCTGCTCGCAAAGCTCTCGTTCCACCAGCAACATCCCGAGTTCAACGGAACTTTCGAGTACGAGGAATACCTCAGCTTGAAGTCTACCAACGACCCAAATGAAGGCTACGAGACCATCACAGACCTCTCGACCCTGCAAGACAAGATAGACCAGTTCCAGAAGCTGATCTTTTCCCATTTCCGCAATGTCGGTAGCAACGAGTGCAGGATATCAGCCCTGGTACCTCTGGTCGCAGAGAGCTATGGTATTTACAAGTTTATCACTAGCATGCTGAGAGCCATGCATTCGATGACCGGTGACGTCGAAGCGTTGGAGCCACTTCGTGGCCGTTACGATGCCCAGCACTACCGCTTGGTCAAATTCTACTATGAATGCTCAAACCTTCGTTATCTCACTAGCTTGATTACGATTCCCAAGTTGCCTCAGGACCCACCGAACCTGCTTGCTGAGGACGAGAATGCGCCAAAGCTGCCTGCAAGACCGAAGCAGGAGATAGAGCGGGCACCAACACCTCCGCGACAGCCCAAGAACGAAGAACCGGATGAGATTTCTGAGTTCTGGAAGAACGAATTGGAGCGTCAAAACCGAGAATACGAGGAGCAACAGCGAGTTCTTGAGGCGCAGCAGCTAGCTCAGCAGCAGGCTCAACAGCAGGCCGCGCTTCAGGCACAGCTTGATTTCGAGGAACAGCAGCGACGACTAGCTGAGCAACAGCGCATGCAGCAAGAAGCTCTGATGGCTCAACAGGCACAGTCGTTTACGCAGGGACGCCTTGCAGAGCTAGAACAAGAAAATCTGAGAGCAAGAGCTCAGTATGAACAGGACCAGCTGATGCTGCAGCAGTACGACCAGCGAGTGAAGGCACTCGAAGGAGAATTACAGCAGTTGCAGAACAACTACGGACAGCAGATGACGAGCAAAGACGACCAGATTCGCGCTCTGCAAGAGCAGGTGAACACGTGGCGCACAAAGTATGAGGCGCTGGCGAAGCTGTATTCGCAGCTGCGGCATGAACATCTTGATCTGCTTCAGAAATTCAAGTCTGTACAGTTGAAGGCGTCATCGGCTCAAGAAGCCATTGACCGACGTGAGAAGCTTGAGCGTGAGATCAAGACCAAGAACCTGGAGTTGGCAGACATGATTCGCGAAAGGGACCGGGCACTACACGAGAAAGACCGACTTACGGGGTCCAACAAGGATGAGCTTGAGAAGTTGAAGCGAGAACTGCGTATGGCACATGACCGTGCGGACAACCTGGAGCGGAGCAAGGGCAACGAGCTCTCGACGATGCTGGCCAAGTACAACCGGGAGATGGCAGACCTCGAAGAGGCGCTGCGCCTCAAGAACCGCGCTCTAGAGGATGCACAGTCACAGGCCAGAAATGGTAGCTCCGATTTAGAGCAGCTCTTGCGCGACAAAGAGGAGGAGCTTGAGGTCTACAAGGCCGGTATGGACCAGGCCCTGGTTGAACTCAACGAGCTCAAGCAGAACCAAGGCGACACAGACCAGGTCCTTGACGGACAGTTGGATGCTCTCATCATGGCCAACCTGGACAAGATCAATGAGATCATCGACTCGGTCCTCCAGTCTGGCGTCGCTCGTGTCGACGACGCCACGTATGAGCTTGATTCTACCATGCAGGCTGGTAATCAGAACGCATCCCCGTCCTTTGTGCTTTCTCAGATCGAGAAGGCGTCCTCGAGCGCCATGGAGTTCGCGACTGCGTTCAACAACTTCATAGCCGATGGTCCTAATGCTGCCTATGCCGATCTGATCAAGGCGATCAACGTGTATGCCAGCTCGATCGCAGATGTGTGCAACAACACAAAGGGTCTCACCCGCCTTGCTACAGACGAGAAAAAGGGCGAGTCGTTAATAAATGGGGCACGGCAGTCTGCATTGACGACAGTCAAATTCTTCCGGGGCCTACAAAGCTTCCGATTGGAAGGCATGGACCCTATCCAGAAAACCGACGTCGTCATCAACAGCAACAATGACGTTCAGATGAACCTTCAGAAGCTGAACAAGCTGGTTGAGACTTTCGCGCCTGGTTTCGGCAAGCTTGCGAATAAGGGTGACCTCGGGGATCTGGTCGAGTCAGAACTGAGCAAGGCTGCCGACGCGATCGCTGCGGCCGCTGCCCGGCTGGCGAAGCTCAAGAACAAGCCTCGTGACGGCTACTCGTCCTATGAGCTCAAGGTGCACGACTCCATCCTGGATGCTGCTCTGGCGATCACAGACGCCATTACGCGCTTGATCAAGGCAGCGACCGCAACCCAGGACGAGATCGTGCAGGCCGGCCGCGGTTCCTCCTCGCGCACGGCATTCTACAAGAAGAACAACCGATGGACGGAGGGTCTCATCTCGGCTGCCAAGGCTGTAGCAACCTCCACCAACCGGTTGATCGAGACGGCGGACGGTGTGCTCTCCGGCCGTAACAGCCCAGAACAGCTGATTGTGGCGTCCAACGACGTGGCAGCTTCAACAGCCCAGCTGGTGGCTGCATCCCGTGTCAAGGCTGGATTCATGAGCAAGTCCCAGGAGAGCTTGGAGCAGGCAAGCAAGGCTGTCGGCGCGGCGTGCCGCAGCCTAGTGCGACAGGTGCAGGCCATGATCAAGGACCGCCAAGGCGAGGAGGAGCAGGTTGACTACGCTCAGCTGGGAGCGCACGAGTTCAAGGTGCGGGAGATGGAGCAGCAGGTAAGCCTTCGCCCAGTCCTTTTGGTTTTAGTGATATGTCAAGCATGGACTTACTGACACGTCTGTCTTCACAGGTCGAAATCCTACAGCTCGAGAATGCTCTGTCATCTGCACGGCACCGGCTGGGCGAGATGCGCAAGATCTCGTACCAGGAGGAATAAAGTGTGGGAAAGGGGAGCTGAAGTACAGGGCAGGGAGGCTTTCTTCAATCCGGAAGTTGGGATCTGCGCACAGGCGAGACAGGCGAGACAGGAAGCTGCTCACCTTCTACCGAGATCTCGCGTCCCCTGTTGGACATATTACCATCGGCGGAGGGCCGTGCTCATAGGTGATTAGGAGAGAAATTAGATTGAATGACTGAGCCATCACATAACATTGCACGCAAATTCATGATCAGTCAGGTCTTAATGTCCAACCCTCCGGAACGCACCCTGAAGTCCGTCGCAGCAGTAGCTCAGCCATGCCTTCAGCTCCTGCAGACCGGGTCCCACTCGGGCATCCCCCTGAAAATTCCAGTAATGAGGGCGACGTGTGAGGCGTCGAAGGCACGCGGGACTCATTCCGGACGCAAGAAGCTAGCTGCCACAGTGGCGCCCGCTAACAAGGGGGCGAGGGCAAAGCGGGAACCGAAGTACGGCAGCTAATGCTCAAAGGGTCCTTGCATGCAGGCTTGCTCTCCAACCCGCGTCGTCCGTCGGTCACGGGATGACAGCTACGGTCAGGTCTCTGCTGGCCCCCTGACCTGGTCCATGGGCACTTCCTTTCCCCCTTCTACCACCGCAGTGATATAGGTCCCCTTGGGCCAGCTTGCCAGGACGAGCCGGCGTGACAAAGCCGGCACTCCTGGGCGTCCTCGTTCGTCTTTGTTGAACCGGCCCAGCTGGCATGGTGCCAAGATGTGCTGTGGCATCGCCGGGAGGGGAGGGGGGCTGCTTATGGATTGAATGATTCGAAGTTCACTCACCGAAGCTACTGTCCTGCCATTGCTGTCTGCATTACTGTAATTGAGAGATGCAGTTTCGGAGAGGTGCAGGGTGTGGGCGTAGAAGATCGCCATGTCAAACTCCCTCGTCTGATGTCCTCATTGGCTGGATCTGGGCTGTCAAATATTCAGGCCCCTGGGTTGCAGCTGACAGACAGTATCCAGGGGCGGCAGGGCAGGGCCACCCCGCACATCGGCTCAGTGAACTCACTGATTGAGGGGCAGACTGAGGGTCAGCCTCAGGCATCCAATTTAAATCGAGGGGCTGGTGTTTTTGCAAAGTGCGAAAGCTGTGGCCCAAGACGTTTGTCTGAGCAGCAGCTTTCGCACACTTTAGTAGCTCTGGTATCCGTGGCAACGGCCTGCAGTTATGTGAACATGTGTGTGCAAGGACGAGCGTGGCCCCTCGTCCAGGAACACAAGGATTTTAGGTTTGTGGGGGATGTCGATCCGGCTGGTGGGCTAGCGTTGCACCGGTCCCACGCCTCCCGCAGTTTGCGGCTCTGTTTTGGGGGCCCCCAAAGGCTAATTCTCGGCCCCAAGATCGACGTGCATGCATGACGGCGGGTCTTTCTTGGCGGCCGCCGCTCGACTACACTCCATCCTTTGTCCCCGTAGATGTGACTTCTCATGCGCTGGACTTTGTAGCTTGGCTCTTACAGGGACTGCTCACGAGGGGCGAGATTGAAGAGGGAGGCCAAGAGAAGGGTGGCGGCGCCACACAGGCAAGGCGGAAGCGCTCATTTCAAAACTGTGAGTCAATTGAATTCCTTTTGGTTCATGCTGTGAACTGTGATCTGGTGTTCCAGCTGTGACTCCAGTGCTATGTACCTAACTACGAGGTTTCAATTCCATGATTCCATTCCATTTTTTTGTGTAGAGAAGAGCCTTCAATCAATCCACGAGGTCCGAATGTTCCACGTTCTGGCGACATTTTGCCACCCTGACCGACCACTGTCCAGATCCCCCACTTCATCTTGAGAAAGCCAATATCTCTTTTTTTTATTCTGTGCTGTTGTTGATTTTCCAGATCGTTGTCCAGTTGAGTGTATGGCATCCAAATGTGCCACGTCCTTGGGGGGTGCAGTCTGCCACCTCAAACGACCACTGTCCAGCTCCTCCACTGGTTCATGATCATGTCGATGTCATTTTTTTCTGTGTTTTTCTGTTTTGCTTCAAGTAGGTTGCCCGATTGTGTGAATGGCATTCGAATGTTCCACGTCCTGGTGACTGTTTGCCACTCTGAACGACCACTGTTCAGATGTGCCATTGCCGAGGCCCGGTATGGTCGGATGAAGGCGACCTCCTCCATCTTCCACTTTCGATCCCCGACCAATCTTCGAGAAGTGCCCGGGCCTCACTGGAGCTCCCAGGTAGGGAATCCATCATCAAAGTAGCTGTTGATAGGATAGACAGGTGTGTCGTCTTGTAAAGGCTCTGACAACTGACCAGTATGATCATCTTGGGTAATTTGACCACTGAAGTCATCCCACTGAGGAGGGATTCCAATCTCGAAATTCTGCGGGGCGTCCATCATGGAACTCATGTCGAGGGCGCCGTTGCCGAGGAGAGCAAGGTGCGCTGTGCTGTCGTCAAATTCAAAGCCGTCCTCTGTGATGGTGCCGGTGCCGGGATTGGTGAGTAAATCAGCATCGAAAACATCGGGGCGTTCAGCATCAATGATGTTGACTCCTGCCGCAAGGAAGCTGTCCGCGGGCGCAAGTTGACTCAGGAATGTGAAAGTCGTGATAGGGTCATAGTCAGTTGTACCGACGAAGTTCTGGTTGGCTCTGCCAGGCACCGCGACTCCTCCAGGGAAAGTCGACACGGCCATGTAGTGATTCTGACTCTTTACCAAGCTGTCCAGGAGCTGCACAGGATTATTGACAGGAAGACCGCGCCTGAGCACTCCGAACAGAAGTTCAACATCAGTGAGCTGACGAGCCGCTGGAATTGAAGGCACATGGTGCTGACGCAGCGTGACAATGCCGTCCTGGTCTCTGACCAGGACCATGTGATAGGTATTGAGCCAGCGATCAGGTGTGACCACGCGAGTCTCTCGCATGGCAGCAGCTGCGTACTGCACCAGGTTTGTGAAACCTCCACTGAAGTCGCGAATGTGAGTCCACACTTTCGCGATCAAGCTCCATGCTGTCTTGTGGTGCTCTTTCTCCCACATGGCTCGAATGTAAGCACTTCGCTGCGCCTGAGGAATGCTTGCGAAAATGAGCGACATCACGACTGATCAAATGTTAGTGAAGTGAAGAGCTGTTGGGACAAGGTTACTGACCGCGGTAGATGATGTAAGCGTTCACGCTCTTCTTCTTCACCCAGTCGTAGCGCGGGACCCGAGTCTTGACAACACCGGCCGCGGTCGTGGAGTCCTTGTTACCCAGTCTGCCATCTTTGACCTTGTGCTGCTTGTCAAGAACGGCTTGGACTTTGGCTTGTCCGCCAAGGATCTCTTTCGCCTCAGAAAACATGGCGAACGTATCGTTGACCAAATTGAGTGGGTGAGTGTCGTCGAAATTGAGGTTGGGATTGGGATTGGGATTGGGACTGTGGTTGAGATTGAAATTGAAATGGATGGTTGGTGGTAAGCAGCTCCAAGTAGAGCTGGGAAGGTGGTTGGAAAGGTTCTGTGTTGTTGGTTAGAAAGTTTCGAGGGAGATGAAAAGATAGGTTTAAATATTAAAACGGTAGAAGGCAAGTTAAACAAAGCAAGAATCGGCCACGATGGTCCGGCCAATCAGAATATTTCCCCCGATGGCCAATTGAAAGATCAGATGAGCGTGAGCATATTGTTCAACACGCCCTCATCCATTGTCCAGTCCAAACTTGCCCACACTTGCCATTCACATACCAGCTACATCCACACCCACAACAAACACCCCACCACATTCACCTGTCACCACCCTTCTTCACTTTCTACTACCCACAAAACTCTACCTACAAATCACAAACCACAGTCAACAAACCACAGTCCACAATCCACAGTCCACAATCCACCACAGTTTTCCGCCCTCAAACGGCACCACTCAGCCAAGATGGACGTCGAGAACCACAAGTACGTCTATCTCGCTGACAATGTCACCGTGGACGCCAGCAAGGAGGCTGGCCAGAGCTATCTCAAGGAAATCCGCGTGAGAATGGCTGGAAACAAGTACGTCGCCCATGTCCTTCGACAGGGAGGATCTCAGGATCCACGCATCAAGAGGGTCGCCCGATTGCTGGAGCAGCTCAATGGACAGGAGCAGGCAATGTGCGACTTTTGCGTCGAGGTTTTCGACACTTGCGCAAGAAACCCAGTCCGATACGTAGGTTTTGACCCCCACCTTGACAACCTGATGAAGAAGTTGCGCCGCGCCGCCGACTATGCCGACGAGTTCGGAAAGAGAATCCTCCTCTGGGTGGAGCACCTTCGCATCACAGGCTCTGTCCTTAGCGACACTGCCAGTCGCTCCCTTGAGAGCAGCTTGCCTATCCAGCGAGACATGACCTTGGGCATCGTGTGGTCTGCGGCCATGGCCTGTCCTGCGAAGATTCGACCTCCTGGTCCAGGCAGTCTTCCCTATCATGTAAGAACACCGATCTCAAATAGTCATACCGCTAGCTCCCGTATATTGACTTTCTTCTAGCCTCAGGGTGCTCCCAATCCGGAAGAGAAGGCGTTCCGTCCTTACGTTGATGGCAAACCTGTCCCTTTGCTGGAACAAAACTACTACAGCGGTGACCTTCGACCGGTCAATTGGAGATTTGACCCCGACGTCCGGGCACCAAGTCCCTACTGCAAGTTTTTCCGCTTCAATGGCCCATACTTCCGCCCAAACAAACCTCTGCACCCACGAAACTTGAACACATTCTTCATGCCTGAGTCTGCGGTCAACATCTGGCACTACTACATGAGAAGATACAATCAAGTCGAGAACAACTTCAAGGCTACAGGCCGTCTGCCCACCCGAAACGAGGAGGAAGAGGCGGAGCATCAAGTCCAACAGAAGGTCTGTCAATCTTAAAAGCCATTTCATCTTCATACTGACTTGTTCATCAGTTGTACGGAGTCCATTTGGCGGCTTCTTCTGGTGAGAATTATGATATATTCTCCATCGTGGTAAGCACGAGGCCTTTCAATTTACCATGTGATCTTAACTAACTTTTTCTAGAACAAGGTGGACCACTACGAGACCATTGAGAAATCAACCGAAGCCTACGTCTTTGTCAAGCCAGGAACTCAGGAGCGACAAGTCAATTTTGGTGATGGAACAGGAAGATTCAAGCCAGAGGATCTCAACCGCGCAATGAAGATATGCGAGACCGGCGAGCGACACTCTGTCCCCACGGTTGACCACGGCAAGTGGCTGGAGATGGACAGGAAGATCGAGCATCTGGAAGCACCTTGAGGTCAGAACGCCAGACAGAAGTGCACTGGCGGGATCAAACGTCCGAATTTGCCTTGAAGGGTTTTTTTTTTTTGGAACGAGGTGACCAGCAAGATTGGGCATTTGGACATGTCTTGAGTAGCAGGCATTGTATCGAGGCGCTCAGCAGGATTGAGTAGTTGGACGCGTCTGATAGAAATACTTCTGATTGAGGCAGCTGGGGATATTGATTATCCAAACTGGTCTTAATGCCTGCTAGCACGAGATGAAGAGGCGAGAGTCTGAATCCAAGCTTGATCATCATTTGAATTGAATGGGCACACCAATGTGAATGGCAATTGTGCTCCTCTTTTTAATACGAAAGCGGCACTCTGTGACTTGGGCCTTCAAAGTCAGAGTCTGTCAACCTACTAATATCCTACACGTACATCCTGTCACGAACCCACGCGTCCCCTTTTCCGCTCGTCCACCTTTCCACTCGTCCGCCTTCCCACTCACTCACCCTCCCAAACCTCCCACGCGTCTACCCTTCTTTTCAGACGACCACTTCCCATTCCCGCAATCCTGCTGCGTTCCTCCTATCAATCTACACAGAAACCAACGCCAGCATTCAGTATGGCTTCTTTGAAACCCAAGGCCTCTCTCGTCAGAGACCCCTTGGGCAGAAACACGCTCTTCCTGGACGAATCCATCGGCCAAGATCATTTCGTATCGCGCGTTGGACCAACCTACCAGTAAGTCACACGCGACAGCTCAAATTGCCAGGGCTGACCAACTTCCTTGCAGGCGTACGGTTGTGGACGGAGGTCCCTGCACTATCTTTTTCGACAGCGTCGTGCGATCTTTTTTGATCGCTCCTGCCGTTCTCAAGCCAACTTTTGTCAACAATCCTGGTCGCTGGCAGCACATAGTCGACCTCGAGGAGAACTTGCCAGAGAATGCCACTAATGAAGCAGTCGGAGACGAGTCCGGACAGAATGGAGGCAAGGTCGTCGAGGGTGAAGATGAGGACGACAAGGGAGGCGACGCTCTGATCACAGAGGGAATGAATCTTGACGAGGAAGCTCCGAATACAGCTGGCAGCTCTCAAAGCACTGAGAAGATCCCTCGCCCACCCAACTCGTGGATTATTTTCCGAAAGCAGAAGTCAAAAGAGCTACGTGAGGCGAATCCCAACATGTCCGCCGGTGAAGTCTCCACGGAGGCGGCTCGCCAGTGGAAAGCCATGTCAGACGAGGACAAGGGCATCTACCAGGCAATGGCCCAGGAAGCAGCGGAGCAGCACAAAATCCAATACCCTAATTACCGCTACCAACCTGCAAGAAAGTAGGCTTTCGCCGCCAGACTTTCCACACAATGAAGCGTCCGTGTCTCAACCAATGGGGTTGGCCTTCAATCAAGCAAACGACACGGGAGATATCGATCCAGAAAGCAACACTGACATCTTCCGTCGTCTTTCCCTCATGCGAATACTCATTACTGCGCGCCACAGCAGGGCGCTAAAGCACTAGAAAACACAAGAGAAAAGAAACAAAAAAAAAATGATTGGCGTTCTGTAAACGGCACGAGACCACAACGACTAGGCCTGCGCACATGGACGCGCAGCAGCACCCCGTCTTCACTCGGAAAAGGATCAGGAAGGTCGAAGGAATCACCTGGTGATATCGGCTCGCAGTACGGTTTGTGCCTTGCTCTTAGGTGAGCGAGCGCACGTCTTGGGGTGCCATTGCTCTTAGATGAGGGAGGCATCATCTTCAACTGAGGAAACCCGAAACAGCAGACACACCGACAACCATGACCACCGTCTCTTAGTACGGCCGAAGAACATTTATTGGACAGGAGGGGGAGCAAGGGAGGATCTCATAATGCATGGAAATTTGGAGTACGGCACCGGTGATGGCGCTGGAAAGGAGTCAGCCATGGACACGGACGAGAGCTCATCACCCTCCCTCATCATCACTCAAAAGTTTGGCATGCCTCGTTGGTAGGGCATGCAGTTTTCATGGATTCGGATTTGATTTTAATGACATTGGAAGGGGGTAACAAAGCTCTGGTAATGGGTGGATTTCGGAGTACGACACCGGTGAGGGCGTTGGAAAGGAGTTCATCATGGAGGACAGGCGACACAACCCCCATCACTCAAAAGTTTGGCATGCCCCGTCAGTAGGGCGTGCTTTCACATGGATCCAGGCTTAATCCTCACAGGCTCGACTACATAGCCGTCATGGACCAGATATTGCGAGAAGAAAAATAAAAGGCCTTATGCCACCAAAACATCCTCGCGTGCAATGTGAACCTCGTGGATCTGATTTGTGTGCCCTAAGCTACATGAGACTGCTGCGATGATGCGCTCCCCTCCTTCGAGTCCGCGCTGCGTGCCCAGATGAAGGTGGCACAACGCCACTGGGTATTCTTCTCCTTCTGCCCGGACGGCCCCAGCGGCCGCGAGCACATGTAGAACGTGCGGCCGCAGTTGATCCCGGCCTTCTTCACCACGTAGCTGATGCAGGGCTCGCCGTGCTCGCACTTCGGAGCGACCTTCTTCTTACCGAGCAGCTTCGACCACGATTCTTTGGACTCGACAGGGTCAAATACCCTGCCGCTATCTTCCACGCCACCATTCGCGAATCTGCCTGTCTCCTCGTCAAGGTCGACCGTACCGTCAGTCTGTGGTATGGCACTTGGAGCCATCTCCCCATTCTCCTCTTCGTGCTCATCTTGCTCCTCCGCGAGAGCCTTTGGCGCCGGCGTCTTGGGTTTGAAGAAGCCCATCAAGCTACTCTGTGCGGGACCAGCTTTGCCGGTATCTTTGGCCGCTCCTGTCTTTGCCTTCTTCTGAGGCCGGCTTGAGGTGCTCTGTGCGCTGCGCTTGGGAAGAGCAGCCGGGGACGTGGTCTTGATCGGGGAATTGAGGCTTGCTGTTGAAGAGGCTGCGCGCTTCAAGGGTGTTGTAACAGGGGAAGGCGATGGTGGTACGTTGGATGTCTGTGTGCTAGGGAGCTCCTCAGCTTCGACGATGGATTCGTCACTGGTAGCAACGGTCGAAACTTGCTTCACTATCGGTGGCGCCGGCTTCTTGGTGAACATATCCTTGATACTGCGGCGGCGGTCGAACTCGTTCATCAGCTTCGCAGACTGCGGTAGCAGGTCCTTTGTGTCCCAGTCCCTGAGCCGCTTGCCCTCCTTGTACATGCCTTCGGGATTCATGATGTCCGCGAGGTGGACATCCTGACCTTCGTGCCTGACGCAGTCCGCCATGGTCGCGTAGACAGGACAGTGGTCGGATCCCATCAAACCCTCCTGAATGTTGGCTTCTTCAAACCAATCTTTCATGCCGGCAGTACAAAGAATGTAATCGATTCGGCTCCCAAAGTTGCCAGGTCGGGCATTCTTCTTGGTCTCCCAGCAGGTGAACATACCTTGTCGGTCAGGGTGGAAGCCTCGGGTGATATCCCACATCACTGGCTCCTCTCGTCCCTCATCCCTCTCTCCGATGACTTGACCATCGAAGATGAGCTGGTTGAAGAAGCGTCGTGACGGCATGGAAAGGAAATCCTCCAATGTCATGCCTTCCTTACGTAGATGCTCTGCGCAGCCAGCGGTGTCAATGTCAGTACGTATGATATTGAGATCCCCTGCGAGGACCACTTGCTTGCCCATCGCAACAAGGTTCCGTATTCTTGCATCAAGAGCACTCATGAAGCCCATTCGGAAATCGGTCCTGGTGTCGTCTCGAGTGGCAGGCACGTAGACGCCGATGAGGACAAAGGCAGGGAATTCAAGAATAACACAGCGGCCCTCGGAGTCGAGCATAACCTCGTCGATAGGTCCAATGAGTTGATCCTCACGTGGGTAGCCGCCGATTCGTTGATCTGCCGGAAGGTCTCGGAACTTGGTTGTCGACTTGGGTGGGCAGAGCACTCCTATAAGGCCCTCCTCGGCTCGGATGGGACAACACTTGGAGTTTCTCGTGTATATTGCAACGCCCGAGTACCCTAGACAAAGTTCAGCATGGATATTCAGTAGGTTACTGGAAGGAGCCCCAGAGAGACTTGCCTTTCTTATCTTTGGGCAAGCTGAAGAAGACGTCCCAGCCGGACACCAGCACCATGTCATCCGTCAGATCTTTCCGTTGGATCTTGGCCTCCTGCATGATGACAATGTCCGCCTCCAGAATGTCGAACATTGCCTGTGGAATGTCAGTCTTGAGCACGTCGAGAGTGACCGAGCACGGAGAGCTTGCCTGGAAAGATCGCTTCTGGTTCCATGGCGCATACCCGAACGGGTTTCTAAAGAAACAAAAATAAGCGCACGACCGTTAACTCTGAGCCCTCGTGACACAATATGTGAAACAGAGAGCAGGCGGCATGCTGAACACTTCGGTCACAACATACCTGATGCCGTTCACTAAGATACCAGTCAGTTACGGGCCCAACACCAAGACAGCGAAACGTGGGAGCTCACCGTTCCAAGTAGTCATACGCAGCCCCATTCTTGCTGCTGTCACCTTCTCATGTGCAACAGAAGCTCCAGCTTGCCCGTCTCAGTCTCCTGTCGTCTCGCTGTGCGAGTGCTTGCGACTGCCGGAATTCGCGGACATTCCCAATAAGTGGAGAGGAAGGGGCAGCAGGGACAAGCTTTCCCACTCGAGAGGGCATCAATCTTTTGAACACAAGAGAATGAAATGAGATAACTTGAATGCTCAATCCGCCGGCCTGGTTCCAATTCTTGACCTCAAAAACCCCCAGTGCATTTCAATTCGCGGGCCCAGCTACCCGAGTCGCGTTCGCCACTTACAGAAGGAGAGGCGTCTCAGGCCCTCTGGATCGCGAACCCCACACGCGGTCACGCTAGAGCCCAGAGCTTGGCCAGGTGCGAGAGCGGATCCGCTGACTAAGCGACGTCGTTCTCCCAATCGTCAGTGGTCTGATTCAAACCTCAATCCCGAATTGCATCCTCTCTCCGGCAATACCCACCACCACCGCCGACGAAACAATCGAGCCCTCTCCACTCACGCACACGCCCATCGACCCCGAGCCGACACAATGTTCCCCCAGCGACAGATCATGCGCTCCGCGCCGCGCTTCCTGCGCTCCCCCGCCGTCCAGCGCCGCTTCATGAGCTCGCCCGCCCCCAAGGCCGGCGAGAACGCCTTCATCAAGGAGCGCCAGGCCGTCAAGGAGCACGCCGCCGGCACCACTGGTGAGTCTTTCCGAGGACCGGAGGAGATACAGGAGCGGCCAATTGGCCGTCTGTTGGGGAAGCTTGACTGACACAATAGCTATACAGAGCTCTGGAAGAAGATCTCCATCTAGTATGACATCACCCTGCTTCCCGATCATATCCCTCATCGCCGACCTGTGCTATCTGTGTTGCTGCGATGCGAAGCTGCTAAGTCTGTTGTGGAACCGGGTGGGAGATCAGGGGAGAGGAGAATCCAGGGCTGGCCAGCATTGGATGAACAGCGAGCACGACAAGCAGAAGCAGACGAGGGAATCCGGGCCAGCGGAAGTAGATAGAGGGACACACAGACTACTGCAACATCTTGCCGAGTCACGATGGACGAGTGCTAACCAACCTCGAACTATAGCGCCTGCATTCCCGGTCTGGCCCTCGCCGGCGCCAACGCCTACTGGCTGTGGTCGGAGCATTGGGAGCACTGGTCTCACATGCCCCCTCTGGAGGAGCGCACCGAGTACCCCTACCAGAACATCCGCACCAAGAACTTCCCATGGGGTGACGGCGACAAGACCCTCTTGTGAGTTTCTTTCCACACACTGCGGAAACCCCAGCCGTAGATGCAACCGTCTTCTGTCGAGCACGCAGGACGCTAATGCCCCCTCGCAGCTGGAACGACACAGTCAACTACCACAACAAGGACAAGACCACCTAAATTGTCGCTGGGCGCGTATCAGCATATGGAGGAACAGCATGCCAAAGCTGGCATGGCTAGATAGACCGTCGGACAATCGTCACAGACAAATCGAACTGTACATGTTTTCCTAGAGTCACAGCAATCGATCATACCATTTACAAATAATGGACACATGTGCCTGATTTCCACAGTGACTGTGCTATATATATCAACGGCCATTTGCTCACCGGAAGCTCGCGGTATTTCCCGCCCTCAATACATTCAATGACCTCCACACTAACTTCCGAGCCCTTGCCACCAAGCGAGGGCAGAAGGAAGGGTGGGTGAGCCTGTGGTGCCCTGATGCTACTGGCTGTCATTGCTGTGCTCTGGACAAAGCCAATCTAGCCCACCCTGAGACGAGGTCTCTGGCGGTGACAAACTCGGCGCCAGTCTGCGAAACCCAGCCTGCCGAATGGGTACGAATTGCCGAAGGCCACCAACCGTTTTGAGAACTGACTGAGTAAGAGACGGCGTAGATGGAGGATGTGCCTCCATGCACAACATCTCGATCCCTTGACACCCTCAGCCCTTCGACGTCAACTCGAGGTATTTGGCCGCCAAATCATTGGAAACCTTCACATCCCCCATTGCCCTCATTATCGTCGACATCTTGGCCGTCACCTCCAGCTTCTTCTGCAGATCCTCTATAGCCGCATAGAAATCGAATGCCCTCCTAAGTGCTCCCATGGCTTTGGTCAGATATTCCGTCCTTCTCTTCGAGGGACCAGAGCCAGAGCCAGGCGCCGGCCCCATCTTGCCTGCGGTGCCTACGTATGCATCCGCAAGGCTGGAGTACATGGTCGCAACCATGTAAGACCCCTCGCACTCGAGGCACCGTGGTATGACGACCAGGAGCAGCTTCTCTGCGGCCTCGAACTCGTCTAGCGAAATGAGCACGTCCGCGATGGTGCCGATGCATTGCCACAGCAGGTTCAGGAGTCGTGCTTTCCATGCAAGATTAGCAGCGCGCATGGCGACGGAGAAGCCACGCTGAGGGCTCCCGGCCTTTTGGAACAGCTGCGCTTTCATGAGCAGTAGACGTGTCCGAACACCGACGTCCTTGTCCTGGCTATGGCTGTCAGAGATGAGCTGCTCTACTTTGGTGAAGGCTGCCTGGAGGTCGCCATGCCGGGTGAGCAGCTCATAATGCAGCGAGTCGACAACAAAGACGAGATCAGATTCGAGGTCATCTGGCTTGGATTGCATGATCTGCGAGAGCAGGTATTCAGCCCCGTCTAGGTCGTTGCGATGGAGGTCCCTTCGCAGCTTGACAAGAGCGCGCAGCTTTTGCCAGTACTTCTTCGCTTTCCATGTCCGCAGAGAGTCCTCATTGATATTCTCAAGTAGTTGCATCCCTTCATTGTACTTTCCCTTGATCGACAGGATACTTGCCAGCCTGCATGTGATTTTCAGAGTATCATCCAGCATGGCGTTGGGAGCATGGCAACGTAGGAAAATCTCACACGTCATTTTGGACAGGAAGGCAACGCCGACCCTGTCCCAAATGGCGACGTTGAGCGACATATGGGAGCCAACCATGTTGACCAGGTTCCGTTCGACTAGGAGGTGCGAGCTGCGTGCTACATTTTCGAGTGCAGTGGCGACACTATCGCCACTCAATAGACCCTGTTTAGCCTCGCTCAGCAGAGCCGAGCTCCATGTCGACCACATTCCCGTTTCCTTGGCTTTGACGCGGAGGAAGGCGAGTGTTTCCCGACCGGTGGCACTCATGCTGCTTGCTTCTAGGTCTTCCACCAGGTGTGGATGCTGGAGGCCGAAGTTGTAGAAGAAATTAAGGGCAAAGTTGAGACAGTTCTGATCCCGTTTCTCTCGGGCAGTCGCAATTGTCTCCAGCATAGTGGAAACAGCATCCTTATAGCACCCAAAGTCTGCTTGGAGGACGGCGAGGTTCAGCAATGCATAATGATAATGCTCTCTATCACTGTTCTGCATGGTGTAGTCAAAATACCGATGAAGGTAATCGAACGATGTGGGATAGTCTCCTGACTTCCATGCCTCCAGAAATCTGTCTCTGGTCAAAATGGCTGCTCGCGACTTGATATGGTGGATGAAGCTTACCTGAGATAATGCCCTAGTTTGGGGTTTGTGCGACTTGCATCCAGGAGATCATAAAACTGCCGTTGGATTCGTACAGGGACTCGAAGGCCGTATCCTGATTACAGCCATGTCAGAAATATGCGGGAGAGTACATCAAAGCATGTACTTACTCTGCATCTGAGCCACTTGAAACTCGATCAAGCGATCCAAAAAGTGAGTACTGACAGGAACGTGAGAGGAGTTCAGATCTCCGTAGGCTATAGACTCGATAGATGCGGCGCCTAAGCCCCAATCCTGCTCACAGATGTCGAGAACTTTGTCAAATCGGACAGGGCTTGAGGAAGGGTTCCGTCTCATCCAAGCCGAGGCAGTTGATTGTCGGTATACGATCAGGTCCTTCCACAGATTCGAAGCATCAGAAAACTGCAGCCTGCTGAATTCCAACTGCGCTCTTCGGACGAAGAGTGCTAGAGGAGAGTTGGGTAACAGAGGCACCGTGCTCGTTTGGGCGCCCTGCTCAGGGTCGACCATTTGCTGGATGTCTTCTTTAGTTGCAAGCAGGGATGACCGGCTGTCAAAGAACTCATGTAGGGCGTCTAACGAATCGATGGCCCAAAGCTTGGAGAGAAAAAGATCCCAGAGTCGGCGGCCAGGTAGACCAACGGCAGCAGAGAAAGGGAGAAGCATAGACTCGAAGGTCTTGATGGACCTGGCAAGATCGATGTCATCTTGTGCCTTCTGCCAGAGCCCGTGGGGGCCTGGTATGTTTTTGTTTACGTCGGTGCCGGTGTGCGAGGCCAAAAAGGACAGGACGGGGATGATGCCGTCGCTGGGCACAGCTCCTTCTGTGTAGAGCTCGACAAGGACCAGAAGGCCAAGATCCGAGGGCATGAGAAATCGAGACATGGCGTGGACTTGAGCACCTATGTTTTGCTCAAGATGACGAGTCAAGAGATTGATGACAAAGTGTGAAAAGCCATGAGGTGGTCTTCATGACAGCTGTGACAAATTCTGGAAGGTTGGAATGCCTTACTCAAGGGCAACGTTGAGAGCTTGACAAGGGCCAGTGTGTTGATGCTTTCTGTAGTGGAAGTCGCGATGTAGACGCGTAAACGGAAAGTGTGCTCCTACCGCAACTACCGTACGTGGTACGCATGAACAAGTACCTGAACTACCGAGCCCAGCCTTAGAGCGGGTGGCCCTGCGCAGTACCACTTGGACTCCCTGGGCCAAAAAGCAACTGTGCTTGGCCAACCACACATTTGTGTGGACATTGAAATATGAATTTGTTTCCCACCAGGCTGGTCGAAAATCATGCTTGACCCGATCTGGGTAACCTGGAAGTTTGTTCCGAGTCTCGAGTATAAACAAGTCTCTTGTTGAAGGTTTCATCGGGTGATCAGCCAGGGGCTCGTTCATGGGAGCTCCCGCGGCGCTGAGGCCTGTAGAGGGGGGTTCCGATGCATAACCCCCGGATCGAGCAGTGATGGCTGTGACAGGTGAGACGCCGTGGAGCTAAAACGCCGGGTGCCCCACCACCGGGAGTCTGTACTGTTTAGTCAGTCGAGCAATGCTGGCTGTTTGTCGTACTGCAGCAGTATCTACTATGTAGACGCCAGTACATGTAGAAGAGGTAGTCGAGATAGAGGTGCAGGTGCAGGTGCAGATGCAGGTGCAGGTCCAGGCCGAAGGTGTGTGACCAATTTGGGTTCGCCTCCCTTCTCTTCTCTTCTGCTCAATTCTGTACACTTCAGCGTCCAGCTTGTGGCCGTCGTTGACTCGTCTGTCGGCCTGCGCTTGGGAGAGCTAGGGAGGTTGCCACAGCCAGTCCCCTGACTCCGAGAGGGCTCCGTGAGTGGCCGGGCCGTGTGGATGAATGGTGGGATGCTTGGTGGGCTGCTTGCTCGAGCTGTCGAGGCGGCCGGAAACGTCATTTGGGAGGGACATTGTGCTTGAGTGCCGTTCTCGCCGTCATCGAATGCAGCTAGTAGTCAAAAAGTCGCGAGACCGGTGCAACTAAAATACATACTCCATATCAAAGGAATCATGTCTCTCCCACAAACAGCCAGCCTTGAGCCAGCCTTGGGGGCTCAAAGTACATACATAGTACAGTCTGACCACTGGGGGCCTTCCCTTGTGCCAGTCAGCTTCCGCACTTGGATCTGCGAGGCGATGGAAGATCACTATTCTCATAGTTGGGATCCCAGAGGAAGAGGAAGAGGAATGCGCTATTCGCGGGCTGTACCGTAGCTGTGTAGGTATGAGGCGCCAAGGCTCACGGGTTCTGGGTCCACGTCCTGTTCTGTCCCATGATCCTGGACATCTCGTGCCCCCCGTCCCCCCATGTGAAGGCCGCTTGAATGTAACCCAAGAGCAGGAGTTGAATCAGTGGTGAGGAAGTCATCTAAAACACCCACACTCCACCCACCCAAACGCCCGGCTTATCAGCCACAGCTCGTGCACTGTCAGGACCCAAAGAGTCAGGCACCGCCGTGGAAATGCAAGCATTCCAGGGCATACCTAGAAGTGCCGAACCGCAGAGACGCTCAGGCCGCTATGAGAACGCCCTGGGTCTGGACTAGCCGCCTGCGGCATCAGGACTGTACAGGAGGAGGTGCACAGCACAGGTGCACAGGTGCAAGGCCCCCTGGTCGTGCTTCACTTCACCTTGGTGCCATCCCGTGGTGGGCACCGGGCACCTGCCACAGCTGAGCTGGGGTACCTGGGTACCTCGTACCTCGCAGAGCACCGGCGGGCCAGCCCCTCCCTCTAGTCGTCTAGTTCAGCTGGTTACATGCAGTCACTCAGTCAGTCGACAGGACGGCTGGACGGCTGGACGGCTGGACGGACGGTGACCTAACATCTTCTCCCCCCAAACAGGCGTCGCTTGGCACCTGCCCTGTCGTCCGATTACATCGACTCGCCGGATCTACAACCCTTTAAGCCTCCTTTGTTCTCCCTCTCTCCTCACCTGCGAAAAAACCTAGACTTCGACGATCTCTACATTGTGTATAATTCCTCCTAGGCCTGCCTCTTTGCGGCCGTCGTGTTCATAGACCTTTGCGAATGATTTACGCGTGTGTCGAGTCGCAAGAAACAGACCCCTCCGCGGCTGTTTTGTCTGCCAGCTCGAGGCCGGCCCTGGTCGGCGCTTCATAGCCAAGCAGCAGCCCAGCCCATCACTCCATCACACGACAACACAATCGCTCTGTTGACTCTTTCCCCTCCCCTCCCTCCTCCCTCCTCTCCCGATCTCCACGGACAACGACTCAGTGCCGTTCGTTGCTTTGTTGTTCCTTCGAGATGCGGCCCCCGAGAATAGCCATTCTCGTCCTCTTCCTCGCCGCCTCCCTCTTCCTCTTCTGCCGCTCCGTCATCTCTCTACGCGATGCCAATCAGTCTGCCGCCGCACCCCTGAGCCCCCACAGGACCGCAACGCCATTCCGGTCCTTCCTCTCTTTTACCGCGCCTTTCACGCTCTTCCCGCCAAATGCCGCCATCTCCCTCACCGACGATAACAGCACCTTCTTCCCTGCACGACCCGCCGCCTTCGGCCCCCCGCTCCCCGCCAAGGGCTTGAGCGGCCAGCTATGGATTGGGAGCGGTTTCGCTGACGAGAACCTCCCCGACGGCGAAGGGGAAGGCGAATTGGGATGTAGTGACTTGCCAGGCTATGGAGACGGGACAGCCATCATAGGCCTGAAGAGCACAACCCTCGGCATGAGTGGGAAGGCCAAAGTTGGAGGTGCTGCCGGAAAGGACGAGAAATCCAAGAGGTCGAACCTGCCCAAGGGTCCTGCTGTTGACCCGGCAGCAGCCATCGATATAAAAGAAAAGGATAAGACCGGCCCTGTCGACGATGGTACCGACGACTACCTACACCAGTCGCTTGCATCCAAAGCTCCCGGCTACGAGATGACCACGGTGACGTCAAGCCATGCAGACATACAGTCAATTCAAGAGACGGCAGAGATCACGGGCAAGGTGGTTCTGCTAAGCCGCGGAGGATGTGGTTTCTTGGAAAAGGTCAAGTGGGCCCAGCGGCGAGGCGCTGTCGGCGTCATTGTCGGTGACAACCAGAAAGGCAGCCCGCTCATCCAAATGTTTGCACGAGGCGACACCTCCAACGTCTCCATCCCCGCCATCTTCACCTCTCGAACGACAGCCCACCTTCTTTCGTCTCTCATGCAGCCTGGGAGCTTCATCGAGGACATCTTTGATGAGAACGGCAACCCGACGCTCAAGGTGCAGCAGTCGGACAGGTTGCGGAAGAACAAGGCTAAGACCCAGACTACCACTGCTCAAGAAGCAGCAAAGCCCGTGGTTGACTCCAAGACTGCAAAATCCAGGGTGACGAGGAAAGAGTCGGCGGTTGCTACAGACGATTCTCTCCCCAAACCACCGCAGTCGAGGAGCTGGATGGCACGCTGGTTCGGCGATGACAGCGCGGCCAAGGCGGCAGCCGAGCATAGTCGGCCACCGAGTAGCGGTCAACACGACTGGGTCCTCGTCGATGACTGGAATGATGAGAAGGACAAGGTGATTCGCAGCAGCCTGGAGAAGGCTTCGAAGAAGGACAGAGCTGCTACCCCTTCGGCCCAGAAGAGCTCAGGAGATGGTTTCCAGATCGGCGTGCAAGACTGGCGTGATCCTGACTTGGTGGATGTTACTGGAACAGGGGCAGACAAAAATACTGCAAGAGGCAAGGATGGGAACATCAATGGCAAAGATGTGAGCGGAGACTCGCAAGCGTCAAGGGGCTCCGGAAAGGCGTCAGGCAAAAAGTCTGCGACGCCCAAGGACGCGAACGGACCAAAGGGAGGCAGTATCACACCTGGAAGTGGCCAGTATCCTCCCACATCCTCGTCCAAAGACAAGCAAACTCAATCATCCAGGTCGGGGAAACACCAAGGCAGCTCATCAGGTCTGATGTCAAAGCTCTTCGGCGACGATGACGGAGCGGACTTCTCTCCATCAAATCCTGTACCGAAGCCGATTAACACCCCTCTGACCAAAGAGCCCCAGCCCAAGGAAACTATCCATGAGGGCCTGTGGGTAACCATCACGCCCACCGGCAGCACCGCGCCTTTCTTCGACACCCTTCTAGTCTTGGTCGTCAGCCCACTGATCACGTTGACGGTTGTTTACGCGCTCCTCATCCTACGGGCTAAGATACGGCGGCGGAGGTGGCGTGCCCCCAAGTCTGTGGTTGAGCGCCTGCCTGTTCGTACATATCACACCGTCGCGTCGGCCAGTCCTAGTCAAACGCCACGGCTTCCATCACCCACAAGCTCATCGCCAAGAACGCCGTTGCTGCAGAGCTCATCACGCCCTAGACCGCGCTCACGGACTACTACTGGTGTTCCGGAAGCTGACGATCTGCTGCGTGCTGACTCCCCGTTACAGTCATCACGTTCACCGTCACGGGCGTCACCGCCCCATGAGAAGGAGAGCCAATGGAAGAAGTACATGGGTCGACAAGTTGAATGCGTAGTCTGCTTGGAAGAATATGTCGATGGCGTGAGTCGTGTCATGAGCTTGCCTTGCGGCCATGAGTTCCACGCCGAGTGCATGTAAGTCCAATGCGAAGCTCAAATATGTCATGGGAAAATCCCGCTAATCAAACAATCTTCAGTACTCCGTGGTTGACAACCCGACGGCGCACGTGCCCCATCTGCAAGGGCGACGTTGTCCGATCTCTTGCACGCGGCTCGCCATCCAGCCCCAGATACGAAGCTTACCATGACGACAGCGACGAAGAGGATGAAGCTGAACCAGAAGCCTCGGGCTCAGGACGGAGGTCACCGGCTGCCCAGGATGCGGATGTTGAGGAGGGCATCCTATCACCTACACCGCGCCGCACGTCCCGTAGGACTGGAAGAGCAGATGGCTGGCTTAGCTTGCTATCGAGCAGCTTCGGCACAAATGCGTCGGCATCATCGTCGCGGTCGAGGATTCCAGACGAGGACCGTGACCGATGATGAGCCTAATGACATTGAGCCACGACGATTCAGGGGAAAATCGTCGTTGCTGACACGTTGACTCTCAAAACAACTCGACACGTGCGCTGGATGGAGAAGAAAGTTCCATCTCAAACGGTCCATCGCGACCAATCTTTGATTTCCGCTCTGAGCGCATGCATAATCATTTCAATCTGGGACGGGCGGCCTGTTCTAACTCGATACCCACACACTCGCTAAGATACCACTCGCATCAGTCTGACTTTTCTCCCTTACCCTTTCTGCTTCCTTACTCTCGCCTCCTCTCTGTCTCTACATCATCGTGTCATTCGGCGTTGCGTTGCTTTTTGTTTTAATTATCTTCACTTGTTTTCCGGTCACGGCGTAGGAGGAAATGGACATGGCACTGGAGGAGCATAAGGACAAGGTCAGGCACGCACGTACTCCGTGCCACCCGACACAGGGCAAGAGGGAGTTATCATCAACATTAGGGGGGTATGTTTGTCGCTTAGATGTCAGTGGGGCTTAGACGCAGCACAGCGAGATGGAGTGCTTCATTCCGCATTCAGATTTTGTGAAAGAGCGAAGTAGGGAGCAGAGGTACCATGAGGGCGGGATAGGCAAATGTCGAGAGAATGGGGCCGAGGTTATAATCCCTTGTAGTTGCCATGCGCCTTATCCTGTAGGCCTGGGCGGAGTTGGACTTGACTGGACTGGATTGGAAATTATAAACTGTTTCAGAAACTCCTAAAAGGTTGCTGTTTATCCCACATGACCGACCATTTTGCCTCTTTTGCTCAGACCACGACTGGCTTCTTTCTGCCAAGTGCGCCTAGATATCGTTGGCAGAGACTGTGACCTGCTTCATGCCATTTCTTATTATTCTCGCTGGACGACTTCTGTGCTGCTGCCGGATTACCACAGCATCGACGCTCTCACTAATACATGATGAACCCCCAAGACAGAGCATGTCGATACCCTCAACAAGACGATTCGTTGTCGTCGTCTTGCCTTGATTCGTTGGTGAGTTGGGAGGAGGTGGTGGAGCGGGCTTGGGAGAGGGTGGCCGAGAGTTGGAGTCGGCGTTGGGCATATTCCTGCGTGTTTTGGGCCTTTCCCTGTCCTGTGTCCCTTTCCGAGCCAGCTCAAGCTTTGCTTGATGTTGGATGAGAGAGCAAACCCCGGATTTGCTGGGCTGATGGGCTTGGAAGGGTGGAGGGAAGGTTCTCTGGCGTGTGTAAGTTTTAAACGATCGATCCGTGCCCACTTCTCATGGAATATCGTGTATGTCTCTGGCGTGTTGTTTTCAGTTTCGTTCACGATGGGAACCTGACAGATAAGAGAGGGTTGGTGTTCCCCTCGTACGGTGACAGAAGCAAGTCTAAGCCCGGACGGCCGGCGAAGTATTGATCCATGGGAGGCAAGGGATGACCGTCAATAGTTGGTTCACGATCCAGCCGGCTCGTTTGCGTGCGGCGGGCTCACACACGACGGCGGGGCTCTTGACTTGGGAGAGAAGGAAGCACCCGGCGGATGTGCTCGAATGCAGAATGGCCGTCGCCGCTACGAATGGGGGTGATGGACCGCTTGGTCTGTTTGAGGATGGGCGCAGAGGCTTGGCAATACCGACTGCGTACGTGATGGATGGCTCCCGTCCTAGTCAATGGGGCGGATGTGATGGCGGGTCTGGAATGGTTCCGCTGCTTCAATGATATGCCCCGGACTGGAGACAGTACCATCATTGAAAGATAGGACATCTAGAGCACGAGGTCCTCGACAGAGCTGGGCAGCTTGGTCCACGTTCTATCCCGAATGATCGAACTCTAATCATGGCGAAGACTGTAGTGATGAATACACATCTGAAGAATCAAAGACGAGCGAGGGACAGTCTTTGGTGTCCTGCGCTATGTTACAACATATCAGCGCTGGACCTACCTCCTCTACCAACATCGATAGTGGATACCCTGGACTCCACGTTTTCAGCAAAATCACAGCATGCATATTGAGACGACTGCCGCATCTGCTAGAGCAATAGGTAGCTGTGACGTACGACCAAGGCGTACTACTACATGTGGGTTTAGGTATCATACACGGCCATGACAAAGAACATCGCCTCACAGCCGGCGTGCGCTGAAGCCTTGGTCTCAAAACTGCAAACACGCCAATGACACACTCAGTGCTCTCCAGCATTGCTTGCGCAGCTTGACACGTCGCTTTTCCATCTTCACGCTCGAAGCCAGACCACCACATGTAAAGATATCGAAGAAACATAAGGCGGGTATGGGGTAAACATGGGAACTTTTCTTGATCTGTGGAGCTCAATTTTAGTAGCGACCTGTACTAGACGACTTCTGTGTCGTAGAAAGACCATTCCTCGGGTCCGCGGGCTGGATCTTTGCTTTTCAGTCCGGGTTTGTTGCCACCATCTTTGAAAGCGTCTTATAGGGTGGAATGACCGCTGATAACGACATCCTGTACACCATTCTGCAGCTTGCTGAAAGCTGTCAAAGCGGCCTCAACACGTCGCTACTCGCTGGTCTGGTACCAGCTATTATTGACGTAATCGTTTCCATGGAGGCGAGGATCGAATGCAGCTTGGAAGACATTCTAGGCATTCACCGCGTTGCTTGGACCTGCCTCAGAGAGAGCATCGTCAATGATGGCACCATTGGGGACGGAAAGCGGGTTCTGAGACCCGAAATCGCCAAGAGACTCGCTGGGAGCGGTACCAGGAATTCCCATCGGAGCTGTGGGCGCCCCTCCTCCTATGGGGGCCTCGGGCTGCATTTGAGCCTCTTGAAGAGCCCGGAGATTAGCGTCATCAACAGCATCGGCGGCGAGACTTTGGTAGTCTTGGGGCGCGGCCGCCCCAGGAGCATTTTGCGTCTGAGCTGTTGGGTCATAAAGCGTATTGCGCGGTGGGCCCTGGTCGGGATCATTGTCTTCTTCCTTGCGCTCGGGGTTCCTCCCTGCGGCAATGACCATGTCCTTCTCCTTCCTTCCTAATACAACAAGATCAAACCCGGGCGGAAGATGCGAGTCGGTCCTGTATGATCCGAATTAGTCACGTATACTGACGGCTCAGGTGGATCATAGCAACTCACTTCAAAATGTCGACCTTGACGAGGCGCGCCTTGTCACGAAGGCCTTGCTGGTCACGTTCTGGAACATTGAACGGGATGTGATCTTCCTTGATAGCCCTCTCGATGGTGCTCCACTTTGCCTTGTACACATTCACGGCTCGGACAAGTTGCTGAGTATCGTGCGCTGTCCAGGGCCTCCTCTGCTTCGGCTGTGCTGGTTTTCGATTGGCTTTGGAGATAAGTTGTGAGGCCCGGGACATAGCTACGACGTCAATGAGCCCTGGAATAGGGCCGGGCACTTCAGAAGATAGAGGGATCGCCCCGCCTGCGTTTTGGCGAGGAGGAGGAGGAGGGGGCATAGCAGATGCGTCAGCCGCGCGAGCTCGCTTGCTCGAGGGATCGTCTTCGGCGCCGCTCTTGCGACCTCGCTTACGGCCTCGTCTTGTGGCGTCGGCGGCAGCGGCTGCATACAGAGATCCATCGTTGCCTCTGATTGCAGCTTGACTAAGGTCGCGGGCCCTTTGTGCAGCAAGATAGTCAGTACCAGCCAAACTGAAATTGGCGCTGGAGGGCGCCGGAGAAGCATTATTCTCTGCTAGATCAAGCGGTTGCTCTCCGCTGGAGGCATTCCTCATGTGCTGACGCATGCGTTCAATGCCGGCAAAGTGGAATCTCAAGGCAAGAGTCAGTCTCGCTGGAAACCAACCCAAGGATGTGTGGAATAGGGGTAAAAAATTGAAAAAAACTTTACTCACTTTCCTATGTGCGCAGCTCTAATGTCCTGCTGCAATTGTTCTTCGACAGAGTATGACCCGTCACCGTTCAGGGTTGCAGGCTGGGTGGGTGCTTGGATCTTGGCCTCGAATGACCTGACCCAGTCCTTCAGATCTTCCAAGAAGGTATGGAAGGGGTACTCTTGCTCCAATTTACTGATTATGGCATTGGAGTCCAATTCCACGAGCATGGCGCGGAAGCCAGCGATTGCATCGCGGTACTTTTGGGCGTTGGCATCGTTGATGTCAAACCCAGGGAAGGCTCTCAAGGGCGCCGCCTCAATGTAGTCACTGATTAGCTCGTCCTCCATGCCGTCAACATCTATATCAAGAAATACGCGGGCAAACAGGCGGATAGGAACGGCCTTTTGCACGCCACGAAGTGTCTCGATGTACCGTTGAGTGCGGATGTGGAAGGCCTGTTTCAATGTGTCGTCGTCGAGCATCGGGTCCTCCAAGCTTTGTTTACCCCCAGGAATGAACGAGTCTGGAAAATTCTCATCGATTCTCTGAAGCAGCGGCAGCCGATTGAGCACATTGATCGGGTTGGCTTCGAGGTCTTGGACGTCGGTCAGTAGGTTTGCAAGGTTAGCAATTGCAACAGCCTTGGTCATCCTTGGCCAGAAGGGGGACTCGACAGCCTTGGTCTTATCTGCGACGACATCAATGTCGATGAAAACGTCGGCGTTAAGGTTGTAGATTTTGTAATAATAACCGAAGATGTCTTTGTGGATCTGCAGCTCATCGTTCCAGGTGCCATCCCTCTCGTCACCCTCGAGTGCGAGGTGGGACAGGACGTCCTTGGAGACGGAGAACAGCCTGTCGACAAACTTGTTCATCAAGTTGGCGGTGGCATCCCGGCCCCTGGGCGTAAGAAGAGGAGTTGCTGCACCAGGGTAGTCATATGTGACGGCCGGGTTCACCTGCTGGGGTGTCAAGGGTTCTAGTCATGGTTAGCAAATGAGCACGATGAAATTTACACAGGAGCTCAAGTGTTCACCTCTTGCATCAGTCTGGGTTACTGGGAAGGATGCGGGTGTGGCAGAACTGTCTGGAGACTGTATGCTGGCTGGCATGGTCGCGCGTGAGCCACGGCGCGTGTATCGGCGAGCATATTGCTCACCTCGGGCTCTGGCCATGCCGCGACCACCCCTGGAGCTTGGAGGAGGAGGCATGGGGGAATCTGGAGCAGCGTCGTCGTCGACGTCATCATTATCACCAGGAGAGGCATTCAGAGAGGCATCTGTATCATGGGAGGCATCATCAGCAGCGGCAGCAGCAGCTGTGATGACGGGCTCGGGCTCGGACGCAGACTCCTCGGCGGCGGGCTGGCCGGCGGCTTGTTGTGCTGCCTCCATCTGAGCAGCAATACGCGTGCTCTGTCTGCCGGGGCCGGCGGGAGCAGCGCGCCCTCCTCTTAACCGTGGAGGCATCTTGCCAACTGGCCTCCAAAACACCGTGAAACCTGGCGACGGGAGAGGAATATCTCTAGCGAGAAATACTCGCGATGGTGGTTTATGGCCGGGAGAGGGTTAAGGATAGGGGTTTGGTTCGTCAGGGTTTGAAGAGAGAGAGAGTGAGGTGGGGGGAAAAGAGTGAGAGAGAGAGAAAAAGAGGGGGGGAAAGGTGAGGGTACAACCCTTCGAAAAACGGGAGCTGTCCTATATCCCTGTGAACCACCCAGTTGGGGGTACCTGAGGCCGCAGCTTCCAGGCAGCCCTGGAACTGGCACTGGGCGCTGGTGCTGGGGACTCGGGGTGCAGGTGCCCACCTGCAGAGCAGCAGAAGGAGCAGGGATATGGGCTGGAGCAGCTCTTAGCGGCCGCTGCCGATTTGACCCAGGTCACAGCAAGGTTCCAACGTGCCCAAAGGTTGACCGGCTACAAACCTAATCTCCAACCCAACGCGACTGAGGAGGGCAAACCCTACCAAGCAGGTGGTTGCGTCTTTGGTTGATTGACCAAAATCATAAATTGTGACACTCGTATTCACCGTCCCTGCCCGCTGTTTGGTCACAGGAATGGTACGTAGATAACTGCGCTGTATAGGAAGGTGATATCTAAGCGCGTCTGATCATGTACCTGTCCATACGAGTACTCTGAAAAGTGAATAAATACATGCTGTCCCGCAGTTGACGATACCACATAAGGTCATATTGTAGAATATTGTTACACACAGGATTTCATCAGAAATATCTATCCTGTAGACAAGTGAATCGTCTAGTCTGCACAGGTCAAGTTATGTCCAAATGTATGGGATCCCTGTGAACCGTAGACCAGACAGAACATACTTCGGCCTTAGGGCATAGCTTGCAGGTGTTCCTTTGGATTCAGTTTGTTTTTTTAAAGATGATAAGCTAATCTGTAGGTACCAGCCCCAGTGCCGCCCTGTCCTATTGTTAAAAAATAACCTTTGGTGATGGATCGCGTGTTAGTATTCGGCCCCTTTTCGCATGCAGGCCTGGCACGGCTCTGGGCAGCTGGGCAGCTGGGCAGGTCATGTTCCCGAATGCAGATCTGTACGATTACGTAGATCCCTGGCCGAGTCTGGTCGGCTGTGCAAGCGTGGCTTCAATAATAATATTGCTGTACTGCACCATGCCACCATGCTGTACTAAATCTGGACCCGGGAAGCCGATAGTGTCCCTGCATGGGCATCATACAGGCCACTAACAACCCTGGACTGCAACTTTGCTGCTCGAGACCAAAACCAAGCAGGCGACGTCTCCCCTGACCCAGGAAAGCGAGCATCATTGCCTTTCCCAAAAGTCATTACTGCCGGTCTCTTGTCGTTCTACTTGTCCTGTCTTTACCTTTGAGATTCTCCTCGTTTTCTTGCTCCCAAGGCTCATTGACAGTCGATTCAAAGCGGTCTGATTGGGTGGCCCGTCTTCCAAATCTCACCCTCAAGAGGCCAAAGTGTAGGCGCATTGCACGCCGTGTCAGAGATTCATCCCGCTTCAACACATTCATCCCTCGACAGCAGCATTCTTCCTCTTCGACACCGAGACCGAAACCCAACCCAAACCTCCTCACTCTTTTTGCTCCTCGTCTGTCAGGCTCACCGCGGTCAAAATGAGGTTCCGACAAAGAAGAGCACCCCTGGGCCTTCTGCTCCTATCCTCCCTCGCCGCGACCAGCGCCCTAGCTTCGTCCTTGGAATCCGTGCCTCTCAACCCAGCCACGGGATCGTCATCAAAAATAGGAACCAAAGATGCGCCTGTGGACGGCAAGGATGGCAGACCTCACGAAGGTCCCTTCGTCGAGGTCGAGCACCTGACCTCCGGCAGTGATCTCAAGAAGTTGCCGCCTCTCGAAGGCCGGCCCGCCGACCCTACCATCATTGATGGTGTCAAGATACCACAGACCAATGACGGCGTTATGAACGATCCGGATCGGCACCAGGCTAAAGAGGGAACCACGGGCACGTCCGGCGGCGTAAGTGAGAAGGACCAGGTGCGCAAGGCGAAGGAGGGCGCAACTGGGGAGAAGGCCGAGAACAAGCCAGAGTCCCCGAAGGAGGCGCCTCCCCTGCCTCACAGTGAGCAGGAGAAGATACTGAGCAAAGAGGATGGCACCAAGGACAAGAGCAAGCCGGATGGCAAGACAGAGGACATCTCCGGCCTTGAGGTACGTTCGATTTACACTGGTGCTTGATACATTCGACCATGCTAACGCTGGCCATCTAGAAACCCTCAGACCTCCCTGGCAAAACCTCCGAACAAGCCCTTCCCTTACCTGACTCTGCGAACAAGAACCACCTCGATGTTTCTCCGTCAACCGGCAAGTCCTCGAGCAAGCTGCCCATCGAAGACCCCGACGGCATAATCCAGCCGCTCCATTCCTTCCTCCTCTCCTACACCATGATCCTCGTTTCCGAGATAGGCGACAAGACTTTCCTCGTGGCCGCGCTCATGGCCATGAAGCATGACCGCCTCGTGGTCTTCTCCGCTGCATTCAGCGCGCTCATTACTATGACCATTCTGTCCGCCGTGCTGGGTCACGCCGTACCCACGCTCATCCCTAAGAAGGTGACCAACTTCCTGGCCGCCGGGCTGTTCCTGGTGTTCGGCGCGCGCATGCTGAAGGAGGGCTTGGCCATGAGCCCGGACGAGGGTGTTTCTGCTGAGATGGCAGAGGTCGAGCTCGAACTCGAGGAGAAGGAGACTCTCGCGCGCAAGGCCGGCCGGAGGCGGTCGTCCATATCACCCTACGCGCTTGAGATGGGCTTGAACAGGACGCACACGCGCAAGTCCCGCTCCCAGTCAAGATTTCCCACGCCGCCACGCAGCCCGTCCGCCTCCCCCGAGAGAAGCCTCAGCCCCAGGAGAGGCGCCTTCGGGGCCGCCTTTGACGGCGCGAGCAACCTCTTCTCTCTGCTTCTGAGCCCCGCGTGGGTGCAAACGTTTGTCATGACTTTCTTGGGCGAGTGGGGCGACCGCAGCCAGATCGCGACTATCGCGATGGCGGCTGGTCAGGATTACTGGTGGGTGACGCTGGGCGCTGTGTTGGGTCACGCGTGCTGTACCGGTGTCGCCGTCATTGGTGGCCGTGCCATAGCTGGCAAGGTCTCGCTCAGAGTCGTCACCGTGGGAGGCGCTGTGGCATTTTTGGTGAGTTCCACTCCAGAATCAATCTCGAGGCATCCCCTCGATCATGTGTCACAACACAGATATACTAACCCGAGTTCAGATATTCGGTGTCATTTACCTAGTGGAAGCTCTGTGGGCCTAGGAGGACATCCTCCTCGGATAATATGCACATCAACGGCTTCCGACCATTGCGTTACGACTTACCTACCATGTAATTGGGCCGTGACTTTTCTTCACTGATCGTTCTCCTCTGGGCGGTACAGCAACTTGCAATATAGCAATGTTGCAGGCGCGGAGCATGTATACGGGCAGACCGGTTGGAAGGCAGCGTGGAATGTATTTTTTGAGGGGGGAATCGCATGGGCTGGAGTCAAGGGCAAATGACAGTAGCTTTGTTGTTACATTGTACAAGACAGCACAGGCAAAACGAGAAAAAGCGATGGGTACCAGGTCGGATTTGTGTCATTGGCAATGGTCTTGGGAACAACAGGATTATATATGGCTTTCCTGTATGAAATAGGACACTCCACCATTTAATGAAGGCGTATTTGATTATGTCACCCTCTCGATATCCTGTGCAACGTCTTCGTCACATTTAGGGTGTGATTCTCCTCCCCCTGAATATCCGGAAGCTTTGCACGGCCAGGTTCAGGTATATGCAGATCCCCAACAAGGGGGGGGGACAACCCCCCATGGGATAAACTTCTGTGGGATAATCTCTTGTGGGATAATCTCCTGTGGGCTGGGAGAACCTACTGGATATATTAACTTCCACCTCTACAGGCATATGACTTGCAGGCTACTTCGTGTATTCAGGATTACCAACGGTATGGACTAATTTGTAATTTAGATCTTGCTCCTGTTATACGCCCTTGAGTGCTACACCTCGTCACAATAGTCATTCACATGACTTACAGGTTGTTGACGCTTATGGTACTCTGGCTGCCTATAAGTCGTCTGGACTAGAGGCCCAAACTCCCCGACAGTCTTCTCCTTCCACGCATTCAAAGACGCCGCGCCATCATACACGTCCAAGCTGGTATAATACCGGGCACCAATCCTTTTAAGGATTTCACACTTCTCAGCCATAGTTCTAGCTAAATGTACCAGTGATGCCTCCGCAGGCACCAAGTTGTGCCTCTCGTCATTGCCGTACGTAGGCGTGTCAAACTCAGCCACCCAAAAGCCCCCCTCCGGTCCCGCCGGCTCTGGATAAGCTACACTCACCCACCTCCGTTCCCTGAGGGAGAGCGGTGGTTGCTGGCCAGCCTCAAGGGCACAGATAGCCAGATCATCATCATCAGCCACGCCAGCTACAAATCCGTGCCTTTGGCTGCTATCAAACCACTTAGCGCCGAGAAGCAGTAGTCGCTGGCAAAACGCGTCCTCGGCATCCTGGTCCGGATTACGCTGCATAGGCGGGTCCACAGGGTCAAGCCCGAGGAACTCAAAATCGAGTCCGTTCACATGTTCAAGCACAATAATGCCGCCGCGCGACGGCCATGCCCATATGTTTAGACGATTATCGAGACAGACGATCCGCTCAATTGGCTCAGGTTTCCTTCGGGGGGAGGGACAAATTGGACCCCGCCTTGGCCCTGAGCCCTTGGCAGAATTAGGGTCGTCGGGGCGTTTAGGAGTACGCATTGCACTGTTAGACGAGATGTGGATGTGACGGAGTATCTAAAAAAGAGGTATGGCATATATGCGGGTGTGTATTTCTAGGTACATAGGTGGGTGGGCTGTAGGGCACGCGGGATCTAGGGTCTCATTACTGTACTTATATCTAAGAGAACTCAAGCATCCTTCCTGACTGGCTCGTGTTGTTAGCTTTCGATAGTATCTCTATAGTGTCTTTATTATTTAGCCTATTCTCAGAGCAACCGACATGATGTTGTGTCGAGCTGCAGCTACTAATCCTCCAGGCAGATACGTTCGGGGTTGGCTGACAGCACGACCAACACGGCGACACAGACAGTCTCTCAACACGCATGGAATCTCCCGATACGCGACACAGGAAAAAGCATACCGCAGCGGATTACTAAGACCCACCTTGTCTGTGCGCCGGGCCTCCTCCATCGGGGGATCTTTTGTGAGACACATGGTTGGCTTCGTGAGATGGGACGACGTCCTCGTCTCCCCCCGGACCGGCCTCGTGCAACATCGACGAGCCGCCCTTGCTCCCGTAGGACTGTTTCACCAGCAGTATCGCACTCAACGTATTTCCCCAGGAGGAGATCAGAGGCACCAGGTATTATTCCGGCCGTGCTTGACTGTAACATCAGGGTTAGACAGCTGTCAGCAGACGCCAGTGGGACTCGCGCAAGCGAAAGTCGTTCCCACTTACACGTACACCAAGCGGCCGAACCCCGCGCCTGTCTTTCCCCGCTGTTCCCTTAGGTCCCTCCTATCTACTTGCTGTATCCTCTTCCGAGCTCCGGGGTCAATTTACGCGCTGTACATTCTTCTCCTGCCCCCCAGAGCCTTTTTCCCGCTTTCATTTGTTTAGAACCGCTGTCTGCCCGTAGTACTGAGGAAATATATACCTTATATCCAACCAAGATGTCTGAACTCTGGACCAAGCCATCAGGGAACTCGTCGGCCCTCTGGGCCAAGCCCACCTCCACGTTCGAGTCGCAGACCCATAACCCATCAGCCACACCTCTGTCCGAGGCCCAGACGCGGGTCCGCCACCCCGGAAGGCGATTTGCGTGAGTGACCGTTGTTGTCGTTGACCTTGGAGCTGTTCCCCGGGGTCAATGGTTTCCTCCAGGAAGCAGATTTCCCAAAGCGGGACATTGACCCCCGAGAACAAGCTCCGGTCAAACCCCGGCGAGGGCTGGCTGTCTTGGCTGACCCGGTTCTCGCGACGCAGGCAAATCGTGAAGCTGAAGCCCGAGTACTACGACAAGTACAAGGAGGTTCACGCGGCAGTCTGGCCCGAGGTGCTGAGGCAGATCAAGGCGTGCAACATCGTGGACTGTAGGTCTTGTGCTGAGTTGATAATCACCCGACCCGCGAGCCCGAGTCATCCGGGGGGGGACCAGGCGCAGGCCGGCCCACCCCTGGCTTCGACAGCCTTCCGGCTGCACGCACTGTTTTTGCTACGACCTTGTGGTGTGTGCCGGAATGACGGGCTGACAGTTTTCTTCAGACAGCATATTCCATGACTCCGACTCACACATCCTCTTTGCGACCTTCAAATACGTCGGATACGATTATGCCGGGGATATGGAGAGGATGCGGGAGAACCCCAAGGTGCGAGAGTGGTGGAAGATGACGGACGAGTTCCAGGAGTCGATGGTCCCCGGGGCCAAGAGCAGCGAGGACGGCGAGCCGTCGTGGTGGAAGCCCATCGAGGAGGTCTTCTACCAGGCTTAGGGAGTGGTGGCTTGCTTGCTTGCTTGCTTGCTGTCGCCTTTTTCTTGATGACCTTGAGCTGTTCCGGAAAGGAGGCTGGCTTGCTTAATTTGGGCTGCGGATACATCGCCCTAGGGATTCTCGCGGAATTGGGATCAGAAGACCTAGAAGGGGGCCTCAGGAGAGCACCAGGCTCAGATAATAGACGGCCCAAGACTTCCACTCGCTGAGGCCACGTTGTATTGGAACCACATCTGCGCGCAGCCCGCGACATCCTCGTCTCAGTCCTTCCGTGTCTGCAATCAGGGGCCGCTTTCCACATGTCGCACGGCATCACAACTTGGTTTCCCTCCCATGAGGCAATTATGCACCTCAAGCAGTCAATCAACCCTTGAAACTCCCAAAGAGCCCACCAAAGATAGACCCTCCTCCCCCGCCGCCTCCCCCTCCCCTCCCACCGTGGCGTCTAGCCTCAGTCCTGATCCACTCCTCCAGAAACCTCTTGTCCTTCAACCGATTGCCATCCGCGACCTTGGTCTCGACCTGAGCCTCGCCGGCGTCGAAGCTCATCAAGGTTGGCACGGAGCTGATCATGTAGTTGAGGCCCAGGCCCGCGCTCATCACGTCCGGCGCGTCAAACTCGACCTCGCAGTACCCGACGCCACCCTCAGCCTCGCCCACCCCGGATTCCACCAGGGACTTGATCAGGGGCGAGACCTGGTGGCACGTGGAGCACCAGCTGGTTGTCCACAGAGTCAGGAGGGGCCTCCGGGAGCTTGAGGAGGCGGCGATGTAGGTCCTGAACTGGTCTTCATTGCGGACGCTATGATCTGTCAGCCGGGATCATTCTACGTCCGGCGATGCTGCCTTGGGGGTGAGAGAGCAAGGATAGGCATGTGTCCAGGGACGGTGGGTGGCCGCTCGAGTGAGAGGGCGCCGCTGTCCAGATCGAGATGCACTTCCTCAGCACTGCAGCTGGGTGTGACTTACGATGAATAGACCCGGTTCCTAGATTGCTGCTGACTAGATGTTGTGGATGAGAAGCAGGCGCGTAGAGACGGTGCTGAGGCCGCCCTTGGTTTTGAGCTTAGAGCTGCTTTTGGTAGAACTTGAGTGCTGGCACTCGGCCGCGTGGCGGCTCTTGCCAGTAATGCGGGTGCCGTATGCATCGCAGGGCCTTTGCGAAATAATATGCCAATGCTGCAGATGGGCGCACTCTCGGTATCTGGATTGTGGTCCTTCAAGATCAATTGCGCATCGAGATTGGCTGTTGTCCCAATGCGCCGTGAGAACTTGAACATCAATATTGATATGACGTACAAGGCCAAGACCGCTACCCGAGCTTGGCGGGCGGCCTAGACAGGAAACTTGGTGCTGTGTAAGCGAGGCCCGGGAAGAATAAAGTGAAACCAGCTATATCAACGTTCTACTACGGTACCTCAGATCAGGTCTGTAAATGCAAGTTCACCATTGCCTTTGATATGAGCGATGCAAGCACTGTGATCGACTAGAACAGAGCGAGCAGGGAGGAAGAGGCTTCTTTGACGGCAATTTAGTCGACACCTGGAAGGGCCCAACCGAGCAGGAATGCATCAGATGCGGAGGCGACATTGAACCTTAGGGGTAGATTTCCCATCATTCCTTTCCTCAACATGAAGAATATGCAGAATGTAGGAGTGCAAGCGGGGAGCATCCTTTGCAGGCTGTCAACGCGATTCCATGATTGTACATCATGTCTTCATCGATAACATCTTTAACCGTCGAGCAAATCCCAGCCAGCTGCGCGGTTCCTGGACTAAACTTGACTAGAAGGTACCGGTATGGGCTGAAGAGGGCACGCGTACAGCGGCATCGTGGCGGTATGAGTTTGCTTGCATCGGTTACGTAGTAAAAGATTCCGTGTGGACCGTATGACTTTGATTAGAATGCAGAGTTGAGATTTCGTGACTGGGAGCGAGTCTCTGCATCTAGGTAGCCTAGCGCTTGAACTTGAAAGGGCTTGTATTTGTCGTGGAAGCAGTTGAACGAGACTGACATTGGCCCAGATACCGGGGATTATCTCACTCAAGATGAACCCACTGGAGGTTATCACATTAGAAGTTATCCTTTTTACTCGAGATCATCCCAATATAATAGACAAATTATATGTAGTGTTAATATCTATATAAAGAACTTTTTTCGAATTATCTCTCCACGTGCTTCTTTTAATGAGTTGCAAAGTGTAATAGGCCCTGTGTTGCCACAGCCATTGAGGGTGATGGGCAGCTCTGAAGTTGCATTTCTGGGTCTGACATTCGCAAATTGGCTTCTTGAGGTTCACTGAAGGGAAGCAAGCGCGGCTGAATTGCCCAGGCCTGGTAGCTATGAGTTCCAAAGCCAAGTGCTCTGCCCAGCTGCGACCGCGGCCATTAGTTGAACGTGAGCCCGTCGTTCTGTGGTCCGAGTTTGTGTCACGGTCTCGGGCTGGATGCTGGATTACTTTGGTTGGGTCCCGAAGTGCAGTACCTAGTCCAGGTAGAATATCCGAAGCCCGGCGGCGCCTCAAAACCTTGGAAGCGAACCTGATGTTGGTAAAGCTTGGCCCGCCACACCCGCGAGCTAAGCCTGGCTAAGCAGCCAAGGTGCCTTGACAGTCCGCTGGGCGCCCTGGAAGGGTGCCCATTCGGGCAATTCTCTCTCCTTCCTGCAGCGAGCTTTGCGTACTGCGTATTGCATGCAACAGGGGGTCCAGGACTTAGAGTCTTGATTCCCAGAGTATCTCGGAACCTTATAGATATTCTAACGACGAGGGCCTTGATGGCCTCGACCCTCGGTCAAGCAGCGAACACTCCACACTCGGGCTGCATGGACTGCATGGACTGCCTGGACCCTGGGGGCACAGTGCGTTTCGAAACGTCGATTTCGTCATATCTCAGGGTCGCATGGACTATACAAGATTCCTGGACAACCACCGAGGGCAGGTGACCAACGTGACGATGGATCACTGGATCATTCCGGCCCCCTGCCCAGAAGGCTGAGCATGTGAGATGGCTAGCTCATGCAGGCGCTCCATCAAGTCTGTCTGCTGTCTCACCCTCGACTCCATCCATTTCGGTGGTTTGGTGAGCTTTGACAAGAACACGGGCATTCTTCAGTGAGAACTCTGCGCATGGCGCGCTCTAGGAAGGATGATCCCAAGCATCCCCAGCATCCCAAGCGCCCTGGGCCCACTCAGGGCGCGTCAGCATCTCTCGTCTATGCCTTTGGCTTGACACAACGTACCATCCAAGATGTGCAAACAGGCGGTCTGTCGTATCGTGATGCACTGAGACTTTGTTATCTGACAGGCTTCGAAGATCGCAGCCCAACGGCCTCTTCTTTCTGACCATCTCCACCCCATCCCCATCTTCTTCCCCACAGTCCCTAGCTCTAGTCGCGCATATAGACATTTAGTTCCTTGGTCAGCCTCGTTGTCTCGAGCATTGTATTTAAGCGGCAGCGTTCGCGGCACTGCCCAGGTCTTCCCTGTGGTTTTCAGCCTGATTGATCGGTGACAGGTTCACGTGGCTTGCGACACCGTCAACGTGCTTCATCTCTTCTTAATCACCCGGACCTGCCATCCATCATCTTTTTTTTTATCCCGATATAGCACATTCCTTTCGTTCATCTATCCCAGAACCCCTTCCTTGGCTGATTCCTTCGCGCGTGCATGCAAAGGTGACGGAACCCCAACAGAAAGCCTTCAGGTCGAGGCCCGGCCCATGCGGTGGACCGTCTCCGCCACAAGGACGGATACTGTCCCCTGTCACTGTTGATGAGATACAGTACGGTACACCATATACAAATTTACCTGTGCCGCGCATATCTCGAAAACAACGTGCTCAGAGATAAGAAGACGTCCAACGAGCCCAAATCTTGCGTTGCTCTTGCCTTTTGCTCTTGCTCCTGCTCCTTCTCTAACTTTCTCCATGACGAGGAAGGACCAGGTCACGCACTCATCGCGAAGGAAGACTTTCCGTGCAGAGCATAACTGCCCTCCTTCCACCAACACCTAAAGGAACCATTTTTGAGTGTTGTAAGAGATTCCGGACCACGTCTTCAAGTACTTGGGCCGCCCACCTCATAAGGGATCACACAGGGTCACCGAAATTACACGAAATCGCCTAAGGGCCCCAGATTTCTCAGCACTTGGCCCAAGAATCCTCAACATGGCTCTTAAAGACGATAACCAACCTTCGCTAATGTCACGCTTGCCGTTTTTCAGCAAGCGGAAGGCTGAGGGTGACAATGTCTCTGCGAGGGGATCTAATGCGGAGGATGAGCGCACGTCTAACCAACCACCCAAGTGGAGCTTTGGAGTGATGAACGACAAATACACTATCGAAGTCCCAGGTGAGATTCAATCCCGAGACCGAGCCTGACCAAATCTAACTTGCAACAGGCTCTGTACTGCTGCTTGCGGATCACAGGAATGAGCCCCTAGGCCTTCGTAATGTGCCAGCCAGGACATCTCACTCCTCCATTCCCACCAGCACTCGTCAGGAGGCACCTTCACCCAGGGTTGACAAGCCCACGAACGACAAGAAGAAGACCTCGGATGGTAAGATCATCTTGGATCCCCAGCCAGAGGACGGACCGAACGATCCTCTGAACTGGCCCACATGGCGGAGGGACGCGGCCTTGCTCTCGATCGGTCTGTACTGCATGTTGGGCGGCGGGCAGACATCAATCCTGGCGGCTGGCTTCACCAACGTTGCCGAAGACTACGGAGTCCCCGTCGCCAAGGTCTCACTGACCACAGGTCTCTACATGATGGGTCTAGGCCTTGGCTCAGTCATTGCATCACCTACGGCCATCCTGTGGGGCAAGCGACCTGTATACCTCGTTAGCGCTGTGTTGTTCGTTATCACATCAGTTTGGTGCGCCTTATCACCCAACTACGCTTCCCTTGTGGTGGCGAGGATCTGCCAGGGGATTTCCGTGAGCCCTGTCGAGTGTCTGCCTTCCGCTACGGTCGCCGAAATCTTCTTTCTCCATGAGAGAGCGTTTCGACTTGGAATCTACACTCTGCTGCTCCTCGGCGGAAAGAACTTGATACCACTGGTCAGCGCAGCCATCATTCAGTCTCTCTCATGGCGCTGGGTCTTCTGGTATGTCTATTCAACTTCGGCCATTTCATCTATCTAGGCTAATGACGTGACAGGGTCGTCGCTCTAGTGGTCGCATTCTGCGGCGTACTTCTTTTCCTTTTTGTCCCTGAGAGCTTCTGGCTGCGTATGCCAACGAGGAAGCCATCTCGGCCCGGCCTCTTCCAGCGAATGTCATCGCGATATTTGAGTCGACACGAGCGAGTGCAGGCTGGGGAGGCTCTTGCATCACCCCAGGAGGAGAAGCCTCACAGGCCGCAGCCGCACAAAGACGTGCATTTCTCAACGGGATCTGAGACTGAGACAGTTGAAAGTCAGGACCAGGTCCCTGGAGGAGAGCACCATGTAATTTTTGCGCCTGCTGCAGAAACGGTTAACGACCATACTCTGGGCACGCCCGAATCGAAGCTATATCAGCACAAGAACGAGAAGCTCGACGTCCCGAGAGGGAAAAGCTCATCGGATGAGTCGCCACCTCATTCGGAAGAAGGCGTCAAGGAGATTCCTCCAAACAGCACCCCAGCCACTCCTGATCCCAAGTCCGAGCGACCTAGCAGGTCCTCATCCATCCGCAGCCGTCTTCCTTGGGCCCATCAGGACCCCGAGAAGCGGCAAAAGGAGCAGGCTGATCTCAATGCGTATTGTGAACACTGGCGTGAGCGCGAGGCCAAGTCTTTTGTTCAGCAACTCCGTCCATGGCACGGCCGACTCAACAACGACAGCTGGCTCAAGGTCATGATCCGGCCGTTCATCTTGTACTGCTACCCTGCAGTCCTCTGGTCCTCGGCAATCTACGCATGCTCTGTGGGCTGGCTGATTGTCGTCTCCGAGTCGGTGGCCGTCATTTTCCGCGAGAAGTACTATCACTTCAGCGCACTTAGCACAGGATTGATTTACATAAGCATGTTTGTGGGAGGGGTCCTCGGGACCGCTGTGGCTGGCAAAGTCTCTGATATATTTGTCAAGGCGATGGCGAGGCGCAACGGCGGCCTCTACGAGCCTGAGTTCCGACTGATCATGGCCTTGCCGATCGGTGTCTCGACCGTGATCGGCCTCATGGGCTTTGGCTGGAGCGCCGAGCTCCAGGATAGCTGGATTGTCCCTACTATATTCCTGGGTGTGATCTCCTTTGGTTGCTGCTTGGGCAGCACGACATCCATCACATTTTGCGTCGACAGCTACAGACAGTACGCGGGCGAGGCCCTCGTCACGTTGAATTTCACCAAGAACATCCTCCATGGGCTCGTCTTCAGCTTGTTCGTGACGGAGTGGATCGAGACCGACGGGGCCAAGTCCGTGTTCATCTGGCTGGGCGTCATACAGCTGATCGTGGTGGCGACGTCTTTGCCCTTATATATCTATGGCAAGAGGCTTCGGATGTGGACCACAAGGAACCATTGGGTCGAGAGGTTATAGATCAACTTCAAAACAGTGGACTTCTAGTCGCCATTGCCGGGGCTGAAATTGGGCTTGATTTTTTATGGCTACAAGGGAGCTATAAGCATGATATCCGCGTCTTTTGTCAGCATCACATAGATAGGAGTTGAGGTATCATCATCGCCCGCGGGGCTGGAGGTTTCGCTTTTATAGTTTGAATAAAGTATCCGGGAGCAAAGCCAAGTAAATTGTTTATGAAGTTTCGTTCATGTGAAGTACAGCAAGCAAATCTCTGTTTTCCTTTTCGTGCTAATTTCTGTCCTTACCGCCCGAGTCTGTTCCATGTTGGAACTCAATCGTATTCTTCCACGCGTGAGTCAAATGCAGCGACAACCTGGCAAATCTCCCTCAACATACGAGTGTCCACCTTGCTCATATGTGGCTTCAGATGAACATCTGGAAAAGCAAGTCCAAAAATGACTCCCAGTTGGTAACAAAAAATCCCCGGTAAAACCTTTTTCGCCAATAGTAATGCACTGTACCCCCGTTCTGGCAACTCCACCTGGTCTCCCACTAGATTCCGGAGTGCTGCAAGATCACAACCCGTAGACGACCATTCCTAGATGATTGAGTCCGACGAAATCCCAGCATTCCTCAGTATTTCGGCAATTTGATCCGGCAGCATCCCCTAGGTCTTGTCGGATTTGCCGTAGACTTTCCGGACGGAATTCTGTGATATCGGGTTCGCAGAACAAAGTGACCGAAGTTCCTCAACGTCCATACCCAGGTCCACACGAGTCGAAACAACCTCCTCGCCATTCATTCGTTCAATCGTAATATCCATGACAACATATCCCCCAGCCCAGCAGAACTCGGTATCTATTGCAAAGCTTTTGGATGCAATTTGGACGTCGTCCAATCCGTGTGCCAGCAAACGAAGTGCACTGTTGGCTTGAGAATCCACATAGATCACCTGTCGTTGCAGGAGTAAGGCAAACTCTTCGGCAGTCTTGATCGAGAAGTCCGACAGTGTGCCTGCTTCCGATTTCTCTTTGAGCGCTTTGGCGACCGAATCGACAGTTTTCTGGTGGTACTCGCAGCAGAAGACGTCCTTGACTGCCGGATTCTGACATGTTTTGGTGGCACTGCAGATCCCCTGAGCTTCTTTGTCTGCCAAAAGTCGCCGGATCTGGAGTCTTTTCTCGCGCAGCTCTGCAGCGTCCTCAGGAGTACCATGAATAGATTTGATGTGCGCGGCTTGGCTGGATTTGAGTGTAAACAAACGCCCACAGTCCGCACAAGGACATGGGTATCTTGTGCCAATGTGCACAGAGTTGACATGACCGTTCAAGCCGCCCGTCGTCGAGAAAATCCTCGGACAGTCATCATAGGGGCAGGGCAAACCGATCCCAGTATGCACGGATTCAATATGGTCGGCGAGACTGATGTTCTGTACGAATTGTCTCTCACAATCATTATAAGGGCAATGGTAGCGGATTCCTTGGTGTGCAACCCGGATGTGCCGGTTCAAGTGTGACTGTTGCGTACACTTGGTGTTGCAGTCGGAATAAGGGCAAAAATACCGTACTCCTTGGTGTGCGGATTGGACATGATAGGTGAGCTCAGTCGAGGTTTGGTACTTCTTGCTGCAGCCTGCATATTCGCAATGGTGATAGATTCCTTGGTGGTCAGCCCTGATATGCCTTTCCAACGTTGAATTGGTTGTGTACACCTTTTTGCATTCGCTAAATTGGCACATGAAGCTGACACCCAGATGAGAAGACTTCACATGATCGTCCAAGGCTGACTGCCTTTGATATTTCTTCTTGCAATCATCAAAATTGCAGGTGAAAAGGATTCCTTGGTGGGCGGCTCTGAAATGATTGTCGCAACTAGCTTTCATTGTGAACTCACGCTCGTAGCCTGAGTCTGGGCAGAGAAAGGTTCTCCCTTTATGAACGCGTTGTACGTGCGTGTAGAGACCGGAGGCGGCGCTGTACGACTTATCGCACTGTTCGTATTTGCAACGATGTTCTTTCCCTTCGTGTACGTCTCGAACGTGCCTGCTCAAGTCCCCTTTATGTGTATAGGTCTTGCCGCAAACATCACAAGCGTGAGTCGGTTTTGGTTTCTTGGAGCTCTCCGAAGCGGCGGGCGCTGGCCGCTTCGGAGGCATCGTGACGTTGGGAAAACCGACGTTCGAACGAGTGGTTTGGAAGGTCGACGGAAGAAGATTGCTAGGAACAGTGGTTTGAACGAGTGGCAATTGGGACGCTTAAAGGCTCTTTGGACGGCGTCTGAGTTGTGGAGGTGAAGGTTGAAGGTTGAAGGTTGAAAGGTTGAAAGGTTGAAAGGTTGAAAGGTTGAAAGGTTGAAAGGTTGCGGGACATCTGAGGAAGTGCTGCAGCAGTGGTCAGTCAGTGTCCTTGAACAATAGGAAGGAGCCAACCTACCCTTTAATTTCAAGGACTGTGGCTGGTCACACGCAGCAACTGCCTGACTGGCAACTGAGTAGGTCATCTACATCATAGACAGTGGAATTTTGGTAAAAATCGCCAGCACGCGCTGCCGAGTGTTGATCTGGCCCTACGTGGAAGTAGATTTGTGTGGTTAAGCCTGAGCCCGCTTTTTTTTTGTCTATTAGGTAGAGTAAGCTCCGTAAGAGGGAAGGGAGGAAGTTGCGGAATGTCGTAGGCTTCATGGCGTATGTGTCTGGGGAAGCCGGTATCGTATGTGTTTGGACAGGGTCCGAAGATCAAGGAATCAATTGAGGGGATCCGACAAGCTGGAAAACGTCGGGGCTGTTTGGCAGAGACGAAAACTCATATGCCGCAACTATCGATGATCGTTTAGCGTACGCACGCGTGTGATGGCATGCGTATACAGGGCCTCCAGCTTGATCAAGGCCAGTTGACGATGGGATTCGTGGGGTGAGCTGCTGATCGAATGTTTGGTGATGGTCACGTTGATAGTCCTGAGACCATTAGTGATCGATTCTCGACGTGGACGCGTCAAAAAGGATTCATCAGGTTTGTAGCTACCATGTAAGGGCACAGCAGGATTCAAAATCGCTCGTTCGGCAACCTTTTTGAGGGTAAATACAGCCAATTCAATTGATTGGGGGTGAAGTCGGTGTGTGTTTTGAGCACAGAAGGCAGGCTAAGGCTATGAAGGGGTGACATGCTTTAGTATCCATGTGCCTGATTAGCAGGCTACAAGAATGCTCTGATTATTTTAATCCAAGTGAATGCGTGCCTCAGGCACTTCCTCAATGTCAGGAATGCCTAACTGCCTGCTTCTGTCTCGTATCTCAGGAGACAAGAAGCACTCTTTAACTCAAGAGAAGGCCACCAGAGGTGCCTCCGTTAGATACTTCTCCTCCTACGGTCCACGAAATACTGTGATAGATTCACTTCCCACTTTCAACACACCATGGTATATGGGCCAGCGGAGCTCAACTAGACTCTTGACTTCATGGAGAGCCTCAAGTAACGAAGCCAAAGCAAATCAGCACAGTCAAGCATCATTTGCATCCCCATTTGAACCATTTCAGGCTCCATTTAAATCAATGTTTTGATCAAATCTCCGGGCTCCGCATGTGGACCGTCCGTTTGAATCTATTGGAGAAGTTTTAGGTGAACTTCAAGACCGTGGAATTCTAGTGGCCGTTACCGAGGCGGAAGGGTGTTTGGACATTGATATTGTATGACGACTACAAGGGCAAAATAAGCATGGTATCGGCGTCTTTTCATGAATCTTATAAAAGGGACTTAGGGTATCACTACCGCCTACGGGCTAGGTGAAAGGGTTCGCTCTCATGGTTTAAATATAGCATCTAGGAGCGAGGTTAGACAGACTATGCATGAGGTCTCATTTTGCCGTCTCGACTCTTTTACGGCCCACGGGGCTCCTGTGTGATAACCTCCCCAGAAGTATTCATTTAACGTAACCAATACTGGTCTCCAATACTACTATAACAGGGACATTGACAAGGCTGTCTATGTTGAAGGCTTGCTTGACCATATTTTTGGTTTCATGTGAATTTCTGCAGACTTCTAAGTACCAAACCGATGGGACAGCTAAGCGGCAGCATGAAAATAGAAACATGGCTACTGTACGAAGTTTTCCAATGTGTAGCAGTGAATATCAAGCAAAAGACTGCAAAATCCCCTCAAAAGAAACCTCCGCAGCGGAATGAGGTCTCTAAATTCAACGCAGGTAGTTGAAGATGTGAGCCCTGGAATGTACATGAGAGATGTCTTCCTATACATACAAGTCACTCGTCAGCAAGACTCCACAAGTAGTTCCAAGAGACCGTTGTAGAACTAAGAACAATATAGCAAGAGAGGCTACACTTCAAATTTCTTATTCCCATAAAAGTGTGGGAATTGCTTCCTTGATAGTTATTTTACAAAGGCTGTTGTGTCCCGGACCAGTTCTGCTCATTCCCCACAGTGCGACCGCCACGCTTAAGCTTGCTCACTTAAGAAATTTAAGCACAATCCCACGACCACGACGACCTAGACCGGCTAGACAGGAGCCAAAAAAGGAACATGGCATCTCAAATCCCGCCTCTGCTGGAGTCATACCTCTCCCTACCGTCTGAGACCTCCCAGATCGTCCTCACCGGCATCCTCGGCGCGAGCACCAACTGGCTGACCCTGCGGTACCTGTACAGCCTCCTCCGGCCCGCGGCCGCACCGCGGCGCGACGATGGCGACGCCCCCGCCGGGGGCGACGAGGACGTCAAGGTGCTGCTCGTGAGCTTCATGAGGGACTTCGCGTTCTGGAAGGAGGGCGCCGGACGGCTGGTGTGTTTTTCTCTTTCTCTCTCATGCCTCCCACTGCGTCCGGGCCTTTTTCTACATGCCACATGTGCGAGAATGGATTCATTAACACTGTGCGCTCGTAGGGTCTCAACCTCGACGCTCTGGCGGCGCGAGGCAAGTTCCTCTTCGTCGATGGGCTGAGCAGGCTGTACCTGGGCGGTGACGGGCCTGCTGTGCAGTCACAGTCTACCGGGCGCGGCCCAGGGCAGCCGGCGCAGCAGCAGCAAGTATACCTTGACAGCCCGCGCCTCACCGACGTCGCGAGGGCGCTGGGCGCGGCTGTCGAAAGGCTGCAGGCTGCTGGTGGCAAGGTCGTCTTGCTACTGGACCAGCCTGATTTGTTCCTTGCGGCTGCGTCGCCTGGGGACGGTGTCACGGGGACAGCGTGGAGGGAGGTAGTGCTTGGGCTACGAGAGGTGAGTTCTTTTACTGGTCTTGGGGCTTTTCTTGCGCTGCGGTACGGCTCAGGACAACGGACAGGAAAGCGTGTCGTCTGTCTGCCTGTCTACGAATGGGGCCTGGTAGCAGCATGTTGTTCGGAAGTTACATTTACATGTGCAGGAAATGCTAATTAGACGCAAACAGAAAGTTCACGCGACCCTTCTCACCTTGTCGGCGGACGAGCCACTGGTTTCTGCGCAGACTACGACACTGGAAAAGGAGCATGCCTCCTTCATTTTGTCCCTGGCGCACGAGGCTGAGGCTGTCATTAGCTTGAGGCTGTTGGACACCGGCACAGCCAAGGATGTCAGTGGGGTGGTCAGGATCACTGGAGGCGGAGGTAGCCTGGACCGGGTGATAGAGGAGCACGAGTATCTATACCACGTTGGCGGAGATGGAGTGGTGAAGGTATTCGAGCGTGGGCAGTAGTAACCTGATCACTGCAGTGGCAACAACAGACATCCGTCATCAACATCAGAAGCCTGAAATCCTCGTCCCGTCACACTGCTAAATCTTGGCTTGTCTCTCTGCATTCCACTGCGAGCATCGTATCTGAGGGTGTACATGTGCTGGAATCGTGGTTGTGAAGCTTGATCGGTTCCCGTCATTTCGCAAAACAGCCGTCCTCAATTGCCAGCGCGAACGCTGGCACGGTGATGGTTGCGACTCGCATAGCCTTGTATTCCAGCTACGTACGAATCTCGACTCCCCGAACGCATCAAAATGCCATATTTCTTATGACGACCTGTTAGACCGAAACCCTTGAATCTTGCCCGGAATCATGAAGCAAAGGAGAATGGTCCGATCCGTTCAGCATTGTGTGATTCCCCCTTCCCTAGACGCCATTTTGCTCATTTGACCGCATGTCTCCGAAACGTTGACTGACCCTCGTCGCGTTGCCGTAGTGGCTTGTCATTTATGCCTTCTGGGGACCGCGGGCGCCCTTGGGGGTGCCGGTCTGGAAGCCGTTCTTGAAGCGTCGGGAGATGGTGGACAGAGATCGCATGCGGCCGGTACCGGTTGTCTTTCTGCGCTTAGCCTTCTCAGACCAGTTGTCTGTGTGCCTCGTTGTCAGTATCCCGTTCTGGTTCTCCTTCTTTGCTTGGTCGCTGGTATCTCTCCGTCCCAGCGTTGGGCGGCGGTCCGCGCCAGGGTGGTTCGTTCACGTACACTTTCGGGTCTTAGCAGCGGGGAAGCCGCAAGAAGCGCAGGTGTGCTTCTGGATGTGCAGGGATCGGCGACCTGTTTGTCGACGAAGTGAGAAAGTCAGCCCTCTGTCGATGGGTCCCTCGTGCAGATAAATATTCGTCCTTTCTATCCCTTGCTCTTCCAATTGCCGTATCGGGTATCCGTTGGGTGTATGTTACTGACCACAGCGACGGCACAGAGTGTGCGTCTTGTTGTGACGCTTTCCGAAAGAGCTGGTTCCCTTCGCTGTTTGAGTTTGTCAGTTTCGCTGTCGTCGAGATGGATCGAAATCGTGGGGTAGGGTGGACGAACTCATTTTGCCGGTTTGTCTGGAGCGAAAATGTCAGTATTGAATTGATTGAAATGAACAAGGTTGTTTTGAGTCTTGCGAGGGTTTCACATACCGCTGTTGAGGAGTTAGGGGGACAAAGTGACGGTATTCTTCCTTGGGTCGTTGATGGAGACGCTTCGCTGCGGGATGGAGTACAAGAATTTGGTGTGCAAAAAACCCAGATCGCTCTGGGTCACGTGGATTTCGGGAAGGAGCAGTGGGCGAGCATGCGGCGGCACTAAGCCACCCCTGGACTAATCAGCTTCAACCGGACCCACTCATTTTCTGCACAGCATTAGGACGTCAGTCAGTCTTACTCCGCCAATAGAGGCAGAGGGCCCTGTAGGCAATCGACAACAGGTCAAAACGATGCTTCAGAGGACGCAGAAAAAGATCGCAGCTACCTAGACGAATACTACCCGACACATCTGTAGAAGGTTACCCTATCATAGGTTGTCCTATTACGGGTTATCCAATCACAGATTACCCTCTAGGAAGTTGTAGATTACCCTCCAGGAACTTATTCTACAGAAGCCACTGCTATTCACTGGTCAAGTCATCCCGCATATTTGGGATTCTTGTGAGCTGTACAGGGAGGGGTTCAGAGATTTCTTAAGCAAGCACGGTCGGCAACAAGCAAGGCACGAAAGTCACGATGCAGCCAGTGTGTTCCAGATCTTCGGATTCATCTGTGACAGAGCCAACTGGCAATGAGCTAGCTAAAAGCCACTTTTCCATCGGGCGGAAGTGTTCCAAACAAACCAAACAATCCTGTCTATCTGAACAACGTGAGGGTCAAAATCCAGGACGTCCCTGTCCACGTACCCGTCCCATCGACCAACACGAATAAATGTGGCGAAATGGATCTCCTGGCCCTCCAAGGGAAAGAACCGGTGAGGAAGTGTCACCCCAAAGGCCGACCCAAGAGAATCCAATGTGTCGGGTATTGCGTGATCAAGAACGACGGTCAGGCTCCATCATGCCCAACATCATGACAGACGGCGAGGCGAGGCTATCGCAGTCGACAGGACGGTCCCCTAGACGTGTGTCCCATGGCCGAAAAGTAGACTGCGTCAGCCTCGCGGGTATTAAAGATGTATTAGTAACAAAAGAACTTTTCAGATCGAACCCGGAACAACTGTTTGAAGGGAATGAATGCGTAAAGACATCTGGGATGACTGATGTCGACGCAGGGTGTGAAGACATTAGTCCTCCTGGTGACCATTGCCGTTGACATTGTTGGCGGCAACATGGCCATTGCGAGTGGGAGTCGACTGGCCCTTGGTGTCCTCAGTACGGTTGCCCGTCATGGGAGTGGGCGACTGGAACGCGTAGGGGCTCATGTAGAAGGGCGACGGATCGTAACCCATCATGCCAGGCCAATAGCTGTGGTAGTACGTCCAAGGGCTGGACATCTGAGGGGTCGTCTGAGGCGTCATAGGCATGCCTGAAGCGCCTGGCTGAGAGCCATAACCGGCTGCGTAATGTTGCTGCGCGTAAGGCGAGTTTGGCATGCCATAGCCCCATCCGCCGTACATGGGAGGAGGAACAGGCGCAGGAGACATTTCAGTCGAAGTAGCGTTCGGGCGAGTCGGGGTGCTGACAATCTGTACAACAGGAGACTTGGGTGGTCCGCGGGCAATGGGTGAATCATCTGGCTGGCGAATTAAGAGCTGAGACCGAGAATGACGAGGGGTAGGTCCGCGCTCTTTGACAGACTTGCGCTCAACTCGGATAACGGCTCCCTTGAGCACGCTGCCGTGAAACTTGCTGATTGCGAGCTCGGGCATGTCCGGCTGAGAGTACTCAATGAATGCCATAGTTCGCACCATACCAGAGTTGCTCGGCTTCTGGATGATATTGACCTTGAGAACCTCTCCAGCCGTTGCGAATAGATCCTCAAGATCGCCCTGGGTCACATGAGCTGGCAAGTCTCCAACGAACGCGGAGCGACGGTCCCGCTCGCACGCTGCAAGGAAAGCCTCATCGCCGCTGTCGCGAGTGGCCACGCAATTCTTCTTTAAATCGAAAGCAGTCACTGTGTAGACAGGATCGTGGCGGAACGCCGTGTGAAGGTCTCGAGTGGCATCGAACATAGAGAACTCGACCAAAACTGTAGGCGGAAATCCCAGGGGCTCTCGGAGCTGAGGGGAGAGAATCTCACACTTGCTCAGTGAGCCGTAAGGTAGTAGGGTGTTCGTAACCTCGTCGACGGTGATGGGCGCACCCGACTTCTTCTGGACGATGAAGGTGCGGTTGGCCTTGACCATCTCGGTACGGCATGGGCGACCGTAGATGATTGCGCCCTTGCCACTCTCTAGGGCACTTCGCGCCTCCTCATCCGACGTGAACTGGACAAAGGCGAAGGGCATGTGATGAGAGTCGCGGCGAATCTTGACCCAACACTTTCCATACTTATTGAACTCCCCGTAGATGGCCGCCTCGAGTGCAGTGTCATCCCTGGGCTCAGGAAGACTACAGAGTAGTGTCAGCCAGAATGAACAGCAGAGGATAGAACGGAGTTGTAATTACTTCGCGACGAAAACACAGGCAGTAGGAGGATACAGATTCTGGGCATCTACACCATTGATCTGGTGACGGGTGTTTAGGTTTGATGCGCGCGTTCGGAGAGTATGGTCCTCGTTGGCCAAGGCGACATCAAGACACTGCATTTTGCCCGTCATAATGGAGCGCTCCGAGCGACGCTCCCTCAGCGTCTTGGCAGGCGAAGAGACGAACACATCGTCACGATCATCTGCGCGGACGCGACAAGTAGGAGACCTAGATATGGTGAGCTGACGAAGTCTCAAGGGAATCAACGAAGTAACCCACTCATTTCCTGCGGTACGAACCACCTGGGCAGAACGAGAGCTTCCAATACCATGTCGAGCATGAGGAGGGGTGTATTTAGGCGAGTCACAGATCGACAAAGTGTCGAGACGAGCGCCTAAAGAGTTTGTCAGTGATATTTGCTTTAAGCTACAACCAAAAGCCAGGCAGAGGCATAGTTGCAGCCTTGGGGGAAAGTCGTGAAGCGGTAAGCGCGTGTTTTCTTCTGACGACAAGACGGATTGTGCAAGATGCAGCAGTTATCACAGGAGTATTCAATTGGAAGAAACTTACCACCAACGTCGCTGTCGCCAGCTGAAGACATCTCGCTAGGAGAGGGCGCGCGGTCAGAGCCAGTGAGCGTGGCACCCTTGTTGTGCTTGAATCGCTCTGGAGAGGGCTCGCAAGACCTGCTGAGTGATGCCATCGTTGTTGAATACGATCGTCGTAGTCGCTGCGATGGCTGATGATTTGTGTGAAAGAAAGTTGGGGACGGTTTAAGGTTGAAGGTGTGAAAAGATGAGTCAAACCCAAGAACGAACTTCAGAAATGCGAGGCCCTCAAGCGACCCCAAAAGGAACGTGTTGTGACGAAGTCAGTCACGCAAAAGTCAATGTGGTAAAAGATGATGGTGGATTAATGATGATCGAAGGTGGCACGCAACGGACCAGTGACTCGATGGTAGGAGGATCGGTTGAAAGGGACGACACCAACAGAGAAATGCTGATTAAAGATGAAAGCCTGTAGGAGGATGGAAACGCAGTGCCTCTGAACCTGTGCTTTTGGGAAGAAGGGGTCAATGAAGTAAAGGGTGGTGGGTAGCCTAGGATACTGTGGTTGGAAAGTGGTCGGTCGCGTTCAAAACGGGATGTGCTTCGGCGTCACTGTCTCTGGAAAGCAGCCCTCTTTCCTGCGCAGCCAATTTTGCAGTCCCTTCTCAGCACGTAATCAACCCTCTACTGATTATCCAGTATGACAGCTTCCCGATGTCCACTGGCACGCTCAACCCACGTGTTCGATATGCTCAACCCGCGAAGCTGTCCATAATGGAAGCACGATTTTCATGCGCAAGCTACCCTGGTTCATAAGGTCTGATTCCTTCAAGTGTGATCTCGCATGCCGTAACTATTGCCAGGCTTAACACCTTCTCTCCCCTTGGGTATGCTGCCCCTATTTCATGTCCTTCCTCGCAGCGTAATTAGGTAGGAAACCCACTAATCTGCCTCCGATGTTCCAATGCTGGATCCAGCAGCAATGCGATTGCTTCATGAGGCCGTCTCCTAAAACCAGTGCATAGCGAAAGGCTCAATCTTTGATAAAGCAATGGTCAAAATCCTCCTACCAATCGATACAAGGTGCCTGCTCTACCAGCAAGTTTCTGGTGCTTGCAACTCTTTTCATTATGGGCCAAATTCCCTTGACTCTTCGACCGTGGCACTTGCCAATGTGTGAAAGACATGAAAAAATGAAGACCTCCTTCTTTAGAAGACGTCAAGCCATAAATCTGACGATGCTCTTCGAGTTTTCAGCATCTCAGCGTACCAACGCCGCAGACTGTCCTGTCACTTGACCGGAGCTGACGGCACTATCTCCAAAGAGCTCAGGCGTGCCAGGAAGACCAGGTCACTCGACATATGAGTCTTGACACTCAGCACATCATCCCGTCCGCACTGGAATTGATACAAGGCATGCTTTTCATGACAAAGCGAACATAAGCCATTAAATACAAGATATTAGAGACGGCAGGATGACTTTTGGAGCCTCCTGTCCAAGCTTGGGACATGTTGTAGTACCGACTCGGCGGAGTAGTGCAAGCACGTCTGTCAGACTTGTCGTCTAGAGCTATGCATTACTTATGTAATCAGGCTCGAGCTCCAGAGCTCCCGAAAATGACGTCCTCAACGTGGGCGTGCTCTTCCGACACAGGAGCTCACCCAACCTACGCTTTTGCAAGCCTCGCTCTGCAATTTGTTTTTGTTGTTACACCTAGCATGGGATAGCTCTCTGAGCCACGAGGCTCTCGCAGTTCAATCCCCTTTCGATTCATAGCCAGGTTAATCAGCAAAGATGAGGGCCACGCCTCGCCTGTCAAAGGGTTTCTTCGGCCGCAGTGTGGACGAGCTCAAGAGATTCACGAGCATCGGTATTGCCCCCCGCCCCCAAAGTGCACGAAGCAGCCAATGGTTCTGACAGTTATTATTGCCCAGCACTCAACCTCGAGGCTGTCAAGGGCCCAGCTGGACCTCTCGAATTGCATTCCTTCCGCGCTCAGGAGTCCATGCAGGCATGCAAGCTCATGTCAGATGCGGACCTCGGCGGTTTCTCAAAAGCACATTTTGAATGGATTCCTCCACAATCAGCATCGAGCTCTTTGACAAAAGCAGATAATCCCAATGCACACGCCAGATTCCACGGCTCCATATCAACCCAACTACCAAAGGACATTCCGAACGTTGAGAGATCCGGTTATGCAGCATGGAGGACGCTGGACAGGCCGCCAACACTATTTGGCAAGAGCTTATGGGACATCGACCCATACGCATACCTTGCGCTGAGGATCAAGTCTGATGGCCGAAGCTACCTGGTCAATGTACAGACCGAGTCCATTGTGCCGACAGATATACATCAGCACCGTCTGTTCAGCAGGCGACCCGGGCAGTGGGAGACCGTACTGATCAAGTGGAATGACTTCGTGAGGACGAATCACGGTTACGTTGTCGAGCCTCAGACTGAGATGCTGCGGCAGAAGGTTCGCACCATCGGTATCGGGCTTACGGACAGGATACCTGGGCCCTTTGACTTGTCTATCGAGCGGATATGGGCTACCAACGATCCGAATGAGGCGGCTAATGTTGAAAACCATTCCCCGAATAAGGGTGCATTGAAGAACAAGCACGGCAAAAACGTCGCCTGGGTCACAGAGTGAGCCGAGGGCCGAGCTAAGGGCCGCGAGGAGAGATCGAGCCCAAACAAGCCATTCTCATTGGAAGTGAGGACGCGCCAGAGACAAGATGCTCACGGAAGGAGACATGTGATGGGGCGCAGGAGGACTTGTCAAGGAGATTTGGTTTGAAAGAAACCGCACTACGACGCGCCGTTGTGCCAAGGCATCACAACGGCTTCATGGAGCAATCCAGTTGCATGCCGAGTTTATTCGTGAATAAGGATTTTGGCCATTACATCCGTGCGGGTAGCCTCTGGCGGACGGGATGAACATTCACAAGCTGGGGTTGTTGAGGCGCAATGCCAATACTTGCAGATATCAAACAGGCATACTCCCACACCTGTGTAATAAATCAACGTCAAACTTGGGAGAACCTGACCGCAATTGCTACCGCGCTCGACTTTACTGCTTTGCTTGCCTTTACGTACATAGTGGCATCCATGGACTATTGAGAGACTTGTCCACAGGCCAATCAGCATTCCGTATCCTGGACCTGAACTCCGTAGCGGGAGATTAGCCCCCCACACCACGCCGATACCCGCTGAGAGCAGAGGCGATTCAAGCTGGGCAACACGCCATACGAGGCAAATTTTCATCGTGTAGTGAGTGCCCTGCACACCATGGTCATTGATATATAGCGCACACGACCATCAGATTCGTCCCTCACCTGAGAAGAGCACCTCTATTCCCGCCTCTTCCTGGCATTCTTCTTGACTCTTCCTCGAGCGTTGTGATAGACTTAGAGCATCCCGATCAACGGACTTACACGAATCATGGGTCAACCGTCCTTCCAGGCGTCAAACGCCATAGTCTATCTGACTTACGGTGCCTTCCTGTAAGTTGTAGCTATGAAGCAGGCATCGACACATATGTATAGCCGTAGCAGACTGTGACTGACTGTACTGCGCAGTATTCTGGGAACAGCTCTAGCATGGAGGTTCCGAAAGGACTCCAAGGGCGAGTTCCTTTCTGGCAACAGAACTCGGACCGGTCAGGAAAACAACCCCAAGGGAAAGGATTGGAGTCGAAAGAGACGAAGCTTGTCGCAAACAAGGCTTCTCCTTGACCCCCAATTCTCTACCATTGTCCTTACTGCCCCTGCGGCCTCAACATCTGCTAACCCCTTGACAGCGCTTCCGATCGCTCTGAACTTCATCGCCTCTGGTCAGTGAGATAACGCGAGAAATCGCTCACCACCTAGGAATCAGAGCGGTAGCAGACAAAAGCATTATTTTGAGCACGAGAAAATCGAGGCATCTTTCCGGATGGTCACCACCACGAGGTGGCCTTCAGCGGCCATGCTGGGGCCATACGAGTAGTTGCGAAACTGGCGATAGGTTCGTATCCAACATTTACAGTTGTCTCTGCCCTCTCAAGCATTGCTCGAAGCACCCTTGTCACTGTGGGGTACTCATAAGGAGACTCCGAATGGGTTTACTTTGAGCATTGTCTTGTCAGGACAGAGATTGCGGCTCACTACGGGCGCCGATTTGAAGCGAGTGTGCCCTCCGCAATCCAACCTCTCCCTCGCCATCAGCGGAGGGGAGATCGCGGGGGCGTCGTGGAAATGAAGCTGAGATTGTACCGTAATTACTCGATCAAGTTAATGCTTGCGTGGGAAACGTGCTGCCGCTCCGGTTTAAAAACCTGCCCCCCCCCCCCAATGCCCCCTTCCAACCCCCATTACCCTACTGACCGACCTAGGTCTCGGATCTGGCATCCTATTCTCCTACCCGGAGCTTGCCACCATCGCCGGCGTGCAAGGCGTGATCACCTACGCCCTGATGTCCGCCCTGCCCTTGCTGATCTTCGCTGCGCTGGGGCCCATCATCCGCCGAAAGTGTCCTGAAGGTTTCGTCCTCACGGAGTGGACGCGCCAGCGATATGGTGTCATCACCGCTCTGTGGTTGAGTTTCCTGACTCTGGTGACCATGTTTTTGTACATGGTCTCCGAGCTTTCAGCAATTGGCCAGGTCGTCAGTACCTTGACAGGACTGGACTCGCTTCCTGTGCTCATTGTGGAATGTGTGGTCACCACTATCTACACCTGTGAGTTGTCTTGTTGAAGTACCAAGTTGTAGTGGGTTTTACGATCTGACACTGCCTCTTACAGCTCTCGGCGGCTTCAAAGTCTCTTTCATTACCGACAACATCCAAGGAGCTATGGTGCTGGGTCTCATCTTAATTGCAACTATCACCATTGGTGCGCGGACGGATATCAAGCCAGGCCTCGTTGAAAGCTCCGGTCTTCTCGAGCCAAGCCTCCTCGGCTGGCAACTCCTGTACATCTTCCCGATCGCCATCCTCACCAACGACTTTTTCCTCTCCAACTTCTGGCTGCGGACCTTCGCCTCCAAGACCGACAAGGACCTCTGGATCGGTGTCAGCATTGCAGTCGTCTGTGTGCTCATCATCCTGACGCTCGTTGGCATGACGGGCTGCATCGCAGCCTGGTCAGGCGCCTGGCCCGGTGACCCAGCGCAGGACGGTAGTGTGGCCTTCTTCCTCTTGCTGGAGCAGCTGCCCAGCTGGGTCATTGGAATCGTGCTCGTTATGGCGGTGTCGCTGTCCACCGCGTCCTTCGACTCGCTACAGTCCGCCATGGTCTCGTCCGCCGCCAATGACCTGTTCCGCAACAAGCTGAACATTTGGTTCATCCGCCTGGCCGTGGTCCTGCTCATGATCCCCACCATCGTCATCGCCCTGAGGGCTATCTCCATCCTGCAGATCTACCTGATCACGGACCTTCTCTCCGCTTCGACCATCCCCGTCCTTATCCTCGGCCTCAACGACAGGGTGTACTGGTGGCGCGGCTTCGAGGTCGTCGTCGGCGGCCTGGGTGGCATCCTCAGCGTGTTCATCTTCGGCACCATCTACTACGGCGACGCCCTGGCTGGCGCACAGCTCATCCTCTTGGAGCAGGGTCTGTATGGGAGCGACTGGGCAGCGTTCGGCGCGTTTGTGGCTGCTCCCGTGGGCGGATTGCTCTTTGGCTTTGCAGCTTGCGCGCTGAGGCTCACCTTCCAATTCTTCTGGGCCAAGAAGAATGGCACACGCTTTACGGGGTTCGATCGACCTGCTGTCATGGATGATGACTCTGCGACAGAGGTGGTGGTCCAACGCGAGGAGGTCCCGGTGTCCAAGCATGCTGGAAAGTTCTTTTGAACCCCCTGTACCTAGTTGTTGGGAGCGGGTTTGTAGTGTCTCGTGTGTGGGACTTGGGGCGTGAGTCTTTGGGAGAAAGGTTCATGAGTTGTGATGTGGCGGTCGGCGGAAGCAGTCTTGAGAGTACAGTCGCATTGTGGCGAGAGGTCATCTTCGTATGGATCTAGCGGTGCGGAATATTTTGGGAAGAGTCTCTATTCCCTGGATATTATATATACAATATCGCAGCGTCGATAACCAAAATATCTGAGTAGTGTCTTGTATGAGAAAGCTGTTTGAAGGCAGTCCATCCCTTCCGACAGCGATCTTGATCAGTGGACCTCCAGCGATGTGTTCATGTAGGCATCAGCCTCTGTAGTATTGTTGTACAACTATTTTCGAGCCCCAAGCGCCCTCCGCTCAGTGTCCAGCTTCTTTTGGGCCATATGCCTTTGAGCCTCGTTCATCTCTTCCACCTCTTCCATCATGTCCTCGAACGTCGTCTCCTTCAACGTGCCATAGATCTGCCAGTCAGTCTGCGTCATGTTCACAGGGTCCACCTGCCGCCACAACACAATGTACTCCAGCAGCTCCATATCCTTCTCCGAGACCTTCTGGCCCCGGGCGTTGAGCTCCGTCAGGCGCTGCTTGCTCTTGATGCCGACCACGGCCTGGCGGAACGACAGCTTGAAGCCGACGTCCGTCTCGGTCCACTTGTTGTCGACAACCTTGGGCCACCACAGTTTGTCCGTCTCAGCGATGCGCTCCCACGTGTAACTCTTGCCAGCCGGCCTGTTCTCAATGGCGCTGAGCAGCGACCGGTACAGCTTCGGCACGCAAATCTGCGCCAGCTGCGCCTTCTCCGCAGGGCCGCCCTTGGCCAGGCAGTACGACATTGACGCATGCAGGTTGCGCGCCGCGGCGATGATCTCGCTGTTGGTGGAGCGGAGGCGCGCCTTCTTGTTCCACTTGGGCTTGGTCGCCCACGAGTTCATGAGCCGCTGCAGCCGGTCCACGAAGCGCTGTTTCGTGATCTCCCAGTGATACCGCATGAATTCCTTGGGCGCGCGAGGTTGTTTGACGAGGGGAAGGGGCACAATTGTTCCTGGAGGGCAACAGAGGGCACGATATTAGCTTAGGCACTTTGGTAGCCAGCGTCGAGGCGCATATTCGCAAGTGAACCTACTGGGAGCCAGCATAGAAATCGATCCAGCGTCCTGGAGCTTGTCCGCCCCATGCATCTGTTTTATTATACTTGACGTCGCTTGCTGTTGACTCCGTTGTCTCCTTGCATTGCCCATGCTTTGCTTGTATCCTGAATCAGGCTTGAAGCTTCTGCTCCGGGTCTGCTCCATGTTCGCTTGGTGGATTCGCGGCCCGGACAGATACATCGGGAGGGCCACTGGTCGTGACGAAGAAAGCAGCCATGGCCGCGTGCGGAATGTAGCAGCCATGGTCGCAGCTAAGGATGTACAGAGGCACCCGGGGGCGGTTGGCAAGTCGAGATCCAAGTCGAGGCCGCGATGCGACGTGCTCTGGTGGAACGAGCCGGAGTACGGCTTCGTGAAGCTGTGGTGTGGTTGCGAACAATTGAACGACTAGTCCCGCTACACAGTCTCCGCTCTCCTTCCGCCCTGGTGGTCGACTACTTGGTGGGTGTGGTGCGCCTGATCGGCATATCACCGTCTTCTGCTGGTCATGATGCGGCCTGCCTTTCAATGGGCAAAATTTTGGGCAAAGCTTCATGCCTGCCGAGCCAGCCAGCCCGTCCGGTAAGCCGGCTCTGGGGTCCACTACGGACTACCCAGGCGTGCCAGGTAGCCTGCCGGTAGTTTGAACGCTCTGCAAGGGGCACCTGGGGGCACACGCGACCCTAGGTAGCTAGGTAGTCCGGTAGCAGAAGGCACACAGGGTCTCGAGGACGGTGAGGTCAACCTTGGCGTTCTTGGGAGTTTGGACCCGAGTTCTACCCCTGGGATTTATTAAAGAGCCACGAGTTTCATTCTACCTGTAGAGCACAGCAGAGATTCATGAATCGAGCCGCACATGACTTTTACCAAGGAATAGACTGTGACACCGTTCAAATACCAGCCTAATAGGCAATAATTATCAGGGGTTTGTCGTTAGGTGCGCTGGGAATGACTTCAGCGCTGGGGTCTGAAGCTCCGAGTCTCTGAGGTTCCCCTCTCTAAGCCGACTTCCTCAGCATCCTCTCCTTAACACACAATCATTCTTTCTTTGTTGAATTGCCTCCGTATTCTTCTCGACGCACCCGCCTGCACACATGCTGCCTATGAGAGTCCAACACTGAAGTATTCTTATCTTTGAGCCAACCTGAAAGAAGTCCTCTGCCCCACGGCCTGGAGGGGCGTCCCACCTCCCCGACGAGGGAGAGCCGGCCGATGTCAGCCTTAACCAGGGCGCGGACGTGGTCGACGAACAGACACGACCAGGAACAAGCGCAGGCAGCGGCAGCAAGACACGTCTCTTCTGCCACCACCGCCACGACCACGACCACCAGGTTCAACACCGAGTACCTCGCCGTCGCCAGAGATGGCCGCCTCGCAAAGGACACGAGCTACGTCAGGCGCGCCTCCGCCGACAGCATGTGCGACGCCGACGCGGACCCCGAGGCGGACCCCGTAGCCCACCCGAGCTTCCTCCAGCCGCGCGTGGCCGCCGTGCTGGGCGTCGAGGAGTGGTGGCACCCCGTGCTGTTCTCGCTGCGGCTGCTGTCGATCCTGCCGTCCATCTACCTGTGCTTCCCGGTCGCCATCCGCTTCCTGCTCAAGCTACACACCTTCGCGACGTCGGGGGACGTCCCCACGCAGCCGGGGCGGACGCCCGGCGAGGACAGGCTGCTACTGACGGAGACCATGCTTGCCATCGTCTGGTGTGGCTGCTCGGGGTACCTCTCCTTCTTCTTCACGGACCGCCTCATGTCCAGGTGGTAAGTCGCTGCAGCGTGCTCCCCGGCTACTTCATTCGCGTATACTAACCGTCTTCTGTCTGTCTGCTAGGCTCGTAAACTACACGCCATCCGCGACTGCCTTCCGTCTCGTCTCCGTCTCCGCCCTGAACGGCTACCTACAATCATGGACACTAGATCTAAGCGGTAGCTCGCAGGATCCCTTCCTGCTGCTCCCGACTTGGATAATCATCACGAGCGTGAGGACTCCCCTTCTGCCACGTTCCCGAGTGTTCAATTGCTTGTCATGCAATGTACTGACATGCTTGTATTACACAGACTCTCACCCTCGTATATCACATAACACAGCGCAAGATCAACATCCTCAAGGAAACATCGACCTCGATCAGCGTCTTCTCCATGGCGAGCTACATTAGCATGGTTGCCCTCTTGATACAGCAGCATTGGGACCGGGATTGGTTCGATTTGCCATTTGTTGCGTTGGGGTACCGGTTGTTGCGACAAGGAGGGGAGTTGGTGGTGAGCGTGGCCAACTTCGCGAATATCACGGTCGAACCTTGAGAGGAAAGGCGGTAGTAGCTTTGGTTTTTTTGTATTCTTCTCGGGTCTGGAATTTCTGTCAAATCTGCTTGAGATACCCCATCATTCAGTACAATTGAGTCACTAGGAAGCATCGGTTGGGAGTTCACGGTTTGGACACTGTTGTAGGTTCTGTGGGAGTATAAGTCTGTTCTCCAACTAGCGCAGGAGCTTGCTACGGTTGCGGCGATGTGTTCCCCCTTCGCACCTCGCTGGGGTTGTGTGGGTCAGTCAGGGGTAATATGCAGGCAACCCATTACGGCCGACAATCAAGAGCCTAAGAGCATCAGTATCACAAGGGAGCGTCATTGTAGGAATATCAACGATGTGCCATTTCTGCTACTAACGCCAATCATGCGGAAGTCATAACGAGTGAAGCGCATGGCGACAAAGATATCAACTCCGTGAATCGGTCCCAAAAAACTGGACTCCTCCGAGTATTCGATCGTCCGTGATCGGGTGGGTATCATGTCATGTGTTCCTCTCCGGTGCCCGAGATGTCTCCATATCTGGAGAAGCTGTAGCAAGAGGAGACCTGATGTGTTCCTTGGTTTAGGTATCGCCTCCGAATCAAGCCGTTCCCGCGCAGTAGTCCTGGTCGAGGAGACGTGACATGATGAGGGCCCTTAGAAACCGTGGACCTTGATGGTCTTGGGGTCGAGCTCAAGACCGTCCTTGCTGGTGAGGAATTCCTGGAAATCCTTGCGCTGATCGCCCTGGAGCTGAATCACCTCGCCCATCTCAGCATCGTTGACGATGGTGCCATTGCAGGCTGTAGTGTGGCAAAGTTAGTCACCAGGCTTGGTATGAGTCAATTTGTGGTGGCGTGGGTTGGCACTCACCAAACTTCTTCTTGACGACGGCGAGAATCTTCTTGCGGCTGAACTTTGCAGGGATGCCCTGAACAGTGGTCAAGGTCTTACGTCCATTTCGCTCTGTTGAACAAGCTCGTCAGCAATTGTCTCATAGACCGGGCCAAGGTGTCGCAATCGCGATCCTGGGCCGATAGTGCCATGGTTGCACGTGAGCACTATCGGCCATGTTTTTTTTTTCGCGGGAAGAAGGCGGGTCAAAGTTGCACGTACGCTGAATACGAATATGAATGTAGTCAGGAGCCTTGGACTGTTCTCCAGTGTCCTCGTCGGCTTCGGCGAAGGGGTCTGAGAGTATGGATGTTAGCCTTGATGTTTGCCTTGCTTCGCTTGATAGACGACTCAAACGCGGGGAAGTGGATGTTGCATCGAGGACTGTCGCCAGGCTGTGACTCGGCCACCGACATCGCTGAGAAAAGAAGAGCACTGTGATGTGCGCGACGCAGGGCGACATCTACAGCCCCATCACAGGCAGTGCATCGTAGATGAATGGCGGTCGAATTGTGCAAAGGCGGTGGGGAGTAGAGTCGGAGACTGACCGTAAGACTTGAGATTTTCGATTGACATAGGCAGCGACGGACGGCACAGATGGCGTCTCACTGAAATTGATGTGTTGAGGTGTCGGGGTGGAGCCGAGGTGCTGTAGATCTGGCGACGACTAGCAATCTGTTGCGTGGTTGAGGTGTATGGGTGGAGGTGTATGGGTGGTTGTTGTGAAAGGAAGATGATGAGGGCGGAGGACGGGAAGTGTTTAAGTAGCAGCAACGTAGCAAGGAACCTGGGAAAGAGTGAATCGAGGAGGGGTCCCGTCCCGTCCAGTCGCCTCTACGCCCCCCCGCCCCCCTGCTGCTGGGCACCCACCCACCACCGCCCACACACCAGACCGACCCTACCTCCTGCCACCAACGCACAGGCCTGGCTGGGCTGGGCTGGCTGGGCTGGCCGCTCGCTACCTGCTGGGGGTGCTAGACTCGGTACCTAGGTACCCACCTAGCGGTGCCGTGCAGCGCAGTCTCCGGTGTCGTGTGCATTGCCCCGCTTATTATTAGATCAGGGCCAGCCCGACTGGAAGAGCCTGAACTTTCCGAACCTTGATTTCATCACGGGCTCTGCCCAATCTTTAGTCATCGTCGTCCTCGCCGAAGGCTTCACACCTCAAAACAAACACCAGACTCAAGCTGGTGTTGCTCAGATTACTGCAGTACAGCTTGCGGGGACCCCTCAAAGCTTTGCAAGATTGCTCGAGAGTCCACACCCCACGACCCCGTGCAGATTATCCCACACCACATACGAGGCTATTCTAGAAGAGGCATCCCTTGGGAGACTATACCAGGAGGCTATAGGCTTTGCTGTGGGCAGGTTATCTTATGAGACTGACACCTCCAGAAGACGATTTGTCCAGACGCACAGATGCCTTTCGCACCTGATGATCTGAGCGACGCCAGCAACAAAGCAGCAGCTATCTCCTGTCAGATCCTCGAGGCGGGAGCCGGCAGTAGCCGCCCCGAATGGACGCCTTTGTTCAAGCACGAAATACGGTTCGAGCCGGCCATATTCGACCAGGTGATGCTAAATCTGATCCGCAACCCCAACATCAACTCGTCTTGGCTCTTTCGGGCAGACGTCCTGTTGGATCAGGTTGCTGGCTCAGAAGTCTCTGAGATCTCTTTCGACAATCAGCCGCTAGTACCGAGCTTCTCGGGACTTGAGGAACGGCGGCGCATAGTACGCCGCATGATCCCTCGGAACGAACTGCGAGATAAGCCTCTCGAACAGACATGTGTATTCTACCAGGGGATATCATCACAGGGATTACAAAGATCTTTGATCGTTTATCTTCCACACTTCAAGTCAGAGTCTGATATTCCCTTTTATCATCCGAGCGTGCGAGGCGTTGCCTTTCTGCACGACTGGAACCCCGAAGAGTCTCAAGGCACTATTTCCATTCACTACTGTTTCTTTGAGGGAAGCGCCAGAGACGAAAAACTCTCGAGGACAGCGCTCAGTCTGCTCAAGGTGACGTATAAGCATGGCGAGGGCCAAAAGAATGGGTACCAAAAACGTGTTCACCACGATATCTTGGTTCCACAAGCAGCCCTCCAAAACAGATATGCTACGTTGAAGAAGAAGTACGCTCGAACTCTCGTTGAAGGCTGGGAAGAGGTGACTGACCCTTCAAAACATGTCTTTGAGGATATCTGTATCGCAGCCTTCCTAATAGAGCTGTGGGAAGACATGTACAAGGACTCCGATTTCCCTGGTTGGGTTGATATTGGCTGTGGGAATGGTCTTCTTACGCACATCCTGAATAGCGAGAACTATCCCGGATGGGGCTTCGATGCTCGAGCAAGAAAGTCATGGCCGAAGTACAGCACGGAAGTCCGAGTACGATCTCCTGCCGAAAGCTTCGTAGAGCGACAGTCATTAGAGACCCGTGTCCTCCTGCCATCTGTCCTCAGTAGTATGCAGCCGGACGACGACGAGGCGCTCCACAATGAACTGATACATGACGGGGTCTTTCCCCCAAAGACCTTCATCATCTCAAACCACGCGGATGAGCTCACGCCGTGGACACCCATCCTGGCCAGACTCTCGGACTGTCCCTTCATTATGATCCCGTGTTGTAGCCACAACCTCACGGGTGCAAGGTTTCGCGCACCGCCGCCAAAGGACAAGGCAGAGTCCCCATCTATGTACAACTCTCTCTGCGCCTGGGTTTGCGAGATCGCAAAGGACTGCGGCTGGGAGGTTGAGAAGGAGATGCTGCGAATCCCGAGCACGAGGAACGCAGCGTTCGTTGGCCGACGGTTGGCCAACGATTCGGAGCTTGATGTGCAGGCGTTGTTGGACAAGTATGGAGGGACACAGGGGTACTACGACAACGTGATCAAGTTGCTCAAGACTTCAACTCGTGGTCACTAGGGGGCTGCGAAAACGAGGAGCGATTTCCCCGATACGAGACGACTAGAGCTCTGCAAATGGCAAGCATCACACTCAGATAAACAATACGGAGGTGTTGCGCTACATAGCGGCCTCCCAAAGTGCTTCAACCACGATCAGTCTTCATGAACACTAGCACAGGTCCTACCGCAAGCTGTTCATCAGTAGATGATTCCAAAACGGGGAGCTCAGAACACACGTTGCTTCGTCTCCTGGTCGGCTGGCCAACAATACCAAAGTCAGCGGTCACGAAGCCCTCCAACAGGTGACTCAGCAGCAAATGAAAGGTCACGAGTTGTCATGCGACCGGCCAAACGGACTCGATATCTTCAATTTTGAGGATATATCACCGAATTCAGTCTACGTCTGGCACAGGCAAATGGTCAACCAGCTTCATCTTGAGTCCCTGCTCTTTGAGCGCCTTTGTTGTCTGTTCATCTCTCAGCGCCAGGCTCTCCTTCTCGGTGATTATCACGAAGTCTTTCCTCAGCAGCCAGGTACCTTCCGGTACGTCATACTCCTCTGCCGTCTTCTTGTCCACCTTGTCGAGATCGATAGTCAAGCTCTTCTTGACGCCGAAGACCGCGTCGGATTTCTCATACGGGTCGCCGCGGAGGTAGAGCGCGCTGTTTGTCATCGAGTCAATAACAGGCAAGCCAAGTTGCACACGGGCCGAATGTATCATGGGGCGCACACGTACGTGATGAAGTGATCCCAGCCTTCCTTCTCGAACATGAAATGCACATGCGCCGGCCTATAGCAGTGCCGGCCCAGCTGCAGCAGAAGCTTGCCCACGGGCCCGTCGTGCGGGATGGGGTAGCTGACGGGCTTGATGCCCTTGAACCAGAAGCGGCCCTGCTCGTCACTCACGAGGATGCAACGCTCGCTCGGCTCGCCGCGGTCCGAATGCTGCACGTCGTAGTGCCCGCTGCTGTCGGTCTCCCAGATGTCGATCTTGACGCCGGCCACGGGGTTGCCGTCGGTGTCCTTGACGGTGCAGATCGCGAGCATGGGCTCGCCCTCGGGGTCGCTGGCCATGCGCGCGCCATTGGGCAGGGTCGGCGCATCGTGCGTGTGGAAGGGGCCTAGGAGGGAGCCCTCTGTGGCGTTTGGCGGCTTCGGGTGGTTGATGCTGTCGATCAGAAGGGACAGGCCGAGGATATCAGAGAGGAGGATGAATTCCTGCCAACACACGAGTGATCAGTCACCGCTATTCCGACGGGCGTGTGTACAAGGGAACCCGAAGACAGGGCAACTTACTTGCCGAACGTCACTGCAGATCTGCCCGGCCTTGGTCAGGAACAATAACGCCGTCATCCACTCATCCGTACTGAGTCGGGTCTCGCGCGCGAAGTCATGCAGGTGCGTAACGAGCCGATCCAACAGAAACTTGAGCCGTTCATTCTTGCCTTGGTTGTTGATCCTGATCGTGTTGGGTGTGATATTGTCAATGGTCAGGTCCAGAAGCTCTGGCGTATTCACGTTCTCTGCCATGGCTACGTTGTCGTGTTCTCACTTTCCGGTCTCAATTGATGTTCCGGGGATCAGATCCACAAACAATCCAAGGCCCGCAATGCTTTAAATGGAGTACGCCCGCTTAAGATCTTAACCAGCTATCGTTATGTAATGCTCTGTCATCGGCAGTCGTGAAGCTAATACAGCTCGGCTCGTGAGCGTCGTTCGAATTGGCCTTCCGCAAAAGGATGATCAACCACCTAGCGGCACATGGTCCTGAAAGAACGGACTGGTAGCCGTGGGTATGGACTCTGCCCTCATTTTGTAGCATCGTAGTGAAGGCCGCGAACGGGTTTACGGAATTACCTCTACCTCATTCGAAAGACCTCGAACCAATGTTCCTAGGATCCGATTTCCCCAAGGGTCCTCGCGAGGTGATCGGGCCATAATGCCCCCCCAGGTGGGGTTGGAGCTTCAGCGCGGGTCAACAACGTCACGCTGGTCTTCCGCCGCTCTGCTCCGCCCACTCGGCCCCTCCCTCCTGTCTCGGGACTTGATCACGGCCCCGGGAATTCCTTCATTAGTAATGGGGTGATTGTTCCTGGCGGATTCCGCGCTGGTTTCCCCAGTGAGGGTTATTGCCGAGGATAAACCCGCTCCAAAGCTCACTTTGGTATGTGAATCAACATGCATAGTTTCTTGAGAGTACGCAGAGAAGTGCCAAGAACTTTCCAGCCTACCTAGACTGGCTTTCATCTTAATAGGCATCGGACTTAGTACCTAGGAGGTTGTCTCACAATAGGGTATCTCACAGGAGGCTGTCTCATGGGCACGGGGTGCGATGCTACAGGAATTCATCTCAAAGAAACAATACACTGTTTACCTTCCACGTCGACGCCTGTAATTGCTGAGAGTTGTCCAAGGTTGACAGATACACCTAAGGGCCCACGCAAGCTTCCCGGTGGGCCCGGGCCTGGGTTCGGTGTTTTGGACACTGCGTCGGCCGAGCCTCAGATATGAATAACTGCAATCCAGCCGAGTTACCCGATCACTTCGATTATTTCATTACTCTGAACGACCTGTTCGTGTAGAAAAAACATACACGACATCAAAATGCAAAACTAAGCGGTCCTATTCCGGCTCGAAACGCCTGTTGACCAACGCGTAGGGCCACCCAAAATAAAGTGCGCCTTGCTCTCCCTCCCAAACTCCATTGCTCGTTCGTGATTCATATGTGCCATTCGAGCACGTAGTTACGACAGTGGCACATCGACGTCTTCTGTACGGTAAGTTGAGCTGTAGATCCGCACAATGTGCCTGCTCGCGTCCATCTTTGTGGCGTCTATATCCTCGCCTATTACACTTCATTTACGGGGCTTTTCATGTCATCCCCCTCCCCGGCGCTTGAATCAGCATTGTTAGTTCGAAGTGCCGTAGTGCTGTTCGGAAGCGACTCGGGAGGCGTCATGGATGATGTGGGACTGTGATTTGATTCTTCCAAAGCTGCCTGAGAGCTGCGATGAGCCGGCTCCTCCTCAACCACGAGCGGCGAAATTTTCTTTGAGGGATTGCTAATAGGCGGTCCATAGCCGCTCAGCCGCCTGACCAGGCCGCTTTCAGGCCGCTGAAGTGAAAGCGCATCCCACTCGCCGAAGTCACGCGAGCTCCAGCTGGCTCTATGAGGGCGAGCTCTGCGTGGGAGACTGTGGGTTGACATTCTCGAGCTGACGCTGTTAGTCCGGCTAAGTCGTCTGGCTCTGCTGAGACGGTTTGGATCCAAGTTCGGGCCTTCTTCCAGGGATGTGTCCAGAGCACCAACAATGATTTCGTCCTCGTCCTCGTCCTCGATCTTTGACATCCGCTTCACAGCAATCACGGAGAAGGAGGGCTGAGCCGGCTGCTTGTCCTTCTCCGTTTCCTCGAGCTTGTTCTGCCAGTCCCTTTGCTCTTTGGAGAGATGGATGTCAATTGCCTTGGTCTGCAGGTGCTCAAAGTACTGTACTCGGACTGATTCGAGTGTCTCGGGAGTGAATTCCTCCTTGTTGCGTGTGAGCGACATGTATGATGTTATCGCCCCGATCACCACCAAGATCATGAGTCCAACAACCAGCAGACCTTGTACGACAATTATGACGAGTCCAATAGCCGTAGCAACGATGCGGTTAGTTCTCATTGTGGGTAGAAAGGCGATTGAAAGGGCCGCTGTCAGGACTTTGCTGATCCCCAACATCCAAACAGCGAGCGCCATGTTCCGTTGGCCTTCAAAAGGGTCAAGCTTGGCAAAAACCAAGAATGCGAGGACCTCAAAGACTAATAGTCCATATACTTGTGCCTGTGGTGAGTCCACTGCGCCTCCGATGAAGAGTCCACGAAAGAGTTCGTACAGGAGGCTGCACCCAAAGAACCACCATCTCGTGCGCCGATAGCGAGCTGACAGCCACCCGAACCTCTTGATATAGACGTGGTCTTCATGCACAGAAACGCGGTCGACATTGTCATCGTTGTAGAGAACCTGAACAAATGGTATCGATCCGATCAGCCTCCCCGGGAACTCTGCTTCTTTCAGGGTGCTCAGCCGAATGAAGCAAATAAATGGTATAGCCCTCAGCCGGTTGTCGCGTACGACCAAAATACGGTCCAGTTGTACAGTGTATTGATCAAATCTGAGCCGCGAATGGCATGCGTAAGTTGCCAAGCCGCCGATTCCAAGCAGGAATACAAGGAGGGAAATGGCGGCGACCACCTTGACCCCAGCTGATCCTCCGATTGCAAACTGGTAGAATATCAACGTCACCATCGTGGCGAACGCCATAAATAGTACCCGCAGGCTGGCGAGGACCGTGTACTGTGCCCAGTGGTTTCGGAAATACAATAACTGATCATCTCTCATTCGCTTGGTTCTGGCAAGGAATTCCAGGAACACTTTCAAAAAGATCATGCCGAGAACCAGAAGTCCTAATAGGGCCGACAACCAGGTCAAGGCAGTTGTGAAGGCATCTGCAGCTGGAATATCCAACGCCGCTAGGGTGCCTTGGAAGCCCGTCCACGTTCCAGGCAGAGGAATCCCTGGACTCGCAGCGCTACCTGCCCAAGTGTAGTCGTACGGGTCACTTGCATTGTATGGCTGCCGGCGCAAGAGTTGGCTCGTTGTTGTGGTAAGTAGATTGGATCGGCCATAAATCTGCTGAGCTAAATTTCCCTCGTTGCTGTCAGGGAAGACCGATCCGGCATCTCCTCCTTGACCTGCATTGCCGCTTATCCCAGTGAACGATTGCATAGACTTGATCATCGAACGGCTGAAAATTTGTGCTGCTGACCACGCAAAGTTGCTCCACCACGCAATCAAGACACTTGGGAAGTTCAGAGATAGAGCACCAGAAAGGAAGATACTTTGGAAGGCCTCGAAGACAACCACAGCAGAGATCGAATGAGCGTAGTGAGTTCTCATGTGAGTGATACTGACGCCATACGCCGCGGTTGCAAAGGAAGCGGCAATGGCTACCGAAGTGAACAAGGCGAGGACTGGGCTGATGGCTTGAGGGTGGCCCATGGTAATGCCGTTCGTCATGCTTGCCTGGAAGCACCCGATCTGAGACCTAGTCGAGTTTGCGAATATTTGCAGGCGAACGGAGCCCTCAAAGTCTGGGATAGTGAAGGCGAGACTTGGAATGCCCCCCACCTGCGCTGGACCGACCGGGAAAACGGCCCAAGCCTCGACAGGTACGGAGGAGTTGAGTGGGCACAGACTGTGGATATTGACGAAGCAGGGGTCAAAAACCATCTGGTATCGGTTTTCGCCGTAGGCGTCCATTGAGAAGCGCATCACGAGGGATTCATTTTTGATCATGGAGGCGCCGTCCAGGTGAAACAAGACTGTTGAATTATCTTTATAGTACTGCCATACGTCACATTAGTCTGCCGGTTCTGGCGATTTTTGGGCCTTCAGGCACCCCGAGCTTGTTGATGCGCTTCTGAACAATTTTGGGTGATCCCTTGGGGGTCGCAGAAAAGACTTTAGTCAGGTCGGAGTACGGCTTACAGCAGCATCAAACTTGGTTATGTTGAAGAGACTCTGCCCTCCCAGGCAGTCACCAAAGTCGCCCGTGTATAGTGCGGGAGTCCTGTCGACTGCCAATCGCTGAGTGATACCGTCTATGCCAGTCCCGTAGATGTACTGCGTTTCTCTGGCCAAAGCAGCTGGTACAAGGTAGAGGAGTAACGATGGCGAAGCTATCAAGCCTCGAAGTATGTTTTGAATTGCCATCCTAAGAGTTGGGCTTGGACCGTGTGTCGACAGCAGCCCAGGCCGTCTGTCATGCTGGTCAAGGAAAGAAAAATTAAGGACGAGATGTCAGGGTGGATTGCAGTCGCGCTTGCGCCACTGGGAGATGTTTGGTTGGGACGAACAGCAGTTGCATTTTCATGGGTAGCAGGCCGTGTAGTTGATGCTAGAACCACTTTGTTTCCGTATTCAGGTCCCGTGAGGACTTATCTGTTTCAAATAGTAGGGGTAGAAAGGCGTGGTAGAAACGAGACCAATGCAAGGCGCACGGTTGGAGGCTACTCTGCTACCTGCAGGAGTAGCTGTCACAGATATCCAGAACCAGCCTATCAAGAAGTTAGATAACGGTAGATTTTGGAGGGTTGAGTTGCAGCTCCTGGCCTACCTTGACGGTCTTGGCAGGTGGCGCCAACGAGGTCGCACTGAGGGGCCAAAGGGCATGATTGTCTGTTTCTTTCTATAATCCCATGTACTCTGAGGCTATGGCACCCGAGATGCTTGTAGTCGGTCGAGAATGTCAAGATGGATTCATGCCTCGAGTCTGAACATTCCTAGCTAGGCAGCTGCTGGGGAAGCTTGAGCCGTCACTTACACGGCGGGAAGGAGCCGGTGTGGGTCCAATTGACCCCCTGCAAACAACCAACCATAGGGTAACCAGCTGTAGAATAGAATAACCTCTTGTGGGATAACCTCTTCTCGGATGACCTTTCTGCCACTATGTCTGGTTGCGCCGCCGTCAATTTCTTTGGTGAATGCCCAATACTTCTTTTTGGTTGCTGCAATGGGCGAGCACTGGAAGCGGTTGCACATTCCAAGGTACCGGCCGTAAGCACCCTGCAAGGACCCAAAGCTCCACGTACTCAAGTCTGCGTAGGTATAGGCCGGGGGAAGGCACAAGGAAGCAGCCCGTCAACATAATACTGATTGTCCTATGGTTACTCGAGGTGATCTTGTGGCTGTTGATTCCTTTCTGCAGGTTATCCAACGGGAAGATTTCCTATTTGAGGGGCTTCCACTGGAAGGGAGTGCTGGTCAAGTTAAGCAATCTCCTCGTGATATGTGCACAGCCCATGGTGCTGGAGTTGCCGCGGGTGTCCCTATTTTTGTGTAGACCTACGCAGGTAACAGGGACTCCCCAGCCGTCAAGGAAGACATACCTATCAAGCGAAGATCTTCACCGGGCAGCTTATAAGGCTTCTACGGATGTCGGCCTTGAATCCCAATCGGCTCGAATACGCATACAGAGCTGCGTTACACTTCAGCGGCCGCGCAACAGCTCTCAAGAACGCGCAATTGGGACTGACCAAGGCCTGTGGGGGTAGATTGCGTTTTCAGGGGAACATGCTAGGATTGAGTCTAGGCCTACTCATCAATCTTCGCTGGTATGTGTGCTCTTCTTTCGACTCGGTTCTGTGTGGCCAGTCTGACAATGTCGATTTGGCTTCTACAGCTTGTTCAGCATCCGAAACCCGCTCGAAGAGGTGTAAGAGGCTGACAAGTCTTCAGACCCGAGGGTGCACGTCGGGGCGATCCGAAGTATTCTCCCAGTCCGACTGCCGAGACAGGGTTCGAACCCATCTCCGTGTTCGATGGACCCGCTTCTTCCTCATAAGTCTCGAGGCGAGCTACGTTGGGCCTAGTTGATGTTACTCGATCAAGGTCGAGAGCTCTCTCAACGGGTCCCACAAAGGAAGAAACTGATGCCGTCCAGGGCTCAACCCTGGATGCCGTAGATTCCCATTTGAGACCAATCGCAGCGGATACTTCAAGCGTCACGACCCAATTCCATCCGTCTTATTCAACAGGCGGGGCCACGGATAAATCCAACATGCAGTTTGATCTCTGTGTCCCCTCTGATGGTCTACTTACCTGACTTAGGTAGACTTGGTTCCGCGAGGATACCACTTGGAGGGGCGGAGGTACAGTGGTTAGCAACTTTTCAAAAAAGGTGACTACAAAACCGGGACAAGCAAAATGAAGCCATTCTACCGGAGACAGTCCCTGTTGAGATATGCAGGTACCGGCATATTGGAAATCAAGGGCATGACCTGCAACACGGTCTCCTGGTCATATAACTTGTGTGGCGTCCGCGGGGACCAACACAAATCCCAAGGCTGATGCTCTCTGGGCGCTTATTATCCTGCTGACGTGAATGGGTGACCGTGACAGTCTCGGAACTGTCTTGTTTATATTGCTGTTATTTTCTTCCAAGTCCGAAGTTTGGACCTCGAAACAGCATTGTCCAGCTGTGGACAGAGAGATGAGCACGGGGTGTGGTTGATCTTCACGACGATCAGCCCCACCGACCTGCTGCAGCCGTCCACTGCCAACCGCACACAATCCTCAAGGCTGCCGGGACAGCAGGGCATCCATCCATATTGATTGGAGTGATAGCAGGGGTCAGGCCCATCCCACATTGTCTGTTGGCAGATACATGAGGGCCTTGGCTGATATTTCTTGATACTGCTCGCTCACAGGCCAAATGGCGGCCGGGGCCCCAATAACGATCAGACACAACCGAATTATGCTCTTCAGGAGGCCGCGTAGCTCCTTGCTCTTATCGATGAGCGGTTTTCATTCTCCCTTGGGATTGACACTGTGGACCACCAGATCTGGCCAGATGGCCTGGAGGCGTCAACAGCGAGTATGGCTGACAGGGGAAGGCAACAGTCCCGTCGCCTGAACGTCATCCGCGAGCCTTGTTGTGCGGAAGGCTCCCAACTTGCCGCCGTAGACTGACTCCGGGTAGCCTATCGCGCTTGGCGCCACCCCGCGGAAGTACCTTCTCGGCACGGCTACGGCATCGGTGTACATGATATCCTCGATCACGCAATTGGGGCTATGGAACAAAATTTCTAGACGCCATGAGCCTATGCTAAAAGAAATCAGGGTCAAAACAGTATCCGAGGGACTCCGGTTTTGTCCCGGACTGCAAGTAGTTCTTCGTGTGCGACATAATCACAAAACCGAGAAGTACAGCAGCCTCTTCACACTCACTGGTTTTCGAGTACACCCTCCCTCTTTCAAAGCCACTTCTTGTCTCGATTCAGGCGTCCCGGACCTTGTGCACACCGTTGCCAGCACAGTGATCAGTGACCAGGAAAGGAATACCCAGTCTATCTAGGTAAGGTACTCGAATTCTACCGCTATCCTCCACACGGGTTTCGTAAGTCATTCACGGGTGGTGACCCACGGCCTTACATAACAATCCCTGGGGATCCTCCGGAGAAGGGACAAGATACAAGACTCGAGTCGCCTCCTTCTTGTCCTCGACTTCTTAATAAACTTGGCTCCTCCCATCCTCCTCCCTCCTTGGCTTCTTTCTCTGTTCTCAACCTCCTGCCAGCAAATCTTCCCTCGTCTGCATTTTTTTCGCTGTCGTGCTTGCGGTTGACTTACTCCCGGCCGATAGCCGCATTGCGCCATACCCGAGCCGGACCCGCGACCCGTGTCCCGCGACCGATTTCAGATTTCCAATTCGAGATCTCATATTCAGAAACGATGGCGAACCCCCCTCATGGTGGTGTCCTCAAGGACTTGCTTGCCCGAGATGCTCCTCGCCACGATGAGCTCGCGGCTGAGGCTGAGTCTCTCACTGCTCTGGTCCTGACCGAGCGCCAGCTTTGCGATCTTGAGCTGATCCTCAACGGTGGCTTTTCTCCCCTCGAAGGTTAGTAAAAACGATTACTATTACTGTCTCCTTAATGTGGCCCCTGAATCTTTCAATGGCAATGCTGCTCAAGCGGCGACTAGGGGACACTCTGGCTTTGCCAGATATTGTGCCTCTATTTGGCGGGGATCCTCCATTGAGTTTCCAAGGCATTGTGCCCCGCCATTGCGCGGCCGGCTGAGGACCCAGATGCCAATTCAAGCCCTGGTCAATTTGCGGATACTCATCCGAGCATGGGACGTTGTGGTGACGTGACGGCTGACTCGTTACGCAATTGCAGGTTTCATGAACGAGAAGGACTACTATGGGTATGTCTTCAACTGAGTTTGCAACCCGCCCTCTAGAGACAGTTTGTGAGCTCAAAGAGCTCACAATCTGCGGAGCGGTTGAGGCTCTAGACGAGTGAAATTCTAATCAAATGCGCGCAACAGTGTCGTCAAGGAGAACCGTCTCACCAATGGCATTCTTTTCTCCATGCCTATCACTCTGGACGTGTCCAAGTCCGAGATCGATGAGCTTGGCCTTGCGCCGGGCAAGAAGATCACACTGCGAGACTTCCGGGATGACCGCAACCTGGCCATCTTGACCATTGAGGACATCTACAAGCCCGACAAGTGAGTCTTATTTCATAGCACTTAGCATTCTAGGTCTCCTAGTGTGTGAAGTCTTTACACGAATTGCACCACTGACAATGATATCGAAAGGGTTCTTGAGGCTACTGAGGTTTTCGGTGACAACGACCCAGCTCACCCGGCCGTCAAGTACCTGTTCAACACGGCTGGCGAATTTTACGTTGGTGGTAAACTCGAGGCCGTCAGCCGGTTGCAGCACTACGACTTCGTCGACCTGAGATGTGAGTGATTCCGCATTTCTTCTCCAGGCGAACCCAGTACTGACAATTTACCAGACACTCCTGCGGAGATCCGGTCGCACTTCGATAAGCTGGGCTGGAGCCGCGTGGTCGCTTTCCAGACGCGTAACCCCATGCACCGTGCTCACCGTGAGCTCACCGTGCGTGCGGCTCGCTCTCACCACGCGAACGTGCTGATCCACCCCGTTGTGGGACTCACTAAGCCTGGCGACATTGACCACTTCACCCGTGTGCGTGTCTACAAGGCCCTCCTCCCCAGATACCCCAACGGCATGGCCGTTCTGGGTCTGCTGCCTCTGGCCATGCGTATGGGTGGCCCCCGTGAGGCCATCTGGCACGCCATCATCCGAAAGAACCATGGTGCGACCCACTTCATTGTCGGTCGTGACCATGCCGGTCCCGGCAAGAACAGCAAGGGTGTCGACTTCTACGGCCCTTACGATGCGCAATACGCCGTCGAGAAGTACCGTGACGAGCTCGGCATCGAGGTCGTGCCTTTCCAGATGATGACCTACCTGCCCGACAGCGACGAGTACGCCCCTGTGGATACCATCCCCAAGGACGTCCGGACACTGAACATCTCTGGTACCGAGCTGCGTTCAAGACTGCGAAGTGGCCGTGAGATCCCAGAGTGGTTCTCCTACCCCGAGGTCGTCAAGGTTCTGCGCGAGTCCCACCCTCCCCGGGCTCAGCAGGGTTTCACCATCTTCCTGACGGGTTACATGAACTCGGGCAAGGACCAGATCGCCCGCGCCCTGCAGGTGACACTGAACCAGCAGGGTGGTCGTTCCGTGTCCATGCTCCTCGGCGAGACGGTCCGCTCGGAGCTGTCTTCGGAGCTGGGCTTCTCCAAGGAGGACCGCAACAAGAACATCGGCCGCATCGCCTTCGTGGCCTCGGAGCTGACCCGCTCGGGCGCCGCTGTCATCGCCGCGCCCATCGCTCCCTTCGAGGAGTCCCGCCTGCACGCCCGCGAGCTGGTCGAGAAGTACGGCGACTTCTACCTCGTGCACGTCGCCACCCCGCTTGAGTACTGCGAGAAGACCGACAAGCGCGGCATCTACAAGCGCGCCCGTGCTGGCGAGGTCAAGGGCTTCACTGGCGTGGACGACCCCTACGAGGCCCCCGCCAAGCCCGACCTGGTTGTTGACGCCGAGAAGCAGACCGTCCGGTCCATCGTTCACCAGATCGTGCTGATGCTGGAGAGCCAGGGCCTGCTGGACCGCTTCTAGATTTGGTCGTTCGTGTGGCGTTTAAAATCGAAAAAGAACCTGAGAGAATAGACGGGCGATGCCGTCCATCTGAGACGGCATCTGGTTTACTAGCGTTGGGATGGACTTGCTTGGGTTATATAGAGAGAGCAATAAATCTTGCTGTTCCATTAGATATCAGGTCTTCGAATAAAGCCATACTTGTTCTACACGGCCGGCTGCCCGAGTCTATGTGTGCCTACAGTCATCTAATGGAAACTCCATGTGGTTTTCCAGTAAGATCTTGCGAGATTAGAGGGAAGTGACACGCTCCGGCACTCTATTACATTGTATAGAGCTCGGTCACTAAGTTGGGATCAAATTATTGTCCTTAGCTATATTTCATCCAACACATTGTAGGCATCGTGTCCCTTGGGGGACATGGAAAAGGATATTCTACTGCAGCGAAGTTCAGCTGCGTAGCCAAGTTTCTGTTTTTTTTTAAAACATGCATATCGCTTACAGCGCCACGTTCAAAGTGATTCGATCCCACTCGCATCCCAATGCAGCACAACCGGTCCCCATCGCCGTCCCCCGCTCACAGAAGGAATTTCATGAAGTTCGCGCCTGGGGTGGGGGTCACGAAGGAAGCCGCAACGTCAGGGAAGTATCCGAGGGAACAGTGCTGCATTGCTTTAACAAGAGCAAGATCTGCTCAAAGCTGAGTCCGGAGATACACTAGGCATTTTCCCCCCTGAACGTGTGAAAAATTGTTGTGATGGCCTCAGATTCACCAGATCAGTGCCTGCCGGAACAATTTAGTGATCCAGATGTGGCAGGCTTCGGAGTGAGTAGCCCAAGCATTCTCTTTCTCGCCTGCTTTGGCTCTGTCTCCTCAAGCACGCCTTTCTCTCAGCGTCGTAATCTGTTCACTCTCTGGTGACTGAGTTCAGCTGACTTTACGACAGGTTCTCATTTCATTTGCCGTTTCGATCCTAGTGATGATAACAGCCATCATATACGGGTACTGGTCACGATCGCTTCGTCCTGACAGGTACAACGGGCTGGATAACTTCATACTAGACGCCTTCCGCTCGCCGAAGGGTTGGGACGAAGAATATACTCGCCGACGAGTCGATGCCCTCGAGAAATTTATACTCGGCCTCGGCGACCAGCAGCTTGTTACCGGTATTTCCCTGACTTTCGCTATCTATTTGATCCGTTTTGGAGTCGCAGGGCTGGACCAGAAGGTTTCCGGTTACTCGTATTGCATCGCCGTGCATCTAGCGCTGCTGTCGTGCGTCGTCCACCTTTCATCTCTCACGATCTTGCGGGACCACTTCGACGCCCACAAACACTTACGGAGTATCAGGATCTGCCTGATATTACCTGCCGTCGGGTTGCTCCTCCCTCAACTGGTCCTCGTTCAGTCAATCGACTCTGCAGTGACACTCACTTGTGGGTTGGATTCGCTCGTTAGCATCAGTGAATCTCAAACGGTTTCCCAACGAACCATAGCCGTATTGGTCATCATTTCTGGTGGTTATGCAAGGCGAGTCTTCGAGGTGTACTTCCCACTCTGCAGGAAGGCACCTGACGTTTGGTTGGCCAAAGAATGCTCAAAGTATATTGGGTGCCCCAGACAACGCGATATCGAGTTCTATATGGATCAGTCGTGCAAATATCGGATCAAAAGGGTCGCTCACCTCGCTATTGCCCCCGGTGGTGGTGTAAAAAACGTACCTTTTCTGTCTATTGCAGGCGTCGTGATGAGAGAGCTCAGGCTCTCATTTTTCGCAGAGATCGCCTGGTTGCTTTTCTACACAACGTACAGCCTGTGTGCGCTGGCCTGGTTCTTCATCTGGGGCGGTGATCCGACATTAGACCAGTCACCAGTCACATTTACACCGAATTTTGGTCAAATCCTACCGCTTGTGTTATTGATCGGTACTGGCTTAGCAATTGCAGAGACCTTTGCAGGTTAGTACATATCGCGACCTTCAAAGACTGGTTTCTAATTTTATCAGAGATAAAGAAAGAGAAACATAAGTCACGCGGGGATCTCACAGAGTCACCGGAGGGCCGGAGCCATGGAAGCGCTGATAATAGCAGCTCCGGTGCTGTGTTGAGTGAGCTGGTCTCGCCACAAGAGCACGGAGTGAGCCTTTTCAGTCTCCCTGATCTGGCACGGTCTCAAATGCAGGTATTGGGGATTCTACAATTATGGCCTTTTGATGTGCCGAAGCTCATTGCTCCTTCCAGTCTTCCGCCGTATTGCACCACTTGTGCCTCTTCCCAGTCCAAACTAGGAACTATATCGCGAAGAATCTCGACGAGTTCCGGATTTGCCAAGAACTTTATGCCCCAAACGCGATAATATGGACAATGGTTGCCTCAGAAATCCTCGTCCTTCATTTAGGTGCCGTTGTCCTCGCTGGCTTCATGAGTCCCGGTGTATACTATAGTGATGCACTAGACGGGGCTGCATGGTTTTGGTCGAACTTCTTTTTGGCTTACTTCTATCTCGGCTTCTTCATGTCATTTTTTGAGGGCTCCTTTTGGCTCTGGGGGAGACGCTTCAATTTGCCGGTTGACCTATGTTGAATTAAACCGCAAATCATGTGGCAGCACAGGAGACGTGAGCATTGCAATGCAGCTCAGCGAATTGACACAGAGAAACGGCCGAAAAGAAGTAGAAAATATTCAGTCATTGAGGATCTTATTTGCTTTGAGGGCCACTTTCCCACCCATTCCAATGCTAATCCTCTGGCAAGCCCAGTCTCGTACATCATCTATCACGTATGGTTCGGTTCGAATGGGTATCGCTTGGTCCAGCCGTTGTGCAGCTCGCAGCTTGGCATGGAGGGGTGGCCAGACCTCTGCAGCTGGTCCACGACGAGATTCTTAAGAGGTAAAATATCCGGCATGAGCAGGACTTGACACAGCATATTTGATGTGTTTAGACACAATTGGCTGCAATCATGACAGGCGTGTTTAGTGGGAGAAGCAGAGAGGTGCTGGTGGACAGGCTCATGACTTAGATCGTGACATGGAAGGCACCCTGCCGCATATTCATTCCGAGGACCAGGTGAATACCTGTGTTGATCTGGGTTCATCTGCCTCATATATCTGCAGCAAGGTTTGTCTGGAAGTATGCAGGTGGTAAAGTTTCCCTCGTGATGGATCTGGGGATCCGACCCAAGGCGTACACCGCTCTGGGACGAACGCCATCCCAGCGATCTTCCTGTAGCCTCTCTGCGTCACGAGTGTACCGGGAAAGCTTTTGCAGTAGCTGATAGATACTCGAGCAGTCGACTCTAGATATGTCTCGGGTTCATCAACCTAATCTTCGTGTCGGGCTTCCTAGTTCTTCAGGCAGTACGCTTTGGCAGGTCTCAGGGATACTGAACGTCAGCGTGCAACTATAAGCAGCATACGCTTCCAGTAGGATAACAGCCCATGGGATAAATCAACTATGGGAGAACCTATTGCGTCTTGTAGGATGGCAATGTGAACGCCGGTGTCCCTTTTGTGCTCTCGAGTTCCTACGTGGAGCTTTGAGACCCCTGCGAGCTGTGCACAGTAGTGGACATGGACAGTTCTAAATCGGGTGGGTGGAACAGCCGAGGAGAAGGCAGGTCGGGGCCCAAATGCACACACATCTGCATGATCTGCTGGTTGGCCAGTGCCGAGGGTGTCCAACGGCGCTTAGAGCAGCAGCGTAACGGGAACTTGGTGCCCAACTGCAGGATGAGGTGCAGCAATGGTACCCAAGACTTTGCGAGGACTGCAAGTGCGTGAGCGTTCTGCAGAGCGTCCTGTACTGCTGTGGTCGATATTGTCGCCGTTTGGCTGAGTTCTGGACTGTAGACGGCGAGCTGAATCAAACGGAGCCGGACAGCTGCACTAGGAAGAGGAGCTTTGACCGGCTGACGTCCCCAGCAGCCTGGTCAAAGGCCTGGCAGAGGGGTGGGAAAACGACAGATGATCCAGGGCGTCGGGACGGGTGGACGACTGGACGACTGGACGACATTGTCGGCTGGGGGATTGTTGGGCTGGGCTGCGCAAGTGGTGAGGGATGCAGCAGAGTGGGAATGAGCCATGTCTGACCGACAATTCGACTCTTGTTGTTGGACGATTCATCCTCGATGCAGTGACGACTGACATGCCCGCCCCACCCTGCCCTGGCTATCCAGACTATCCCGCCATCTTGCAGGGCCACCACCTGAAAACAACCCCTGCTCAGCGCATCCCCAGCATGTCCCAGGCATCCTTGGACCGCGAGCATCCACCCGACTGGCTGCGATCCCACCTCGTCTCCTCTTGTCCTGCCTTCCCTGCCACCAACAGGCACAACGCCGCAGCCCTGGAGCCAAGTGATCTTGACTTCCATGGTTGTCAGTCACTCACTCCGTCTGCCACTGCGTTCGCCAGCGGCCATCTGACTCCTCCCAGAAATCACCTCACCCTACCTTGCCTCACCTCAGCTCGAGTGACCCAGCTCAAATCTCCCGACCACGGCGAGGAAGCAGTTGGGAATTAAGTCGTGAAACGCCTGGTCTTCGTTTCCTGTTGACGAGGAGAATCCGGCCGCGCTACGTCAAGGTTCACAGCCGTCTCGTAACCCCCCTCCTCGATTACTACCACGATACTTTCGGCCTCGCAGTCAAACTGCACACAAGCCCAGCGCCTACACCCCGCCCAAAGCCCAAGCCTCGGAACAACCACCCCGCCGCAGCGACCGCAAGCCCATCACACCACCCCCGATGGGAAAGGGAGACTATGTCTTCTAGAGATCGCGACGTCGATGTCGACGACGTACCCAGGGAAAAGCGATCCTCGAGAACCAAGGGCGACAGGGAGAGAACCAGAGACAAAGACCGTGATAGAGAGTCCAGAAGGCACCACAAATCCCACAAATCCTCTAATCCTGTCATAGCCACAGGTTCCTACGTCTCTCAGTCCGGCTCCGCTCGGCGACACAAGCTTAGGGACGCTTCCTCCAAGAGCCGCATCGAAGAACCCCTCGACGAGAACTCCTCAATGACTGATCTTGTGCCCGAGTTGAACCGGAGCAGGGACAGAGTCCACATACCGTACCCGACCTTCAGCAAGGCCCACAGCAAGGAGTCTGTAGGCAGCAAAGATGACCTCTCTACCAGCTCCGCCGCCGCTCCGGGGACCGGCACAGATCCCTTGACTCCTGAGACTACGGATCTTGGCGCAGGCGAGGACATCAAGCGGTCAAAGTCGGCTGATTTCGGTTCTAAGAGGAAGCTGTCACGCAAGACCAGCCGCCCTCCGAGTCCACCAGACACCAATCTCTCCTCGGAAAAGAAGAGGACGACGGGCTCTGTCAGGCTGAAAGACACCGGGGAGGACAGGCCACGCTCAAGGACGTCTCACGTCTCGAGGTCGACATCCAAGACAGACGAGACATCCAAGGTCTCGAGGAAGTCCAAGTCGTCCAGCCAGGCCACCTTCGTCAAATCACCAGACTTTAAAGCTCCGTATGCCGAGACAGATACGGCGGGCAGCGAGCGTGGCCCACGATCTGCCGCTACGTCGGTTACGACAAAGAGGTCTGTCTCCGGCAATACGCTCAGGCCGCCCGGGTCCGATCCAATCGATGTCATCGACGACTCTCCGGAGTCCGCTCAGGAGTCCTCCTCCCCAAAGACCCCAACGAACACGACCCCTCAGTTCCCTCCGCCTCCCATGTTCCACGATGACAAGCACGGCATACCGTATCACATGCGCTTTGAACGCCCTCAACAAGCTCCCACACCGGCCACGGACGTGAGCAATGCACAGAACCCGCATCCTCCCCCACCACCTCCTCCACCCCCGTTGAATATTCAGGAGGCCCCTAGGGTCGACTATCTCATGCAAAACGGTGGCCTTGCGAACGTTGTGCCGAAGAACTTCCTGGCCGTTCTGCCTAGACAAAATGGGACACGGCCTTCCAATCCTCCGCTCCGTGGCGCGGAAACGCTCTTTGCGCCATTTTTCAACCTGCTGGACCAGTACCAGGATGTATTGACCAACCGCGGCTCCATAGCTGTGGCCACGGGTCATCGAACGGTGGCAAGGAGGCTGCTTGACCGATTGGAGGATGTTTTCAACAGGGATTTGCCAGATGAGGGATGCAGCTGCATAATGTGCGAGCGAGATGCGGAGAGGCATCGCGGTTTAGGTTGGGGAGAGGTTTTGGAGAGGGTCAGCGGCCGTGTAGAGATCCCATCCTGGCCGCCGTTTGACATAGGGACTTTGGGAGTCAAGGCACCTGAAGATACTCCCAGCGAGCCCCCACGGCCGTCTTCGCCTGTGAAAATCGACCCCGACATTGCGGAGGAGTTCAGGGAGCATTATCTCCGTCAATCCAAGAAGGTTAAGGCAGCCGTGGACCGATGGCTGACGAACTGTGCCGAGGCTCCTGCGCCTCCCCCTCAGGATGTTGACGACGAGACCCTCACGTTCGCGATCCTCACAGCCCTAGACCATGAGGATCGACCTTACTTCAATGCCCTCCTCACCGGGGCCCGAGAACTCCAGCCCGCCCTCCGAGCGCCAACGCCCTTGCGCAAACCCCGTGCGGATCTCGTGATCAAGTCTGGTCTGGCTTTGCAGCGGTTGTACAGGCTACCGCAGGCACCACGCGATGCTGAAACGGTGTGCTACCTTGTCAAGCACCCACAAATGCATGATTTACTCAGCACGATATGTGACATCAACCCACCCGAATGGGAGATCCTCATATCAGGTCGCTTCGACGGGTTTCTCTGGTCAGGCGCCGATGCCGACGATGATGACGCTGTCACACCTACAGCGGGCCCGTCGCGGGGCGCGACACCAAACTTTTTCCCACAGCGCGGCCCTCCTTCTCGTGGAGCAACCATGAGTCCGAATAATATTGCTCGATTCACACCGGCGTTGGGTATCGGCACGAGAAACACTACCCCTTTCTCCAGGGGCACCACCCCTGCGTCATTCGTATCTGGCGCAAGTTCTGCGTATCCAAATAGACAGGCCGTCTCTAACGACGAAGAGTCCGAAATTGCAGTCCTGGCCGAACTCGAGCGGGAAATCTACGTCGGCATGGAGGCCCTGGAAGACGCCTTCGAGACTCTGCACCAGCGTGCTGAGCTCGTCCGCACAGCCCTCCGGCAGCGTGGAGCAGGCCTCTCCATGAGCTTGCAGCAGCGCCGCGGCTATGGTCTCGCCTCGGACGCAAACGGCGGTATCCAAGTCCTTCCCCAGAGCGGTGGGTCCGTGCCTGGGATGGACCGGCCCCAGTGGGCGGACACAGAGAGCCTCGCCTCCGAGTCGACAGACGATTGGGGTATCGATGCGGACTGGGAGTTGCGGCCTGACGATTCCGCGAGTAACATTTCTAGTTCCCGACAGCGGAGGCCGAAGAGGCGCGACGAGAGGAGGAGTACCCCTGCACCAATCAGGGAGGAGGATGAGACGTAATAAGCAGTACGGCTGCGTACTTGTGAATAACAGTTTGAAGTCACCAGCAAGGTGGTTCTACAGATACAGAGATGGAACATATGCCCATATCTGAACAAGCGAGCGAGCGAGCGAGCGAGCGAGGGCATAGTCGCAAGCGATTTCTGGGGGAATACCATTCATGTATATTTTTTGCATTGCTTTCTTCTGCCTACTTTATTTAACGCAACGCATGGCATTCGAAGCTATCAGGGCATCGAGAGCCTGTCTTCGACCTTTTCCTTTGCACGGGGACGAACGAAGCATCTGAGCGCTTGGGTGCTCTTGAGGTTGGAAAAAAAGTTACGCTGTCCTTGCGACCTTGAGTCGGGGGGACGGGTATGTGAATGGCAAGGTATAATCCAGGTCCAGTACTGGAACGCACACACATATTGCATATCATTTGGAGTTTTGCTGTTCATGGACATGAGGCCGTTTGGTTCTTCTCTTCGTCTCAGGTTGCTTGTTCATTACTTGTGAAGGGGACAGTGATCTAAGTGGATAGGAAAACGGTGTCAAGTAAGTTGACGGGAAATTGAACCTCAATATTACATGCCCTAGTCTGCGCAGTGTTTCTCGAGCCAGCTCCTGTTCCAAGCCCCCCGTTCCGATGCGCGATCCAATACAGTTGCCCAGAATTCTGTCCACATTTGACAAGCCCCTGCCGAAGTGTCGCTTTACCGGCTTCCAAGCAAAGGGCACTGCAATTCCTTCTGCTTGGTCATAGAGGCGCAAGTCACCACGGAAGTGATGGTCCCCACGTCGCACTCCTATCACATAAGCGATCTCTTGAGCGCTCGTGCCAGATGAGCACTCGGGCAACCAGAACAGATCCAGGTCGTTATAACAATTCGCCGGGATATCTGCTCATTAGAAAGTGCCCAGATACACGAGTTTGCATTCTATGAACCAAAACTACCCATGGCGCGCGGAAGAAGCCCAAACAAAGTCACTTGCCCTCTAATATCGTCCTCTAAATGAAATACCAACACGGAATCCTCCGAAACGTCCCCTCGTAGATCCTCATCTCAATTGTCCGCCTCGTGCTTGGAATACAGTACTCTCCGACATTGTTTTCGACACTATCGCCCCCGTGGCAGCTCGTATTATGCATGTGGCTCTGACACACATACTGAAAGGTGCTCCCAAGGATGGGGTCGGAGAGATAGATACGACATCGTAGTCAAAATTCAAGTCGAGCTGCGGGTTGACGGTGCAGATGTCACAAGAGATACCGTCCCAGAGATGACGCCCGCAAATGCCGTATCCGTCGAGGTTGTTACAGAAGTAAGGAAGGTTGTGTCAGTCGTCAAGGTGGTTTCTGTCGATATGCAAGTGGTATTCACCGTGATGGACTCTATGCTGACAGAAGCAGACGTTGGATGAAGGAAAGAGGACACTGAGAAAGCATCAGCCTTATTCGTGCATTTATGAGTATGGCAGTGATGGGCGTCCATGTGTGGCAGCAGAGCAGCCAGAACAGACATCATGAAGTTGATGGCGAAAAGAGGGAAATGTTTCAAATACCTGAGGTTCCTGATCCTGCAGTCAATGTGGAGTTAACCAGAGGGAAGGGTGCCGTTGTCATACTTGTCGCCACAGGCCCAGCTGATAATATTGTCGTGCCAGCCGTGGATGCCGTTGCCCAAACAGAAGTACTGGAGTTGCTCAATGGAAACGGTGGCGAGACTGGGGTTGATGAGGTTGTGGCTGTCTCATTCAGGCCAGCCGACGAGGATGTCGCCGGCAAGCTTGTGGACACTGTAGCATTCGAAGATGTCAAAGCTGCGCCAGTAGGCTCGGCAGTCGAAGTTGAATTTGGGCCAGTGCCAGTCACGAGGGTTCCGGTGAATACGAAGGAGGAAGTACTGTTGGTGAGAGGAAATGGTGCTGAGCTTGTCCTCGCTGTGGACACGCTTGTTGTTAACGAGGTGGATGTGCTTGTCGTCAAGGTCACCGAGGTGTTCGTCTTCACAGAAACCGACAAGACTGTATGAACACTGGATCCTGTGATGGTTGTTGTCCTGTTCAGGAGTGCAGAGGAATTTGAGCTAGCAGTCATTGTAGCAGATGCGCTCGTGGCCGGGGTTTCGAACCCGGTGGTAGCGTTAGGTGTGAAGATTGACAGAGGGAATGTGCTAAGAGTTGATATCGAGGAGGACGAGTTGACAGGAATAAAACTAGTCGACGTAGCTGAGCCGTTTACGGTTCGATTGCCCATTGATGAGGAGACCGTGGATTGGGGCGAGGTTGTGATAGATGGGAAGCTAGTTTGAATCGTCACATTGGTGAGGTTCCCGGATGGAGATGGGCTAGGCGTCAATGTCGGCCCAGAAGGAACCGCTGCCGTGGAAGTGTTTCTTGAGAACGGGTTTCTTAATGTGAAGCTCGGCACCACGGAAGTATTCAACGCATCTGCACTCGTAAGTGTAGTTCCCGATTCTGTTGGTGAGCCGTTCCAAACCAGGCTTGTGGAAGTTGAAGTCGAGGTCGATGTGGTCACAGCAGCTGCGGTGGACGTGCTGGAGGCCAGTGGAGTGCTCACAGTCCACGGCCCTTTTGTATGCTTGCCCTTGTGTGAGTGCCAGTGTGAAGGCCAGTGGTGATGATCTCTGGATTTATGTGGGGATTTGGATGGTCTGTGGTAGCCATGTTCACTACTGCTGGACTCGGAGCTTCCATCTCCATATTCCGAATTGCTTGTAAAGACAGACGATACACTTTGTCCGTACTTGTGGGAGCGGGTATGATCAAATGACGACGAAGAGGATTCATCGTAGCCCTCAGACGAGGTAGAGGAGATGGAGGACCTGGCAGTTGAATAGTAATCGTCCTCTGAGCTCGAACTTGCATATGGTTGAGGATGGTGGTGCAATTCACGGTCAGGCCTCTTCTTCCAAGACTCATCACTGGAAGGTGAAGTGATGTGAGCTACAGGAGCCTCTGTCAACATGGAGTCGAGCGACCAGTCATCTGTTTTACACATTATTAGCGTAGTGTTTATTAGGGAACCAAGGGAGTAAACTCACTCTGCTCAGTGCTGTCGGCTGTGTTGGATGCTCGTGTTATCAGAGTATCCAGCGGAAACTTTTCCACGACAACGTCCTCCTCATGAGGCACTCCTCCAAATGGTAACGGGCCCAAATCCACCCAAGACGGCTGAGGCTGAGCAGACCTTGCTTCTAAGTCTCCTGCATCCTGGTCGGTGTGCACACCGATAGCGAATCCTAGAAGAGCAAGGATCGAAACAAGCTCAACAAACATTTCTGCTGTTCTCATGATGATGTGCTTCCTTTGTTATCCCGACAACAGCAAAGAGACGAAGATTGAGGTTAGAGACTCTAGTAAGTTATTGGACTCAGGGGTGGAGGTAGCTGGCAAGATGGGGGCGCTGTTTGACCGAGTACCCCAAGCATTGAATTGAGAAACGCCCAATTTCAGAGTAGAGATATCTCTTCCACGAAAATACATTCAGTAAGCACTTATAGACCCCTGTGGCAAGGGAGAAGTGAGGTACTTTCTAATAGGGAGGAACCACGTCCCTCTGATTCAGGAGGACTTTCTCTTCATTCAGATATCTAGCGAGAATGAGACGGAGGCACAGGTCGCACCTTTTCACAAAGGTCACTCGATGAGTAGGACAAACATGTCGAACTGCTACCATATCAATCCACTGAAACTCAAATTCTTGCCAACAAGGTTGAGATGACAGTTCTTGGAAGAGCCGGGAAGGCGAGCCACTTTGTCACCACGAGTGTGAGCCTCTGCGTAGAATAGGAATCATTCGTTGGTCTTTTCTGATGGCAGTCCCAAGGGAATGGTCGGGCTCGCCAATCTTGGAGACCACGGTAGCTCAAGATCAATGCCGAGAAGCAAATACGACGTCCTTGAAGCCATGCCGTGTCGTCTCACGCAAGACAAACCCGGAAGGGATGCCAGGCCTACAAGCGAAGGCAAGGTCGACGGCGTGTTCCTAGAGCATCCTCAATTTGTAGAACTCACTTCAAGAATTGTAGAACATCATGTTGACGTTCGTGATGCATCATACAGAATGCCATGGCGGACAAGACTCCTTGCTAGGATCCAGGTTGCGCGTCATTTCGTGGCAGATCTGACAATACTCGAACAATTGCGACGCGACAAAGCAATCCGTGGTGGAACTCGCGTACAGGGCTGTGAGACGCTGTTGCCGGTGGTGATTGATGTCACACAGTAGAAGCCAGATCATAGAGCACAAACAATGACCGGCTGTTGGACCTCTCTGCATCGTGCCGTACGAGAGGTTGGAATTCCCTTGTGCCGTCCGTTCCTGCAGAATCGACGTTGTACAGATCAGACGTTGCTTTGCGTTAGCACAACATTAGAAAGCGTGACAACAGATTACACAGCTCTGTTCTTATTACATATGCTAACACTGTCTTTGGGGTTGGCCCTCTCCAAGATGCTAGCTACTGTCGTACTGTCGTCAGCCTTGGGTGTTGATGTATTGCCAGGCCGGAATCATTCAGGAATGCAGAGTAAACAATGGGAGGTCGTTCAAATAGAGGTTGAGCACACCCCGAAGGGAGCAAGCGCCCCGTATTGTTTGCGTCGACTGTGCGGCCAGAAATTTTCGATTCCTGGACTAAGAAATTGCCGTGATATCGGTGAGGCAATACTGAGCATGGGGACTTCGGAAGATTCATTCTTCTTGAGCAGAACACAAGCTGGTCAATAGGTGAATTGCGAGAATAAGAATTATCTTGACGACCTCTCGTCACTTGCCGATCTTGGTACATTTGCTGAAAAAGATGACATGAGGTTCCAGATTTGGAATCTTAGGTGCTGTCCCACGCAGTATCCGGTCCGTTGAACCTGCCACATGCATTCCGTCTTGATCACGGTCCGTGACCATCAAATCCTCCAAAACTGAGACACAGCCAAGAATTTCGGGGGTTTCCGGTCCTCTGGTCTCTTACTCGGCCTCTCGAGCTGCCTCGCGCAGGCTCGGTGCCGTTGTGCGTGTCATGGATGTGCTCTTCGATTCGATGTCCGCTGCCCACAGGGCAGCCCCGACTGCATTGGTGAAAGAGAAGAAAATCCCGGCGAAGGGGACCATCTCAAGAAGAGTAGCAACAGTACCGAAGCTATATTTCACACGAAATCAGCACAGGATCTGCAAGATATCACGATTCCAACAAGATCATAACGTACGCAGTATACGGACCAACGTGCTCCTGAAGCCAGTCTGACTTTTGTCTTTTGTTCCAGCCTTTCAGCTGGAAGTACCGATCATGGACACCCTTTCCACGTGTTCGTCCTTGCAAGGTGATAAAAATGATAGTCCCCACAACAGGAATGAAGTTCAAGGGTAGATACATAACGTATCTGATCAGGGCACTAGGAGTGAACCGCTCAAAAGGGCTCCTGAGAATCTTGCCCAGCTTGGCAATAGGATCACTGCCAGATTTGATCTCTCGGCCACCCTTGACCAGGTCCGTGGAGTTTCTGGCTACAAGTGTTCCGTCGAAAGTGTCAAGGAGAGCCTCCTGGAGGACCCAGGTCTTTGAGATGGTCGACACAAGTGTGGAGCTCTCATTGAGAACAAGTAGGACGGTCGAGAAGACTGCAAGCGGCCCTTCCACGAAGACCAGCACCGCGAGCTGTGGCAGGTAGGTGAATGCAAACATGCCTGCCAGGACTCCAGCGCTGAGCGCGAGAGTAGGCCCAAGCTTGCTCAAGAACGGTCTCCATAGTGCCCGATGACTGATGAAGTAGGCGATACCCTATGCGTACGTTAGAGATGATCCTTTTGGGACGGACATGTTATACAATGTTCTACCTTGATGGGATAACTAGAGCAGACACAAGTTAACTCGGCGTCATAACAGTCAGAGGTTAGAAAGAGTAGCCACATACATGTATGAGCCACTTCGCGCGGCATCATTAACAAGAGTTTTGGCCTTGTCAAAGTCTTCCTTTCTGCGTTATCATATCAGATCAGTCAGACTTGAAGAGCGCAAGATCGACGTCTTACCCGACCTCGCCGGCCTTAGCGTGGATGGAATCGACGATGCCACGGCGTTGAGACATGACGAGTATGTAAAAGCTCAGTGTTCTGGTGTGTGTACGAAGGGATGCCGTGGTTCAAGCAAGCTGCAGTTCACTGCTGATGTTTTGGGAGGGGGATGCAGATGGAGGTGCGTTGTTGACATCCAGAAGTCAAGCGATGGGCCTTAAGCCGCTGGCATTCTTGTGACGGAATCGCAGTTGGGCATACTCGTCATTGGTTCACTGGTCTGTGGCGTCCCTGAAATGGGAGTTGAATATCATACTTGTGCTTCACGATGACGTATAAGTCGAAGCAATTGCTCCGGGCGGCCAGGGTCCAACCCTAGAGACCGTAGCCTACCCTCCCCCAGCCTACTCTCCCCTCAATGGCAGCAAGCAACCTGTCAGCCTGTCAACGCAGGAGCAGCGCAGCTCCAAGGCCTACCAGGATCCCAAATGTTTTTGGTGTGAGTCGATCAGCACACCTTTCCAATGGGATAAGCTCCTGCAGAATAAGCTACAGCGGGATAAGCTCATTCAAGGTTATCCCCACGGGGTAACCTGGATTATCTGCAGGGCTAGTGCTTTTCGATGTACTCTCGACCACTGCACAGGATTTTGGGATCTCTGCTGCGAACACCGACGACTTCAAAATCCAGGACCTGGCTTCTGACCCTGACACTCCATAGACACGACTTACACTGCAGCAGAGTCCCTTCTTCGATGAGTACTGTCTCAAAAGGCAAGACATGGGCGTCAGACTCCACATGGGTTTGTCGGAATTGATGCAGACAGTCGCACCTCAATCATCCAGTCAATCAGCCTTTGGTTTGATATGTCCTTCTGTCGACAGCACACACGATGGACCTTTGGCCTAGGAAGTTGAATTTAGCCAACAGTCTCGTCAAGGCAAAGGATCTCTGCTTTGAAAGTCAAGAATCGTCAAAAACACCCAACACATGAGAGACGGCTTCAAGTTCCCACTCCAGATGGACACAGGCAAATTTTTTTTTTATTCACGCAGTCACGAGACCCAATTGAAACATCCTCATCTCCTGCCCAGAGATTGAAACGGACTTGGCGTAGAAAAGCAGCCTTGGGTGTCTTTTCTTTTCCCCGGACTAGACCAATTCGTATGGTGCTAGCTCGGTCATGAGCGGCCGAATCAAACGGCGATCTAAAGTCGGGCATTGTTGTTCTCTTTTTTGCAGCCATATTGCAGGGAGCAGACTGCCGTTTGGGGACGTCCGGCAGATAGATCCCCAATCATTTCCATGGATCGCCTTCAGCTGAGTTTGAAAGCAGCGTCTCAACAACAGGGCAATTTTGCAGAACAAGTACCACCGTCCTCTCGTGTAGTATCACTACCACCTTATATCACACACACAGGTTTCAGCCATGAAAACGTGGGGTTGCTTAGCCTTTCCTCTCCCGGGCTGTGGTGGACCAGTAGCAGAGCCTGAACAAACCCAATTCGCTTCCGGGCCACATCCTTCGATCAACATCAGACAGTGTCCGATTATCACGCCTTAAGACGACACCAATGGGCACAGTAGCTCACCTGACAGTCAGGCTCGTATTTCAACGTCATGGAGCGCTCCTTTGTCATGGGATGCAGTGGCCTGTCGATTTCGCTGGGTTCCCCACGATGACGCAGAAATATGACCCACTTGTCGGCCGAGTGCAGCAAAAGATGGTCGGTGACGGTCTCCTCACCACTTGGCGAGACCACTTGGCAGTAAACACTTCGGCAACTTTGTTCCATCCTCGAAATGCTTCATTGCCCATGGGTATTGAGGCCGCCGCTCGGACACGCTGAAGACTACTTGGCTACTAACCTGATACTCTCCGAGCATGTTCAGGAGTGAAAGGCACTGGCTGGGTGGCAACTGATCGGGCCACGGGCGAACTCACGGTTCCCCTGGATACGACCTGCCCGTATATGCAATATATAGCGCTAATGACGCGTAGGGCGCGTTGCCCTATCAGATGCCGATGCAATTACAATTCTGCACGGGGCCGTCGCATCATCATGCCGCCGACCCTAGCTAGTGTTAGGTGCCGTCTTAGGCGTTCCCCTGGGGTCCATCGAGGAGTTATAAATATTCAGTGAGCGCAGCTGGGGCGTACATCTTCTGCATGCTTTTCCTTTGAAATTCTTTGCGTCTCTTCAGTTATTAATTTCGACCGCTAAATATCGTCACTTTCGTTACAGTACTCTCCATAGTCTGATCGCTTCAAAACACAGTCAAAATGCAGCTGACTCACTTCCTTGTTGCCTCTCTGGCTGGTGTCGTCGCCGCGGTAAGTCATGTTTTCTTTACCTTCTGGAATAACTTGGACGTCGAGCCCTGTTCCTCGGATGGGAACTAAGTGAAGGAGCAAGTGAGGCTCAATGGATCTGGGTGATGCCAAAGTGAAGGAGGAGAGCCAAAAAATGGGAAGACAACGGAGAGAAAAGGGGACCATCTCGCACGGGCTTCCACCTTAGTATGTCCAGCCAATACTGACAACTCTACAGCAAGCCGAAGCAGCATCTAGCGCAGGTTAGTCTCGCCCTGTCTTGTCTTGTCCCATTCTCAGCACGGCTCTGTTTTCCTGCTGTACGCAGGCTAACAACGACAATAGCATCCTATGCTGCGGCACAGGCCAGCATCCAATCTGCCCTGTACTCCTTGCAGACTGCCGTGACAGAAACCGGCGCCGAGCGAAATTCTATCTTCGCTTCCCTGCAGTCTTCCGCCGTCGCTGCTCAGGCCTCCTTGGCGAGCCAGTTCAACTCGAACCTAGGCATCACCCAAACCAGTGCCTCCGCTACTGAGACTGGCGCACCCTCTGGCTCCGCCTCGGGATCTGCCACGGGCTCTGGGTCTGCCACGGGCTCTGGTGCCGCCTCCGGCTCTGGATCGGCTTCCGGATCGGCTTCCGCTTCCGAGTCGACCATCACCTCTGGGTCGACCTCCACCTCCACGTCTGTCAGCACCGACGCATCGGGGTCTTCGTCGACCTCTCGCAGCACTCGCACCAGCAGCAGCACCAGCACCAGCACTGAGAGCGGCAGCAGCTCGAGCAGCTCTGCCGCCTCCGCTGCGGGCACCGTCGCTCTGCCTGGGCTCGGAGCCCTGGCTGCTCTGCTCGTTGCTCTCTTCTAAGGATCCAAAAGCAATGGGGACAACGGCTGAAGGTTACTTTGGATGGGCACAAATGTTTGGATAATAATATGTAATGTGGAAGATGTAATTGTATTTACACGTGGTTCGATCAAATCTGTAAAACACGATGCAAAATCCTTCCGCAGTACGTAGATAAAAGCTTTAGATACCTCGGCATCATACCTGGAAATATAAGCCAACCTCGTGCAAAAAGGACGGGTCTTCGGAAGAATTTCGAGAGATACCTCTGCCTCCTAACTATGTGCAGAATGCTTTCCTGTGCCTGTGAATTCTTGCTGCGTGTAGTCCACATCGGAAGGTTTCATAGCATCGACCTCCTGGCGCAGGATTGATGATTTTAACAATCCCAGATACAATAACGACACTTAGCTTGACATCACATACGGATGCTGACAAGGACATATTTTAGCGATATCGGCCGTCGTAAGCGACATATATGAAAAGCCGATGGGAGAAAGGGGACGGGAGTGTTCCGCGAATCTCTTGTCGAGGCTTTTCACAACGAGGGTCATTGGAAGCGCAATTTTGAGTCCTGAAAAACCCACGTTTTTCACAGGTAAATCTAGACGGTCAATATGGGCCTCTGTTCAAGAAGAGGCTTGCATCGCGAATTGATGGGTCGGACGATTACCGATATGACCTCTCGTGGGTCACGGAGCGGGGCGAGCCGCAGACCCTCCTCCGCTCCCCACATGAAGCTGGGGATCTCATTACTCAAGCATCAGTAACGAGGGCGTGATCGTATAGTGGCTCGCTACTCGCTTGTCTGACGTAAACATTGTCAAATTTGACAGAAAAGTTCCTCTTCTTCGTTGCAGGCATTGTAGATTGCGAAACGATGTGTAGAGATCTACAAAGTCACCTTCTAGTGTTGTTTTTATGGTTTTTCAATTGTCATGGAACTCTGAGACACATAGTTATTGTGATATTTCGGAAGCTGATATGCTGGAAAGTGTACTGTCCGAGGTCGTGCTGTTCGGGTTGAGAATTAAACGGACCGAGTCTTCATATCTAATTGCAAGCACATTATCAATTCTGTCTGCTGCGTTGACGCCCGAGTATCACGGAGCACCAACGCAATGCTGATACTTTCTCACACGGGCGGAAGTATATCATGACAAATATTGACCTTCAAGTACTGAAGCACTCTTTTAATTTGAGAATTAAGCGACTTTGTGTGGACAATTCCGCGCAGTTGTATCTGATTGAAGATACGGGTATTCAAAGCTAGAAACTACTATATCAACATTGACGCACCTCAATAAGCTTCATTGACTTCCACCTTGCTCAATGCCCTCCGCTTGTTTAGTACATCCCTATCAAACAGCAGTTCCGCCCTCCCATTTTCGTTGATCCTTACACTTACGGGCTCTTCGAAAGGGGCTACAGTCTCGACTCCCACCGTAGTATTGGCGGCGGCGGCCACCCCAGGAGGCTGCGAGTGAAGTCCCAACAACAAAAGCTCAGCAAGGGTGTCCCACGATTTGCCGACGTAGCCAGTAATGACGGTGTGCAGAAGATGCGTAACCGCTATCAGAGCATATAAGCCCACGACGATGAGAGACAGCAGGACCGGAACGCTAGAGCTGTCGTAGCCGTAGCCCTGGCGATAGGTTTTGAACTCATAGTGATAAAGCGTTCCAGGATCAGTCCAATTAGCAGCGGCGTAGAAGATGACATCGTTATGCTTGGACAGGATGTCTCGGTTCGATTGGAAGTAGGCCGAGGCTGCGTCGTACTGTGTCTGGGACAGCGAGACCGCGTCGGCCTCTTCGCCTTTGAACATGGGATCGGTGTGGGCTTCCTTCCAGCCAAAAGGCCCGTATGTGATGTCTGGCGGCATTGGGGCAATGCCCGCGAGGGCCAGGGCAAAGACCTTGGCCAGCGGCATTTTGCTGAGGTCTGGCTGATATTCAACGTAGACGTCTATAACCTTGATTGCCCAATCCGAGGAAATCTTGATGAGCTGTGTCTCTAAGTTCTGGCTGCTCTTGGAACCAAGTTCGGAGTTGACAACCCACTCTGAAACCACATCCCTGGTCGCATTCAGAACCGTGTTTGCCCATATGGCGTCAATGACGCAAGCCTGGGCCTTTGCGACAGCGTTCTCATGATCTTCCTCGCCATTCTCTAGCAGACTTCCCTGGACCATCAATATGGAGTGGTTTGTTGTTTGTTCGGGCGCATCGTTCCACACTATGATCGTAGTGTCCGTTGTGGAGTTGTTGGGCGTGCCGGAATTGATAATGTCAATGAAATCTGCGAATGTGAGGTTGGTGACTTCTGGACTGATATCCCCGAAGACTATGTAGGTGCTGTTGGGATCCTGTGTGTCGTTGAGCCATTGTGTCCCGCAGTTGCCTTGAACATAAGGTTGGAATGTGGTTGTCTTCGCAATATTTTCTAGCGTCGATTCTATCCGCAACCCGTTGAAGAAGTAGAAGCCTGGAAATCTAAGAGCCTCTGACATGAGCGTAGCTGGAAGAGTCCCGATTCCAATGGTGGGGGCTGGGTTGGGAAAGAATGGAAGGAATCCAGGATCCTTTTCAAGGGATGGTATTGTTCGAGTCAGGCCATATTGATCAGTGAACTGAATGTCGCTGTTTTCGTTCCGGACGATTTGAAACAGGTCATCTCGGAAAGCAATTTCATTTCTATTGAGACGTTAGAAATGATCGTTGTATCCACCTTGCTTGGTCAAAGTATGTCTGCACTCACGTGAGATTCACTCCTTTCAGACCAACACTACTTGGAGATATAGTTTCCTGCTCGTCAAGCAAGATGAGATAATGGCCTGTTGCGTAGTCTATTGGCCGCGGGATCAGAAGAACAGCGATGGACGGGCCGACCAGCGAGGCTAAGACTACCAAGGCCGACATAACGATCCCAAGGACAAGCCTTTGTCTGACACGAGCATGCTTGGAAGTAAGTCCCCCCCAGAACTCCAAAGACCACAGATACGAGATGTCGGTAACGCTGTACGGGCCCAGAAAGCTCCCCAGAGGCAGTCCGCGGTCCCCGAGCAGTTGATGACGAACAATGCTCATCAAGATTGTCCCCAGTGAGGTCTGCATCATAATTTCCAAGAATTTGGCGGCGAACTGAAGGGCTGTGAGTACCGTTGTGGATGGGTCACCCCAGTACCACGAGCGGATGTTCAAAACCATGAATGCTACCACTACCGTTAAAGGAATCAAGTGAATGACTGATTGGATCAAAGCCACTCCGCGGTCGTGATACAGAGCGATTTTGGGTTCCTCGCGCGGGCGACGCCATTGCCCGAGAACATGCAGGCGGAACAGTCGAATCGAAATTTGGATATAATAGATAATGACAAATAGAAGCCGCTTGCCAAAGAACGACGCACCGCCGTTGATGAGTACCGGCTTCATTTTGAGGTGCCCGCAGGCTCACTGGTTTATTGTGTCTACTGTTGAAAATGGCGAAACGGTCTCGCTGGCCAATTTTGTTGACGAGAGCGCCGTAATATTGGGCAACAAGGCTATATATCATTCACACTGGGATGGCCGTGACCTTGAATCAGGCAATCCCAGGCTGTGCAGCATCGGCGGCTCGTGGCAACCTTACACCCTCGCCAAGGCGCAGCTAGGGGCTGTTTCTGACCACCTTGGTGGAGATGGCGAATAGTACTCTCTGGAATTTGGTTGATAAAGACGTAACGGATGGAAATCTCGAAGTAAATAGGATCTGGAGTTGTAAGCTGAGAATCCTTCGGAACCCTCCGATATTTCCTGGTCCACGTGCAGGCAGCGAGTTTGTGGAAGCCTGGATCTATCACTTATAATACAGATACAACTATTGCCAGCAAAAATACTTGCGTGAGCATATATTTGCCTTCAACAGAAGATTATCATAAATGACCGTTGTATGAAAACATAGAAGCTGATAAGCAACAAAAATCAGGTATATAAAGTTCATAACATCCAAGTGATTGTTCTGCGAAACGTAAGAGGTTCTACAACATGTTCGTCTCCTGTAAATGGCCAATTTTTCATTATATATAGGAGAGAACATCGAAGCTTTGGTACTGGAAGGTTCATTGCAGGTATTAATCCTGATCAAGCAATGATTCTGTAGATGTGAAAGGAGTGGAGAAAAGAACAAGGGATATGGCGAGTGTGCTTTGGATCATTCTCTGGTCTCATCAGACAGATGGTAAAGCACTGCCCGAAGTATTTCCATTTGGAAAGTCTGGGTGAACCGATACCAATCTGAAAGGGACAATGATAGTAAGCATTTGCATATTTTCGGCTAGAGTTCGAGATGTAGGCGGCTGATTCACCAAAGTCAAGCTCCCCAGTACTCTGTAGTGACTCGTGACTCTGGGTGTGTTGCCATCCTGCTGCGTTGTTGTGCCCTGCCAACATATGGCTTGTCAGTATCCTCTACAAAGTGAAGTGAAACTCACGGTGCATAACAATCACACAGAAAAGTGACCAAATAGGAGCAGGTCGCAAGAGTGACAGTTTGGGTGAGGTCACTTGTGGTTTCGGGTTAGACCCTGACATACACTCGGAAGATAGCTCGCTCCGGCGTCACTAACAGGTGGCCTGTGCGAGCTGGCTGGCTGGCTTGCTTGCTTGGCCGCTCCGTCTATCTGGCTTCGCTGTCCCATGCCGCCGCCCAAAGACACGACGCAATCCCCATCTTCACCTTCCACGCCGTAACTGCTAGCCCAATTGCCCAGCATGAACTACGGCAAAAAGGACGAAGATGCCGACACCGGTCTGGTCAAGGTCGACCGGACCCAGGTCTTCCAGGAAGGTCAGGCTGCTTGCTCCCAACCAGCTCGCGCCCCTTACCAGAGCTCACATGCTAATGTGCCAGTACAGCGCGATTGTTCAACAGCTCGCCCATACAGCCACGAAGATGTCGAATCCTCCTGACCAAGATTGCCCTCCTCCTCTACACCGGCGAGAAGTTCCCCACCAACGAAGCCACCACACTCTTCTTCGGCATCTCGAAGCTCTTCCAGAACAAAGATGCCAGCTTGCGACAGATGGTGCACCTTGTCATCAAGGAGCTGGCCCACTCCGCCGAGGACATCATCATGGTCACGAGCACTATTATGAAGGACACTGGTGGCAGCACAGATATAATCTTCCGCCCAAACGCGATCCGCGCACTGTGCCGCATTATTGATGTATGGCCATGGTTTTGCGCCTGCTCGCTGGACTGCCCCTTGCTGACTGACCTCTTGCTAGGCGACCACTGTCCAATCCATTGAGCGTGTTATGAAGACTGCGATCGTCGACAAGAATCCCTCCGTGTCCTCCGCCGCCCTGGTGTCGTCGTACCATCTGCTCCCCATTGCGAAAGATGTCGTCCGCAGGTGGCAGAGCGAGACCCAAGAAGCTGCGGCTAGCACCAAGTCCTCAGGCGGTTTCTCCCTCGGTTTCTCGTCCTCTTCCGGCCAATTGCCAGTAAACAACTCCACCATGACACAATACCACGCTATTGGTTTGCTGTACCAGATGCGCATGCACGACAGGATGGCTCTGGTCAAGATGGTTCAGCAGTTCGGAGCTGCTGGTGCGGTCAAGAGCCCTGCTGCCATCGTTATGCTTGTTCGCCTGGCAGCGCAACTCGCCGAGGAGGATGCCGGTCTCAGGAAGCCAATGATGCAGCTCCTGGATGGCTGGCTGCGGCATAAGAGCGAGATGGTCAACTTCGAGGCGGCAAAGGCAATTTGTGACCTGCGGGACGTGACCGACGCCGAGGTCGCGCAGGCCGTCCATGTTCTGCAGCTGTTCCTCACATCTCCCAGAGCCGTAACCAAGTTCGCCGCCCTCAGGATCCTCCACAACTTCGCTTCATTCAAGCCCGAGGCCGTCCATGTCTGCAACCCGGACATTGAGCTCCTCATTTCCAACAGCAACCGCTCTATTGCTACATTTGCGATCACGACCCTGCTCAAGACGGGCAATGAAGCTAGCGTGGACCGCTTGATGAAGCAAATCTCGGGTTTCATGTCCGAGATCACGGACGAGTTCAAGATTACCATCGTCGAAGCCATCCGGACTCTGTGCCTGAAATTCCCCAGCAAGCAAGCTGGTATGCTGCAGTTCCTGAGTGGCATTCTTCGGGACGAGGGTGGCTACGAATTCAAGCGCGCTGTTGTCGAGAGCATGTTCGACTTGATCAAATTTGTTCCCGACTCGAAAGAGGATGCTCTTGCACACCTGTGCGAATTCATTGAGGATTGTGAATTCACAAAGCTTGCCGTACGGATATTGCACCTCTTGGGTGTGGAGGGCCCAAAGACGTCACAGCCAACGAAGTACATCCGGTATATCTACAACCGTGTCGTTCTGGAGAATGCAATCGTACGCGCATCCGCAGTCACTGCTTTGGCCAAGTTCGGAGTTGGACAGAAAGATCCCGAAGTGAAGAGGAGTGTACAGGTTCTGCTTACTCGCTGCTTGGATGATGTCGACGATGAGGTCAGAGACCGTGCTGCCCTGAACCTCAGGTTGATGAGCGAAGAAGACGAGATGGCGGAGAAGTTCGTGAAGAACGACAGCATGTTCTCTCTTCCCTACTTCGAGCACCAGCTTGTCATGTACGTCACATCAGACGACAAGTCCACATTCGAGTCAGCTTTCGACATCTCCAAGATTCCTGTGGTCACCCGGGAACAAGCGGACGCCGAAGACAGGACGAAGAAGCTCACAGCTACCACCCCATCCCTCAAGCCACCAAAGGTGTCATCCACAAAGGCTGCGCCATCTGGAGCCGAAGCCGCAGCGTCTGCTACGGCGGCAGCTCAGCAGTATGCCCAGGAGTTGATGAACATCCCAGAGATGAAGGAGTTTGGCAACGTGCTCAAGTCATCACCTGTTGTTGAGTTGACAGAGGCCGAGACGGAGTATGTTGTCAAGGTCGTCAAGCACATTTTCAAGGAGCATATCGTGCTTCAATACGATATTACCAATACCCTCGACTCTGTCGTACTAGAGAACGTATCTGTGCTCGCTGGTCCTTCAGATGACGAAGAACTTGAAGAAGTCTTTATCATCGAGGCCGAGAAGCTTCCTCAGAACGAGCCTGGCAAGGTCTACGTGGCGTTCAAGAAGGCTGGCGGAGAGGAGTCGTTGCCAGTGGTTTCTTTCAGCAACACACTCAAATTTACCAGCAAGGAGATCGACCCATCGACAAACGAGCCCGAGGAGAGCGGCTACGACGACGAGTACGAGGTGGCCGAGTTCGATTTGGCCGGCAGCGACTACGTGATCCCGACGTACGCGAGCAACTTCGCGCACTTGTGGGAGCAGGTCGGTGCCGCTGGTGAAGAGGCTGAGGAGACGCTGCAACTGAGTGGCATGAAGAGCATCGCAGGTACGTCACTTTATTTCCATTCGCATTTCGCCCTCTTCGATACTTTGAAGAATTCCTGAGTTCGCGTTGAAAAGATTACTGACTTCCCTTGCAGAGGCAACCGAGCAATTAGCAAAGACTCTTTCGCTTCAGCCACTGGAGGGCACCGACGTGCCTGTCAACCAGACCACACACACGCTCAAGCTCCTTGGAAAGTCGGTCAATGGCGGCAAGGTCGTGTCCAACATTAGGATGGCGTACTCGGCCAAGTCGGGCGTCACAACCAAGATCACAGTACGCGCAGAAGAGGAAGGCGTGGCTGCGTTGGTGGTTGCTTCGATTGCATAGTTCACGCCAAAGTTGTACAGCCCACCGTTTGATATGGAACGGGCCACCTTGCCGGCTGCACGAAGACCCACACAGACAAGTTCGGCACGGCTATGATTATAGCTGGTACAAGAATCCCAGTGCTGACCAGAGATAAGATGGACATATGAATGGAGACCAGTTAGCGCAGGAGCTAGCAGTACGCAGTCCAGTCTGACGGCGATAGACGACCGGGACGGGGATAGGAAACAGTGTCAGTGAAAAAAGAGTCTTTTCGTTGAGCGGGTGATGTTCAAAAAGAAGGTCTTTTTTGTTCAATGAACGATCAATCCTCGGGACGAATTGACACGGCGGGTGATGATGACTGGAGTCTAGCATTGGTTTTGTTATAATCGAGAATACCTGAACTTTCCCCCTGTTTTGAGACCCACCTACTAGCCAAGGTGTGCCATAATCAATCCCCGTCGTGACAGTGGAATACCACCTCTCCGATGAAATGATCAGGTTGCCTCGCGACAATGACGAGTCGAATCGATCCCAACAGCCTCCTGGCAATGGAGCGTCTCTGGGAATTCAGCCACATTTCTGGAGACGTAGTGGATCAGAGCCTCTAGTAGGGCTCGTATGCCCAATGGCCGCCCTACACGTCCACGAGCGTCGCCAGCAATATCGACCTCCAAATAAGTCACTCTAAGGCCTCAGGACATAGGATCTTGTTCAGCTTAGG